CGTGTACATGTTGTGATGTCTGTATGTAGACAGTGTTCAGAACCATCACGTGTACATGTTGTGATGTCTGTGTGTAGACAGCGTTCAGAACTATCAAGTGTACATGTTGTGATGTCTGTATGTAGACAGCGTTCAGAACCATCACGTGTACATGTTGTGATGTCTGTGTGTAGACAGCGCTCAGAAACATCACGTGTACATGTTTGATGTATGTATGTAGTCAGCGCTCAGGACCATCACGTGTACAGGTTTGATGTCTGTATGTAGACAGCGTTCAGAACCATCACGTGTACATGTTTGATGTCTGTATGTAGACAGCGTTCAGAACCATCATGTTGTCCTGTTTGATGTATGTATGTAGACAGCGTTCAGAACCATCACGTGTACATGTTGTGATGTCTGTATGTAGACAACGTTTAGAACCATCACGTGAGCATGTTGTGATGTCTGCATGTAGACAGCGTTCAGAACCATCACGTGAGCATGTTGTGATGTCTGCATGTAGACAGCGTTCAGAACCATCACGTGGACATGTTGTGATGTCTGCATGTAGACAGCGTTCAGAACCATCACGTGTACATGTTGTGATGTCTGCATGTAGACAGCGTTCAGAACCATCACGTGAGTATGTTGTGATGTCTGTGTGTAGACAGCGTTCAGAACCATCACGTGTACATGTTGTGATGTCTGTATGTAGACAACGTTTAGAACCATCACGTGAGCATGTTGTGATGTCTGCATGTAGACAGCGTTCAGAACCATCACGTGTACAGGAAAGCATGGGAGCCACCACGTGTCGGCTGTTTGTGAAATGAGCAGAGTTCTAAACATTTCAGTACTGAAAAAAGTCAGCAAATATCGGTAAGGATAAGATACATGGACGAACAATTTCTTTATTTCAATTAGGAGCCACGTTTCGGTACAGGTTCTACCACCGTTATCAAGCAAGAGATATACCGAAACGTCGCTCCTAATTGTAATAAAGTTGTTCATACATTTATCTTATCCTTACTTAGTACTCCAACTAAATGCCCCTCAAAGAAGCAAATATGTGTTTCACTTCATCGATCTGATAGACTTAATGGAATCTGCAGTTCAATGGTTATATTTCAATCGTGTTATTGTTTCTGGATAAAAAATGTATCCTTTACTTAAACGCAAACATATCTTAATATTGTATTGAAGCAGTTACAAGCGGCAATAATAAGGAGTATTATTGGTGAATGCAATAATAAGGAGAAATATTGCTGAATGCAATTATAAGGAGAAATATTGCTATTGGCAATAATAAGGATTAATATTGCTGAATGCAATGATAAGGAGTAATATTGCTGAATGCAATAATAAGGAGTAATATTGCTGAATGCAATAATAAGGAGAAATATTTTGCTGAATGCAATGATAAGGAGAAATATTGCTGAACGCAATAATGAGAAATATTGCTGAATGCAATAATAAGGAGAAATATTGCTGAACGCAATAATAAGGAGAAATATTGCTGAACGCAATAATAAGGATTAATATTGCTGAATGCAATGATAAGGAGTAATATTGCTGAATGCAATAATAAGGAGAAATATTTTGCTGAATGCAATGATAAGGAGAAATATTGCTGAACGCAATAATGAGAAATATTGCTGAATGCAATAATAAGGAGAAATATTGCTGAACGCAATAATAAGGAGAAATATTGCTGAACGCAATAATAAGGAGAAATATTGCTGAATGCAATAATAAGGAGAAATATTGCTGAATGCAATAATAAGGAGTCATATTGATGAACGAAATGATAAGGAGAAATATTGCTGAACGCAATGATAAGGAGAAATATTGCTGAATGTGTTGAAATATAAGGGACAAAACTCTTTCCATTATCGTAAGAAATCTCTGCTAAGAGACAAATTATCCCAGAAACAGTAGAACAATGTAACGCAAGACGTTGTTTATCATCGGTGACAAACAAATGATCCAAATACAAGAACAAAATAACACATTTTGGGTCTTATTAATGTTGACGATTAACACTTCTTGCAGAAATAAGATCCACAATAGTAAACGGAGTGAACAAACATGTTAGTGTAACATTGCGAAATGTGTCAAAACACCAGCTGGCATTTCCTTGAACTTTCAGCTCAGTATCATCCTTGAAGGTGCTATACGTGAGTGAGGTCGCACATTTTGTATCGCAACTCTATATCGCAAACACTACACAGCTGACAGGTAGTGCCTGGGCCTGGTGACTACTACACAACACAGTGTTTTCTCTTCAACTGTCTGGGAAGGAGATTTTATGTACAGTTGTATCCAGGTAACTGTATAATGTAAACAAAAAAACGAAAAAAGAGGATAAGTTCTTATCAAGTGTTTTCGGGAACAGGTTATGTTTTTGTGCAAATGTCTTACCTTTCGAGACAAGATTTATGTCAAACCTGTTTTTTTATGTGATGATAACTATCGATTTAAAGCGTTTATGACGGGTGCCATCAGTAAACAGGATATACCTAGGTCTGCTGCATCTGTTTGTTGGGTATGTCTGTTGAATGGGTCTTTTTGCGGACATAACTTTTTTATTGTGATTTATAAACACGTGCTTTTTATATAGTAGGAATCGTACACTGGACGTAATGCTGTTTGTTATGGACAGGGTGCCTGTAATGGACAATGTTGTCTGTAATGAATACTGTTGCTTTTAATAAATAATGTTGCATGTACAGTACTGCTTGTCTAACATTGTGGATATTCAACAGTAGGACAGTGATTGACAGTTTTAAAGTGGTTACTTAAAAGTAAAAAGATACTAAAGTTGTATATAATTAATATCTTTGTCCCTAAAAGTACGTAAAACGGATTTAACTGTTAAATGTAAAGATAGATCTCAATCTAAATTTGACAACCCCTAAATTATGTTCAGGTGAACACTTGACTTGCCTTTGCATGTGTTTGTGACGGATGTCACCTACGTTCACTTCTTTGCGAGCACCTAGTATCATCGCTATTTGATAGTGATTCATGAACACATGCTCGTGATGTATTGTGGGAATAGTACAATGAATTCTACGTTTCACAGAGTTCGTATGATTAAAGAAAAGGTTTTTGTCGCTTCTATTATTTCGAATCACTATCGAACACTGCTGATACCAGGTGTTCGCGAACAGGAACATACGGTACAAGACAAAATAGGGAATTAAATTTGACATAATTCTGGTCAATTATGCGGCAAATTTGAAAATGTCCTCCACGTGTCCACCATAAAACATTTTGAAGCTTTACCAAGAATGATGTAACCCTGATCAAACAACTGAGAAGATTCGTATGACGTTCTTTGAAATTTTTGTAGAAAGAGCATGGACAATTGTTCATCAAACATTGTGAGAAGTATTCACAAAAGGCTGGACCTGCTCGAGAATTGCTCGACATAAAGGGAACGGTGATTTTGGCAAGCTGACAAGGCCAGGGTGTCATTTGTAGCGTGAGTGCACGACGTGTTTCACGTACTGTATCTTACTAGGGCTTCGAAAACACATTTGTGGAGAACAACTCTTCACTAATTCTAAGTATTAAAACTACTTCTTGACTCTTTACAAGGTAATGTTTACGAACTGCTAAATTTCGATTAAAGACTTAATGAGGAGTAAATTCAAATCCTTTAGTTTTGTGGTTTACGTTTGAATAATTGTCGTTGTTTGATGGATTATTAAATGAAGTTAAACTTTTAAATGAGAAAGGATTTGGTCATTTTTTTCTGAAATGTGCACGCCGTGACAACTGAGAGCGTCGATTCCACTTGGTTGGAGAAGCTGTCCTGGGTATCCCCACGGCTGCTGCATGTGTCTGTTGAATTTGTCTGATGCGCCTGGCTGTTGAATATGTTGGATCCGTCCATTGCATCTCTCGACCCGTGAAGATCCGGGGTAGAATAGGTCTTCAGCAACCCAAGCTTGCCGTAACAGGCGACTATGCTTGTCGTAAGAGGCGACTAACGGGACCGGGTGCTCAGACTCGCTGACTTGGTTGTTGCATGTCATCGTATCCCAAGTGTGTGGTTCGATGCCCATGATGTCAATCATTGGATTGTCTGGTCCAGATTGAATTATTTACATACCGCCGTCATATAGCTGGACTAGTGCTGTGTGCGGCGTTAAACAACAAACAAAAATAATTGCATCTCTCTGTTGGGTCTGTTCATTGCATCTGTTTGTTGAATATATCTGTTGAATGTGTTTGCTGCGTCTGTCTGTTGCGTGTTATTGCATGTCACTGCAGTGAAAGTACAGCGTGACCTATATTCGTTTACATGTTTACTAAATCAAGGTGGTTAAACAAGCATAAAACGCACAATTTAACAAGCATAAAGAGCACATGTGTCAGTCCATGTAATTTACACAAATAGCGATTGTCTGTCAGGAAGAAACTGTACTGGTCAGTCAGGTAATACAGATTCGTCACAGTGGGTGGATGTATGACATACCTCAAGGAAGATAGTGGCAAGGCAGGAGGGGATGTATGAGGCTTTATATCCCATAAGCATACAGTACGCATTATTTCTGTAACAGGCATCATTGTAACCTCTAACTTTAAGTTTCAGAACTTTATTAAAAAGCGTCTTTTCTTTCACTCTCCCGTCTCTGCTGATACGTTCACTCAAACGTTATCAAATTATTTCTGTTAACACTGTACACGTTGTCTAGGTATACCTCGAGTAAATAACCCTGGCATCTAAACATCTATATCACCCAGCTATGCCGAAGTTGCCGCTATTACGGATCACCCAGCTTGGCTTCTCCTGACCTGATGGCAAGCGGGAATATAGCATAATTTTTCAAGATTCATCTTTGTCCCATCCAGAATTCCCTTGTCTTGAAGACGATTGTTTATATGCTTCTGTTTATATGAGTTTGGTTTGTTCTGCGTGTGACATTTATTTAAATTAACGAGTACCACATGGGGTACATCACGTGATGAGGGTAACCAATAGCGATGCAGATTGTTTCTAATCGGAGATCTCTACGTGTTGAAGCTGATAGCGTGGATTCCTCTTCCTTGGAGAAGCTGTGCTCTGACTGTCCCACCATCTGCATCTGTCTGTCTCATCTCCGTTTCATCCGTCATTTCTGGTTTATTACTGTGATTATGTACTGACTGTTTGACAGCGATATAACACTGCACTAATGTGAGAAAAAACGTGTCAGTAGACCTTATTATCGGGATCGTATTTCCATGGTCATTGAACATATGATCTTTCCATCAAATGTCTGACACTGAGTAGACCACAGCCTGTGATCTCTAGCTGACATCATGCGACCCAGCATTAGGACTGTACTGTTGGTGTTGGCACTTGTGGTATTATGTGTGCTGAACACTGATGGCGTCGGAAACACAAACATCGAACAGGCCAAGGCGTTTCTGAAGCAGTATGATAACGACTACGGCAAAGCTATGAACGCTGAGGCGTTGGCGGAGTGGAGCTACAACACCGACATCTCCAAAAACACCATGGCGCACCTAGTACGTATTGCTGTGTGAGTGAGTGAGTGAGTGAGTTGGTTTTTACGTCGCTTTTGACAACACTACAGAAATATCTCGGCGATGGACAGCCGATATGGCTTTGACACGTTTTACCAATGTGGGGAATCGAACCTGTGCCTTTGGCGTGACCAGCGAACGTTTTTTTAGGATTTTAGTTAATAAAGAGATTACTGTCCACGCAGACCTGAATGCAAATTAATTATTGTGAGAAATATCCTATTATTAACATTCGGATTTACAATAGGTACTTTATTGTTCGACCCGATAATAAAGTTAAGGTAAAACAAATTGCAAATAACATATTCTAGTAGAAATTAGGACTCTCAAATATATATACTCTCATGGCAATGTCATGGTATGTGTTATCATTTCCAAGGTTGACTTGCAAGTACAGCTGGCGAATTTTTCTAAGACTGCCTATATGGAGGCCAATACATATGCATGGAGGACCTTTCAAGACCCGGATGTTCGCCGTCAGTTCCAGAAGATTACAAACATTGGACCATCTGCACTGAAAGACCCTCAGAAAGTCAAGAAGGTGAGGAATTAAATATTTGACAGTAATGTTTATTGAATCATAGCTGACAGTTACAGTGTACTGTCACCAATGAGAGGGCGCACTTACCAGTCAGAAGGTTTGTTTGAATGTAGATACCAATAAACATACATTTGTGCAGGAATACAAAAGACAGAAATGGGGTGTGAATCCGAATATGACTTATTTAGTTAACTTCTTTGTTCATCGCCCTTTCAGTTTAAGGCAGGTAACTGGTCCTCTTGTTTCCACCGACAAATAGAGCAGTCGTTTTACTTTACAGATGAGTGAAGTGACTTCCGAGTTAGAGAGTATCTACAGCACCGCGCAGTATTGTCCTACATCCGGAAACTGTCTAGATCTCGAACCAGGTCAGTACTTTCGGGAATTTCCGGGAACTGCCTCGATCCCGGTCTTGATGTCCCCCAACTTCTAACTACCAACTTCCGTTTGTATCTTATCATTATCGTTAAGGAATTGAATAAAACGGATGAGGTAAGGGTTTCTAATTATTGTAATACCTTGTACCGCCTTTTTGTAAAGGGCCTATCTCATCCTCGATATTAAAGTGTATAATATCTCCTTTTCTGATGAATGCCGTTAGGCTCGGTCGCTACCATACTTCATTACAATCACATTATGTGTAACATAAATTCTGTGCGAAATCACTGGTAGGAGATGTGAATATAACAACGAATTTGTGGAGTGCAGTGATCCAGGGGAAATGCTATTCATTTTAATAGAATAGAAATATACTATAAAAACGGAAACAATTGATAATCGACGGAAGATTTAGTTACCCGGGATAGCCCAGTGGTTCTTGGACCTGTTTGGTTTCTATTCCAATATGGGTACCATATGTGGGTCCCTCTTTATGTATCTACCACCATCATATAACTTTAGGGGCGGTCGGGTAGCCTTGTGGTTAAAACGTTCGCTCGTCACGCCGGGTTCGAATCCGACATGGGTACAATGTGTGAAGCCCATTTCTGGTGTCCCCCGCCGTGATATTAATGGAATATTGCTAAAAGTGGCGTAAAACTATACCCACTCGCTCACTCATATAACTTCAGCGCCTAGTGATGTATTGATGTCATACCACTATTGCATGGCAGGGCTGACTCGTGTGATGGCCAGCAGTAGGAACAGCACGGAGCTTCTGGACGCCTGGTGGGGGTGGAGGTATGCTACCGGACCTAGGATGAGGGACCTCTACACCCAGCTCGTCACACTCAGCAACGAAGGCGTCCAAGAAATGGGTAGATATTCAGGAGATAAACCTGCTGTTTTGAAAATTGATTTAGTCCGCTGTAGAGTAGACACCTCTTATATCAATTTGGAACCGAACGCTTTAGCGATACGGTGTACAGTTCAGATCGGTGATCGGCAGACATTTGTTATGGATCTATTTGTAGGTTATCCATGTATCCATACGCACCTCTTTTGTGAGGTTTCTGTTGCAAAAAGGAACCCTCCTTTAGAACAATCAGAATCAAGCATTCTTCAATGTCATGGTAGAATTCCGAGTAACATTGAAGGGTGTGGGTGGAGGTGGGATGGGGGATGGTGATGAGGGAGGCACGCGTGTGTGCGTGAGGACAGTTACCGCGACATCTTTTCTGACAAAAAACAAGATATGATAAGGGCCCGTTTGGGGCCACAAGATCTGCATAATATTTAATAATTAAGTTTAAAAACTGTTATCAAGGTCATATGAATGAGGACAAGTCCAAAACGTGCATGTGTAAGAAAGAAAAATTGTTAGATAACAGTCATTTGTACACTTCATACCAGCATATTATTGTTTCCAGCAACTTTGAAATTTGACATTTCCTGTTGACTATAAACGGCCCTTATCTTACCTCGTCCTATATTATGCCTCTGTTAAGTATCGGGGCGAGGGAGGCATCTGATGAATACAGTATTCGCTCGTCATGCCTTAGACCCGGGCTCGATTCCTGACGTAGGCACTATGTGTAAATTCCATTCTTGAATCGTAATATTGAAGATACTCTGTTAAAAGTACTGTTAAACCTCAACTCGGTAGAAAATGTCCATTTATGCACATCAGGCCTTACACTATCAGTCAACCGGTCTCGGGAGATATGGTATAATGTTAATCAACGTTATACCAATAGACTGTACATCAACCAATGTCACCCAGGGACCGATTGACAACGAATTTATCTTACCGCACACCTAATTATATTGTAGGTATGTTTTATGCATGCATGCTTTGAACCGAATCGGTAGGGACACCGCGGTTAGACCTATATCCACTACATAATTCCCATTCATCGACAAATATTAGAAAACAGAAAGGCATCTTAGAGTTATTCCCACTAGAGCTACACGTATTTCATTCGGAAAATATCGTAAATATTCGCAAATGCCGTCTGACATCATTAATTCGATAGGCAAAATTTCGGTTGATCTGTTGCAAATGTGATGCTAGCGGTTCGGCAATTCGAGCGGAAAACATAAGAAATGTACCTTACATGTTAGCGGGATACATAAAAATTAATAGATTGGGTCTCAGCCAAGCAAGATCCGACATTCATGCGTAAGGTGAGATAAAATAACATGCTACCTGCAAACACAGTATCTATATCGCAGTATTTATACAAAAGATTACATCTCCAGGTGATAATGACACGGGCGAGTACTGGCGGTCGTGGTACGAGTCCCCAACATTCCAGTCCGACCTGCAGGAGCTCCTGGATGAACTGCAGCCTCTGTACCAGCAGCTGCAGGCCTACGTCAGGCGACAACTGATGGCGGTGTACGGCAAGGACATCTTTCCGTCCACGGGACACATCCCAGCTCACCTTCTAGGTGAGAGTCGGACTTCCGGTCACAGCACGCTAACACGGACAAGAATTGTTCTTAACTCCAGGCTGTACTAAATTAATCTCTCTTCTGTCTTGTGGCTTTCGGAGAATTATTTACACATAGTTTGAGTTTATCTATTCGCAAATAAAACGGATCGACTGTTAGTTATAATTTATAAGAATTTAACCATATCTAGTAGTGAGTGAGTGAGTTGGGTTTAACGCCGCTTTTAACAGTATTACAGTTATATCGCGGCGTGTCAGCCTAATGTGGGAGGAAAGCCCGAAGGGATGCAGGTCTCAGACGTTTACCACTTCGGTGAAACCCACGAACACGGGTATGGTGCTGACAAACCTAGAAACATAACCATATCTAGTAGTTTTTATTAGTTTATTATTTGTGCCCCCCCCCCCCCTCTCTCTCTCTCTCTCTCTCTCTCTCCCCCCCTCTCTCTCTCTCTCTCTCTCTCTCTCTCTCTCTCTCTCTCTTTCTCTCTCCAGGAGGCACGGGTGGCCCAGTCGTCTAAGGCGCCGCGATTCGCTGTGAAGAGTTGCGTCACATGGGCACGCCAGAAACCTATGATTATGAGTTCGAAACCCGGTTCGCCCCGATTATGTTTCTAGGTTTGCCAGCACCATACCCGTGCTCGTAGGTTTCACCGAAGTGGTAAACGTCTGAGACCTGCATCAATTTGGGCTTTCGTCCCACATTTAGCAGACACGCCGCGATATAACTGGAATACTGTTAAAAACGGCGTTAAACCGAACTCACTCACTCATTCACTCACTCTCTGTCCCCAGGTAACATGTGGGCGCAACATTGGAACAACATCTTTGATATCGTTGTTCCGTTCAAAAACAAGCCCATGGTTGACGTCACAGACAAACTGAAATTCAATGTAAGATATGTTGCTACAACATCAAAGAAAGCACGTGAAAGTTTATCTAAAATTCAGGACGTGGAACATTTCTTTGCTTAATGTAAGTCGAAACAGTGAGGTCTTTTGCAAGCAAACAGGGGAACTTACATAAAGGCATCTTACATAAAGATAATTACAATACATATATCACGCTCCGAAAAACATCAACATAAATTATTAAACGGAACTTTTTTTCAATCGGAACATAGAAGATCATATGTACCGTAAATGTTGTAATGTCTGCATTTAGTGTACAGCCAATCCTCTTGATGAAAATAATACTGTCTATTAATTACTATTATTTTAATTTATTTAATATGTTTCCTAATTTTGGTCAGAGCTCACGATAGGCTCCTATTTTCATTTGAACCCATTATATCAGTACACCGTGGAGAAGATGTTCCGGACGGCGGAGGGGTTCTACAAGTCGCTGGCGCTGGTGCCAATGCCGGACACTTTCTGGAGTAATTCCATGTTGAAGAAGCCCACAGATGGTCGGAAAGTCATCTGTCACGCCTCGGCCTGGGACTTCTATGACGCTAAGGATTACAGGTGGGTGTAGACTGACTACAGGTGTTTGTACACTGGTTACAGGTGCGTGTAGACTGGTTACAGGTGGGTGTAGTCTGACTACAGGTGTTATTACACTGGTTACAGGTGGGTGTAGACTGATTACAGGTGGGTGTAGACTGACTACAGGTGTTTGTACACTGGTTACAGGTGCGTGTAGACTGGTTACAGGTGGGTGTAGACTGACTACAGGTGTTTGTACACTGGTTACAGGTGCGTGTAGACTGGTTACAGGTGGGTGTAGACTGACTACAGGTGTTTGTACACTGGTTACAGGTGCGTGTAGACTGGTTACAGGTGGGTGTAGACTGACTACAGGTGTTTGTACACTGGTTACAGGTGCGTGTAGACTGGTTACAGGTGGGTGTAGACTGACTACAGGTGTTTGTACACTGGTTACAGGTGGGTGTAGACTGATTACAGGTGGGTGTAGACTGACTACAGGTGTTTGTACACTGGTTACAGGTGCGTGTAGACTGGTTACAGGTGGGTGTAGACTGACTACAGGTGTTTGTACACTGGTTACAGGTGGGTGTAGACTGGTTACAGGTGGGTGTAGACTGACTACAGGTGTTTGTACACTGGTTACAGGTGGGTGTAGACTGGTTACAGGTGGGTGTAGACTGACTACAGGTGTTTGTACACTGGTTACAGGTGCGTGTAGACTGGTTACAGGTGGGTGTAGACTGACTACAGGTGTTTGTACACTGGTTACAGGTGCGTGTAGACTGGTTACAGGTGGGTGTAGACTGACTACAGGTGTTTGTACACTGGTTACAGGTGCGTGTAGACTGGTTACAGGTGGGTGTAGACTGACTACAGGTGTTTGTACACTGGTTACAGGTGGGTGTAGACTGATTACAGGTGGGTGTAGACTGACTACAGGTGTTTGTACACTGGTTACAGGTGCGTGAAGACTGGTTACAGGTGGGTGTAGACTGACTACAGGTGTTTGTACACTGGTTACAGGTGCGTGTAGACTGGTTACAGGTGCGTGTAGACTGACTATAGGTGTTTGTACACTGGTTACAGGTGCGTGTAGACTGGTTACAGGTGCGTGTAGACTGACTATAGGTGTTTGTACACTGGTTACAGGTGCGTGTAGACTGGTTACAGGTGCGTGTAGACTGACTATAGGTGTTTGTACACTGGTTACAGGTGCGTGTAGACTGGTTACAGGTGCGTGTAGACTGACTATAGGTGTTTGTACACTGGTTACAGGTGCGTGTAGACTGGTTACAGGTGCGTGTAGACTGACTATAGGTGTTTGTACACTGGTTACAGGTGCGTGTAGACTGGTTACAGGTGCGTGTAGACTGACTATAGGTGTTTGTACACTGGTTACAGGTGCGTGTAGACTGGTTACAGGTGCGTGTAGACTGACTATAGGTGTTTGTACACTGGTTACAGGTGCGTGTAGACTGGTTACAGGTGCGTGTAGACTGACTATAGGTGTTTGTACACTGGTTACAGGTGCGTGTAGACTGACTATAGGTGTTTGTACACTGGTTACAGGTGCGTGTAGACTGACTACAGGTGTTTGTACACTGGTTACAGGTGCGTGTAGACTGACTACAGGTGTTTGTACACTGGTTACAGGTGCGTGTAGACTGGTTACAGGTGCGTGTAGACTGACTATAGGTGTTTGTACACTGGTTACAGGTGCGTGTAGACTGGTTACAGGTGCGTGTAGACTGACTATAGGTGTTTGTACACTGGTTACAGGTGCGTGTAGACTGGTTACAGGTGCGTGTAGACTGACTATAGGTGTTTGTACACTGGTTACAGGTGCGTGTAGACTGGTTACAGGTGCGTGTAGACTGACTATAGGTGTTTGTACACTGGTTACAGGTGCGTGTAGACTGGTTACAGGTGCGTGTAGACTGACTATAGGTGTTTGTACACTGGTTACAGGTGCGTGTTGACTGGTTACAGGTGCGTGTAGACTGACTATAGGTGTTTGTACACTGGTTACAGGTGCGTGTAGACTGGTTACAGGTGCGTGTAGACTGACTATAGGTGTTTGTACACTGGTTACAGGTGCGTGTAGACTGGTTACAGGTGCGTGTAGACTGACTATAGGTGTTTGTACACTGGTTACAGGTGCGTGTAGACTGACTATAGGTGTTTGTACACTGGTTACAGGTGCGTGTAGACTGACTACAGGTGTTTGTACACTGGTTACAGGTGCGTGTAGACTGACTACAGGTGTTTGTACACTGGTTACAGGTGCGTGTAGACTGGTTACAGGTGCGTGTAGACTGACTATAGGTGTTTGTACACTGGTTACAGGTGCGTGTAGACTGACTATAGGTGTTTGTACACTGGTTACAGGTGCGTGTAGACTGGTTACAGGTGCGTGTAGACTGACTATAGGTGTTTGTACACTGGTTACAGGTGCGTGTAGACTGACTATAGGTGTTTGTACACTGGTTACAGGTGCGTGTAGACTGACTTTAGGTGTTTGTACACTGGTTACAGGTGCGTGTAGACTGACTATAGGTGTTTGTACACTGGTTACAGGTGCGTGTAGACTGACTATAGGTGTTTGTACACTGGTTACAGGTGCGTGTAGACTGACTTTAGGTGTTTGTACACTGGTTACAGGTGCGTGTAGACTGACTATAGGTGTTTGTACACTGGTTACAGGTGCGTGTAGACTGACTATAGGTGTTTGTACACTGGTTACAGGTGCGTGTAGACTGGTTACAGGTGCGTCTAGTCTGGTTACAGGTGGGTGTAGACTAAGTACAGGTGCGTGTAGACTGACTATAGGTGTTTGTACACTGGTTACAGGTGCGTGTAGACTGACTATAGGTGTTTGTACACTGGTTACAGGTGCGTGTAGACTGGTTACAGGTGCGTGTAGTCTGGTTACATGTGGGTGTAGACTAAGTACAGGTGCGTGTAGACTGACTATAGGTGTTTGTACACTGGTTACAGGTGCGTGTAGACTGGTTACAGGTGCGTGTAGTCTGGTTACAGGTGGTTGTAGACTGACTACAGGTGTTTGTACACTGGTTACAGGTGCGTGTAGACTGGTTACAGGTTCGTGTAGTCTGGTTACAGGCGGGTGTAGACTAAGTACAGGTGTTATTACACTGGTTACAGGTTCGTGTAGACTGGTTACAGATGGGTGTAGACTAAGTACAGATGTTATTACACTGGTTACAGGTTCGTGTAGTCTGGTTACAGGCGGTTGTAGACTAAGTACAGGTGTTATGACACTGGTTACAGGTGCGTGTAGTCTGGTTACAGGTGGGTGTAGACTAAGTACAGGTGTTAGTTCACTGGTTACAGGTGCGTGTAGTCTGGTTACAGGTGGGTGCAGACTAAGTACAGGTGTTATTACACTGGTTACATGTGCGTGTAGTCTGGTTACAGGTGGGTGTAGACTAAGTACAGGTGTTAGTTCACTGGTTACAGGTGCGTGTAGTCTGGTTACAGGTGGGTGTAGACTAAGTACAGGTGTTATTACACTGTTACAGGTGCGTGTAGTCTGGTTACAGGCGGGTGTAGACTAAGTACAGGTGTTAGTACACTGGTTACAGGTGCGTGTAGTCTGGTTACAGGCGGGTGCAGACTAAGTACAGGTGTTATTACACTGGTTACAGGTTCGTGTAGACTGGTTACAGATGGGTGTAGACTAAGTACAGATGTTATTACACTGGTTACAGGTGCGTGTAGTCTGGTTACAGGCGGGTGCAGACTAAGTACAGGTGTTAGTTCACTGGTTACAGGTGGGTGTAGACTAAGTACAGGTGTTATTACACTGGTTACAGGTTCGTGTAGACTGGTTACAGATGGGTGTAGACTAAGTACAGATGTTATTACACTGGTTACAGGTGCGTGTAGTCTGGTTACAGGTGGGTGCAGACTAAGTACAGGTGTTAGTACACTGGTTACAGGTGGGTGTAGACTAAGTACAGGTGTTATTACACTGGTTACAGGTGCGTGTAGTCTGGTTACAGGTGGGTGTAGACTAAGTACAGGTGTTATTACACTGGTTACAGGTGCGTGTAGTCTGGTTACAGGTGGGTGTAGACTAAGTACAGGTGTTATTACACTGGTTACAGGTGCGTGTAGTCTGGTTACAGGTGGGTGTAGACTAAGTACAGGTGGGTGTAGACTAAGTACAGGTGTTTGTACACTGGTTACAGGTTCGTGTAGTCTGGTTACAGGTGGGTGCAGACTAAGTACAGGTGTTATTACACTGGTTACAGGTGGGTGCAGACTAAGTACAGGTGTTATTACACTGGTTACAGGTGCGTGTAGTCTGGTTACAGGTGGGTGTAGACTAAGTACAGGTGTTATGACACTGGTTACAGGTGGGTGTAGACTAAGTACAGGTGTTATGACACTGGTTACAGGTGGGTGTAGTCTGGTTACAGGCGGGTGCAGACTAAGTACAGGTGTTATTACACTGGTTACAGGTGCGTGTAGTCTGGTAGTCAAAATATGCGGCAGCAGTAATATAGATTTTAGGGTCTTTTAGTCAGTACAATCAAGAATTCCAGCATATGACACAGTTGAATATTTTGAATGAGGCTCGTGCTGCGTTCTTGAATCCTTGAATTAGTGTTGGAAACAGTCAGAAAAGTAGATGGACGCAAGTCTGGTCGTAGTAGGGTGGCCTCGAATCGCCCTCGCCCACTTGTATATGTACAGCCAAACTTTTAGAAACAGTTAGCACGCGACGCTTCCCATGTGTCAACATCAACGACCAAGGGAGGTCACACTATATCAAGGTCACTGCCAAGCTCAACATTATATGAGCGCCTCAATCAATATGCCACTTACTACCATCAGAAATCCGTTACAATATACAAAACAGACGAAAGTAGATAAAAGAAGTTTCAAATGTGAGGAAAGTCATACCTTACTACCAATTGCTTTTCAGAATTAAGATGTGTACGGACATCAACATGGAGGACCTGATCACCATCCACCACGAGATGGGGCACATCGAGTACTACCTGCTGTACAAAGATCAACCCCAGGTGTACAGGGATGGAGCCAACCCTGGTCAGTTTCTCTGTTTCTTTGTCCACTGTCTTCAGTGACCGTGTGTCAGATCTCTGTCCTCAATCAACAGTGACTGCGTGTCAGATCTCTGTCTACTGTCATTAGTGACCGTGTGTCAGATCTCTGTCCTCCATCACCACTGAGAGTGTGTCAGATCTCTGTCCTCCATCATCAGTGACCGTGTGTCAGATCTCTGTCCTCCATCACCACTGACCGTGTGTCAGATCTCTGTCCTCGAACACCACTGACCCTATGTCAGATCTCTGTCTACTGTCATTAGTGACCGCGTGTCAGATCTCTGTCCTCCATCACCACTGACAGTGTGTTAGATCTCTGTTGATCTTATCCATTAGTGACCATTATTGTGAAAAATGCCACCCATAATATGTTTCGGAAATCTTAACCACGGATCGGCGCGAATAGCTGCAAGATTGCTGATGCGGCGCTAATGAATATTCACTCACCCACTCACTTAACAACGGAACCAATGAAAGAAGCAATGTAGTAATTCCTGTAACAGATTGTTTCAGTTTGCATCTAATTGCAGGTTTCCATGAGGCCATCGGTGATACCATGGCGCTGTCGGCGACTACCCCCGCCCACCTCCGCAAAATTGGTCTGCTGGAGGCGGGGCAGGACGATGACGGTGAGATGCTATAACTATCATGATTACCATACATACAATATAATCCGGTTAGCCATACCGCTATCGTTCTACGTAATATGTGCCAAACCCGACTGGAAATACTGGGATAACTACAGTCTCCATTCAGACAGTCCGATGAAGGAGAACATCGCATTAACTCCAGGTTATTTTAAATTAAACTATTTCAGATCGACGGTTTTTGAGAAGACTATAAGATTAACATCTTATTTCAGAAACTGATATCAATTTCCTGATGAAAATGGCATTGCAGAAGATTGCCTTTTTACCTTTCGGCTACCTGATTGACCAATGGCGATGGAATGTGTTCAGCGGGGACACGCCTCCCAGCAGATACAACCGCGATTGGTGGGAACTCAGGTGCGTCCTGAGAGAAGCATTAACTGTTTCATAGCACATTTTCTGCCAACCGTTAAGCATAACAAAACTATTTCTAAGGCCGATGTAACATCGACATAAGTGTCAAAGATATTTTATAGTTGATAATTACTGGACGGGCGGCTGTGAATACGTGTTGTGTGATAAATCATTAATCGAACGTTTATCTCAAAGTAATCAAATTGTCCCTTTTCTACCTCATTACCTTTCAACATGACAACGCCCGGCCTCATATTGCTCGACTTGTTCAGGATTCCCTTCAACAAAACAACGTGAATGTTATCCCCTACCTCTAATACATTCAAATGGTAATATTTTCACATTTTGACACCTTGTGTATTATTACAGATGCAAGTACCAGGGCATAGCTCCTCCCATTCCACGTACCGAGTATGACTTCGATCCGGGTGCCAAGTTCCACGTGTCAAACAACGTGCCATACATCAGGTTGGGGACTTAATACACAGCAGGGCACAAGCATTTATCCAGACAATATCCCTGGAAATATAATCAACAAAACCCTTTCCATAATCATAAGAAATATCCAATGTACGATTACGACTGTATTATAAGCATGCGTTTATCAATCACTATCAAATAGTGATGATACCAGGTGTTCGCGAAAAGGTGTGCGTATCCTGCCCCACCTTGCGCACCCGTCACAAACACATGCAAAGGCGAGTCAAATGTTCACCTAGAAAAACAAGCAAGAATACACGACACACTAAGAGACTACTTAATGATTACATGTGTGTGTAGAAACAACCTTAAAGAACATTACTGTTAGGAAAATTTAATGATTCATCTCAGAATAATGGATTGCCAATTGCTCCATTCGCAACGTGTTTTGTGTTGTTGATGTCAGGCCATCCATACCGTAAATATCAGATCCATAAGTCATATTTGACTGTCACACAAATGACATCAAACATATTTATATGTAGCTGTTCATTGTTATGAGGGTAACGCTATTTTTCAGGGCATTATCCTCCCGACGAAGGAGGGCAGTTGTAAGGACTGAGGGCTTCTGCAAATGATAATGCTCTGAAAAATAGCTTACCGTTATTATAGCTAAAATGGATGGAATTTGTTATAAAAAAATTAAAAGAAACAACAATATCGGTTATGAAACATTTACTGCAATCAACACGAATGTCACTGACCCACTTTTACAAATATGGACGTGACGTCATCTATCCCTATCCTATGACGTCACCTAACAACGGGCGTGATAATGGCACGTCGTAAAGCAAAATGAGGCCATTATCAAGTTACAGTTTCCCGCTGGTTTCAGATAACACGCGGGCGTTTACTGATAATTCTATCCATTTTAGCTATAAGATCAGTTAAAGCATGGACACACCATTAAGATGGGATAATGTGACTTTTATCAAAATATTTTTTTGTTGATGCCCAGATACTTCGTGAGTTACGTCATCCAGTTCCAGTTCCACGAGGCGCTGTGCAAGGCCGCCGGACACACTGGGCCACTACACAGATGCGACATCTACCAGTCCACTGCTGCTGGCACTAAACTCAGGTCACCGTAGTCGATTTATCATTCGATTCAGAGATGATAGTAATACAATACCATAAAGCAATAGTATGAACAGAACTAATTATCCGCGACCGATAGCTGATTGAAACCATTCATAAAATGTTTCGACACCAACAGAGAAAAATCACTTAGCATTTGAAAAAAACGTTTGCCTTTCGTCCAGCTTACTTCGTCCAAAAGTATTTTTGAATTTCCCATAATAATTCTGACTTCCAAACTTGTTAATCCACGAGAGTCGTGAGACACAAGAAAAACCACAATATGTTGCCACCATTTTTGGTTTGAATTTTACGTCCTCTGGAAAAAATACCAAAATATAACTGTGGCAATGGATTTTGTCATTCCACACTGCTTCCACATGCGACATGGCTTGGGTGAAATCTAGCGATAGCACCTTAGAAATTGCATCACAATGCTTTGCAGACCACTGTGACGCTTCAGTTCCCATGACGTCACAATCAAAAGACACCACTAATCTCCCTCCCACTGAAGCTGGTTAGCTGTACTTTGTACTTTCAAGACACTGGTTATCACTGTTTACAAAATGAAAATGTCTAAGAATGTTTGACACTCATCAATGAAAGTTTAAACCTCCACGATAAGCCTCGGAGACTTAAACTTGTGTCGACTTGTGTTGATACATTGGAAGTGAAAAGACACTCTGGTGAAGTTCTCTATATACTTGACATAGTCTATAAACACGAAGACACTAACATCCTGTCCCAACCACATGATGTTTGTCAGTTCATATTCACCACCTTCAACAAGTATCCTTCATATTCCAGGGATGCTCTTCGTCTGGGGTCATCTAGACCTTGGCCGGAAGTTATGACCCAGCTGACAGGTCAAGCCAAGATGAACGTGAGCGCACTGAAGGAATATTTCAAGCCGCTATCTGATTGGCTAGAAGTTCAGAATGCCAATCAGGAGACTGGTTGGGATGAGCACTGCCCTGTTAATGAAGGCCTGGATGTGATGGCGTGGCTAGAGACATACAACGACCACGTGCAGGTAGTGCAGCACGAGGCCGCCCTGGCTGACTGGACGTACAACACAAACATCACGGACTACAACCAGGACAGGAGGGTCAGTGAACATGAACTGAAGGCGGTTGTATCTACCTGAGGCTCGCATTGGGGTTCCAGGGCAGAATAAGACCCCAGTTACCCATGTTTATCATAAAGACTTTCTAATCAAGGGGTGGTGGCGGGGAAGGGGTGTCACTGCTGTCCCAGTCGTCTAATTCAAAAGGTCAACGCCATCGATAATCAGTATATAACTAACTCGTCCAACTTTACCACGTAAATTCAAACGTCAACGCCAGGCAAAATAGTGGAGCAATTATATACTGAAGAACAAAAGTTCATGTGACATTGAATAGGATTTAATGCAAAGTTATGTTTTTTTACCAAATCTGAAACAATTTCGGTGTGCAACAGATAAAAGATTCCTGTGAGTGTTCAAATGGTTGAATTTGCCATACTGACTTCAGAATATGCGTGATTTCATAATAAAAAAACATGAACAAGCCAAAATGTCAATTTACAAATCAATAGCGTGTGTGTCCACCTCTGGTTGCGATGCAAGCAACACATCTTCGTCTCATGGAATGGACCAGGCGTCGGACAAAGTCCTGTGGGATATCTGTCCATATCTGCTGCAGCATGTTTCGAAGTTCCTGGAGTGACTGTGGAACACGTGGTTGACGTCGAAGGCGCCGATCCATCTCATCCAACATGTGCTCGATTGGTGAGAGATCAGGGGAGCGAGCCGGCCAGGGGATGACATTCACGTTGTTTTGTTGAAGGGAATCCTGAACACGTCGATCAATATGAGGCCGGGCGTTGTAATGTTAAAAGGTAATGACTGGGCCATGACGACGCAAAAAACGGGAGGACAACAGGGCCGATGATCTCGTCGCGGTCGCGCTGTCCATTGAGATATCCCTCTACCACTATCAAACGGGTCCTCTGTCTTGCTATAATCCCACCCCATACCATAACGCTGCCGCCCCCGAACTGATCTTCTTCCATGACACAATGATTGACGTTACGTTCATCTCGTCGTCGGTACACTCGAATCCGTCCATCGCTGTGGCTGAGGTATATAGAACTTGAATAGAACTTGTCCCCACTGCATGGCCGTCCAGCGTAGACGCTGTCTGCACCACTGTAGACGTGCTTGACGGTGGTTTTCTGTGGGACGTCTGGCGGGTCTTCTGGCGACAATCCATGCACATCTGAGGCGGCGACGTACGGTTTGTGAAGATATTCGTCGAAGGCCAGGGATGCAACTCGCTGTGCAGAGTGCCGTCACTGATGTGTGCGTCTTTATAGGTGAATCCCAGATTCACCCTGATTATATTTCTTGGTTTGTAAGAACCAACCCGTGCTCATGGGATTCATCAGAGTGGTAAATACCCAACACCTGTGATCCTTCCTTTCACATTAAGGTCGCACGCCATGATGTACCAGTAACTGAAATATTGCTCAAAGAGGCGTTAAACCAACACACATTCACTTACGAATGTGGATAGGGTGGTCCTGACGTTTGACCTTGTAGCCGTTGTAACATTGTGTTCTGGAGGCGTGGAGTGCTGGTCGTGTTGTTAACCACATGGCCAACAGTCATACCATAATTGTAGTGGAATAAAGTAGAGACAGACGTACGACATTTACTCATTCAATATATCTATAGACAGATTCGGCAGTGAATGTGGGATCACGTGTATGGGTTTGTATGAGGTGATGCATAAGTTGTGTTTGTGAAGAGGAAGGGGTTGGAGCGAGGGGGATTTTGTCAGCAGTTTCTATTCATTAAACGTCTTCTCATAAAAGGTGGGATGTTAAAAACAATATTTATTATTTACTCACTGCCATTTGTTCCTGTTATTGCTGCCCCCGAGGGGGGTCTAAAGTCTAAAGGATTGATTTTGCTGGATATTTTAATTAAGATTCAGTCAATGATATGGCAACTCTCTAATTTAGTTTGGCTATCGATTCTGAGGTTGAGTGTAAGGCTATCTTCTACGACTCTGTCTTAAAGGATCCGTTTAAGACACATCAGGGTTTCCCAGACATCCCATTTGGATGCTAAACTATTTGTTTCTACAGCTGTGTTAGTAAAGAAGACATGTGTTTATATGTGTCGTATCTCGTACCCTCCTGTGTACCCACTGCAATATACTTTACGACCAAATTGAGATGGCATTTCTTGGTGTTGCAGGTGGAGGCGGAGGTGAAGGGGTCCCAGTTCACGAAGGAGGCGGCTGGAATTGCCAGCACGTACGACGTCTCCAGCAAACATGACCCCAGCGTAGCCAGGCAGCTGCACATGATCAAAGACATCGGCACAGACGCGCTCAAAGACGAGAAGAAGATTAAGAAGGTACTGTTCTGGCACTCCTAGATATCTCCATGTCTGGAGGACATGGACTCACTCCGCAAGCTTTGATGTAACAGATTGTCTCAAATGTCCCGGGTGAATTATCGTACTGAATACAGTCAGTAATGAGATCAGCTTTCATATCAAATGTTCTATCCGTTAATATTCAAGAGTGAGTGAGTATGGTTTTACGCCGCTTTTAGCAATATTCCAGCAATATCACGGCGGGTGACACCAGAAATGGGCTTCAAACATTGTACCCATGTCGGGAATCGAACGAACGTGTCTGTTTTTAAGTCGAGCAATGAAATGTTTATAAATCATGGAAGTCAAATCAGCCGTACTCCGTGCATTTTACGAATCCTACCGTTGCCTTGAATTGGGGCCATGTGGCCTTCTAAGGTTTCCAGAGGAGAAGGTCCATCGTATATCGTCTTCAGTAGTTCACGGGTTGGAACACTTTGCAGTGCGGTACCTATTGTAACCAACAAATCAAGCCACGCCCTGGTTTCAACGAGTGTGACACCAGTGAGTGCTCCTTCCAATAAACGCTTAGATTACTTAGCACAAACCGCAGGCCCTCTACTCTCAACATTGCCTCTGTATCCAACAACTATAGGGTTCGCACTAAATAGGCACATTTGACTTCCGTGAGTACACAACACGGTCTCATTTCATTACTTGGCTAAAACAGACATGCAACACAGCACATCGGCCATGCGTTTGTTTGCCCCGGGCTGTAAATAACCTATCCAGTGATTGACATCATGAGCATCGATGTACACAACCGGGATACGATGACATGCATCAACCAAGTCAGCGTTGGCTGACCACTCGATCCCGTCAGTCGTCTCTTATGACAATCAAGGAATGCTGAAGACCTATAAAACCAGGATCTTCAAGATGGCGGCCGTGTGCATTCGCGGATAATGGGGGAACGCAGTGTATGCAAACCCGTGGCGTATTGACGATAACTGGCCTTGTGTTGCATATCGTCATACCCTGTGTTGTGTTGTAGCTGAGTGAAGTCCAGGCTCAGATGGAGGGCATCTTCAGCAAGGGCAAGGTGTGTCTCAACAAGACTCGACCTGACGACTGTCTCGATCTGGAACCTGGTGAGCCATCTTTATTTTGGCTGACTGCCATCAGGGCATTCAGGCATCGCTCAAGTGCTGTCTTCAATGTCATATAGTTCATTTTAAATGAAGTGAAATAGGGTTTAATGTCAAGTTCAGTATATAGCGACGTGCATGCGTGAATAGAAAGTTTATTTCTCTTTTGCCATTGGCCCATGTACAAAATTGTTACATTAATAAAATATATATGTTGCAATTATGTGGAAGATGACATAATATACTAATTATCAAGAGCATGTTGACACTGCGGACACGAACATAGCACACTTGTTAAGGATTGACACATCATTAGAAGTCAAGAAAACGTACAACTTCATTGATAACAACTTTTGGTTTATTGTATATGGCGACGTTTAGATTCTTACACCGTTATGAAGCTGGAGTGACAACAACCAAGTGGTGGGAGGTATATATGCATAACATGTTGTGATGAGCAGCATATTAACATTTCTACATCAGGTAAAAGATAACAAGGAGCATACAGATAACTGGATGAAGCCAATGCACAGTAAGAATAATAAATAGCAAACAGGTTATGAAGCTCATGGGTTATGAAGCCAAATGTACAGTAAGAATAATAAATAGCAAACAGGTTATGAAGCACATGGGTTATGAAGCCAGATGTACAGTAAGAATAATAAATAGCAAACAGGTTATGAAGCACATGGGTAATGAAGCCAGATGTACAGTAAGAATAATAAATAGCAAACAGGTTATGAGGCACATGGGTTATGAAGCCAGATGTACAGTAAGAATAATAAATAGCAAACAGGTTATGAAGCACATGGGTTATGAAGCCAGATGTACAGTAAGAATAATAAATAGCAAACAGGTTATGAAGCACATGGGTAATGAAGCCAAATGTACAGTCAGAATAATAAATGACACTCAGGTAATGAAGCACACAGGTAATGAAGCACACGGGTAATGAAGCACACGGTAATGAAGCACACGGGTATTGAAGCACACGGGTAATGAAGCACACGGGTAATGAAGCACACGGTAATGAAGCACACGGGTATTGAAGTACACGGGTAATGAAGCACACGGGTAATGAAGCACACGGGTAATGAAGCACACGGGTAATGAAACCAGATGTACAGTTGTAATAACAAACAGCACACAGGTAATGAAGCAGACGGGCTATTAAGTCAGATGTACAGATAGGATCAGGATTGAAATGATAAAAGTCATTGTGACAAGCTGATTGGATCCTAATTAATGTAATCTACTCTAATCAAGCAATAGACTATCTTAATTAGGATCCAATCAGCTCTTTCTTGGAATCCCCACTTCTCTGCCCCATATACTAAAATTGGTTTTATTTTACCATCAAACAAACTTCACGAATCTGTTTAGTAAGTGTTTACAAATATACAGTGCCTTGTCATCATTTTCTGTTTATCAGGAATCTCCCGGAAGTTTGCAAATTCACATGACTATTACGAGTTGCAAGCCATCTGGAAGCAGTGGCGTGACGTCACGGGAAAGAAGATGAAGTCTCTGTACACCCAGCTGGTGAATCTCAGCAACGAGGGAGTCCGAGAACTGGGTAGGTACTTCAATACTTCTGTAGCAACAGTCTACGTTCACTACCACAATACTGCAGGCCAGGAAGGAGCCGACACCAACCACACAACAGTAGTATGTCACGAGAATAGTGAATCTAGCATGTTATTATAGCAATAAATGGATTATCGGTACCTCGGAGCTACAATTATTATACTTATGTCATTGGTTATCCTAACACGATGAAGAAGTACCCATGATATATTGTAGAGAACCAATTATTTGTTCAACCAACTAAGATTTTAGCCTACCCTTGAAATGGAAAGAAATCACCCTTGTCGCTTTTTCGGGCCGTCCAAAATACCTATATGTAGCTATCATCCAACTTAAACACTTCCGAGATTCTCCTCCTTGAACCTGATATTTCTGTCAATCATAAAAATGTCAACTTTCTTTGAAAAAGGAGTAACTGTTCATTAATAATGGGTCATTATTCATCCTTTTAAATTTGATTTGCTCGTCCCAGGCTTAATGACAGGTCATCTTGAAATAGCTGGAGACAGTGCCCACTGCAGTCCCAAAAATAATTTGGGGGGGGGGGGGGGGGGGGGGGGGGCACTTGTGGCCCAGTCGTCTAAGGCGCCCTTGGGCACGCCAGAAAACTATGGTCGTCGGTCCGAATATGTCAGCACCATACCCTTGGGTCTCATGGGTTTCACCAAACTGGCAAACGTCTAAGACCTGCGTCACCTTTGGCTTTCCTCCCACATAAAGCTGACACGCCGTGATATAACTGGAGTACTGTTCAAAGCGGCGTTAAACCCAACTCACTGTCTCACTAAATAACAATCACTAAGCGCTCTCTCCCTTCCGTATCTTCCAGGTTATAACGACACGGGGGAGTACTGGCGTTCGTCGTACGAGACCCCCACCTTCCAGCAGGACCTTGAGCACCTCCTCGACCAGCTGAAGCCGCTGTACCAGGAACTGCACACCTACGTCAGGCGGGAACTGAAGAAGGTGTACGGCAAAGACAAGTTCCCTGTCACAGGACACATACCAGCCCATCTACTGGGTAAGCTAGGGCAGCTTCATGGTGTTGATTGGTCACTGAGTCATTTGAACAATAGGTCATACCCAGGAGTATATTTGAAATGCAAAAGTCATCAAGCCCTTCTAAGTCATGTATGTAGCGTCAAGAGGCTTTCCGCGAGTAAGTATTAACCCGTAGTCTACATACTGGTGTCGTGTGCAAAAAGGGAAATATTTGTGACGTATTTAGATCACGTATTTAGCGACATGCGCTAGAGCTACAGGTGTGTACATTACAGGTAACATCTGGGCCCAGGAGTGGGAGGATCTGTTCGACTTGTTGCAGCCCTTCAAACACAAGCAGAGTGTGGACATCACTCCTACCCTCAAGGTGAAGGTAAGGCAGTGACCCCGCTGCTATTGGGATTCAGATTAACATTCAGATTCCCATTCTGTTTCACATTCAGTTTCACTTTCGGACTGCCATTCGGTTTCACATTCAGACTGCCATTCTGTTTCACATTCAGATTCCCATTCGGTTTCACATTCAGTTTCACATTTAGACAGCCATTCAGAGTCTTTAAATACAAGTTGATTAACGCCTTTTTTGTTTCCCCGTAACCTGACGGTATCATTTGTGCTCATGCTTTCAACCACTGGTTTGTCTGGTTAATACGCATTTTTACGGGTACACCACTGCGTTCCAGTAACTAGTACCTTTCAGAAGGAAGATAATTTCATTATATGTTTGTCGCCATTCGCTGTGAGTTGCGTCCCTTATGCGTACCAGAAACCTATGATCGTTATTTCAAATCCCAGATTCGACCTGGTTATGTTTCTCAGTTTAAAGACTGTCAGTGGGTTTCAACAAAGTCGTAAACGTGTAAGACCTGCATCACTTTCACATCAAGCTGTCACGCATGGATATAGCAGTAATACTGTTCAAAACGGCATTAAAACCAAACTCACACACTCACCTTGAGACCCCAGAAAGGCGATTACATGTTCTGTTATCATCCATCCAGAACTTCACGACCATAGACATGTTCAAAACTGCGGAGGCGTTCTACAAGTCTATTGGCCTGACCCCCATGCCCCAGACGTTCTGGGACAACTCCATGCTGGAGAAGCCGAAGGATGGGAGGGACGTGGTGTGCTACGCCTCGGCCTGGGACATGAGCAACACCAAGGACTTCAGGTGCTGCCTTAGTTTCCCATACAGTTTGTTTGTTTGTTGTTTAGCGCTGCACTCAGCAATAGTCCAGCTGTATGACGGCGGTCTGTAAATAATCGAGTCTGAACCAGACAATCCAGTGATTGACATCATGACCATCGATCCACGCAATTGGAATACTATGACATGCTTTTGTTTGTTTGTTTGATGTTTAACGCCGCACTCAGCAATATTCCAGCTATAAGACGGCGGTCTGTAAATAATCGAGTCTGGACGAGACAATCCAGTTGGGAAACGATGACATGCATCAACCAAGTCAGCGAGCCTGACCACCGGATCCCGTTAGTCGCCTCTTACGACACGCATAGTCGCCTTTTACGGCAAACATAGGATGCTGAAGACCTATTCTACCACGGATCTTGATATGCATCATGCATCAACCAAGTCATCGTATTCCAATTGTGTGGATCGATGCTCATGATGTCAATCATTGGATTGTCTGGTTCAATCGTTTAAGGGTTGCACAGCCTAACATGCTGTTTGGAGTTGATAACAAGCTGAAGTACATTTTCTTCCCATATCGATTTACTGTGAAGGATAACTTTAAAATATGTTCTTTATTTTATTGCCTTAGGTAGAATCTTTAAACATTTTGTTATTTCATATTTGAGCAAATATTTTCCGCTAAACCCTGAACCAAATGCAAAGACATATTGCCTTACATGGATCTACTGCTTTTGGGTAGTTGGTATACTTATGTTGGTTGAACTGCACTGAAACGCGTGCGAATGTACATCATATATCCTGTATACTAGAATCAAGATGTGTACGGACATCACTATGGAGGACCTGATCACCATCCACCACGAGATGGGACACATCGAGTACTACCTCCAGTACAGAGGCCAGCCGTGGATCTTCAGAGGAGGAGCGAACCATGGTTTAATTTTATAACATTTATTTCTAAATATCGTTGGCTTATTCTAAATGTAAAATTAAATATTGTGGGGTTTGTGGCTTATGTTAATCTAAAATGTCAACGCCAGAGAATATCAAGTCTCGTTATCCACCGAAACAGATTCAGTTTGGTGTAAAAGGCAAAGTAACGGTGACAATTACATGAATGGATCCCTGAAAATCAGTTGTGACATCAGGTGTCGGCGAAGGTAAACAAACTTGTTTTGCTTCTGATGGCAGGATTCCACGAGGCTATCGGTGACACAATGGCTCTGTCCGCGTCCACACCGAAGCACCTCAGGCGAGTTGACCTGTTGGCTCCTGGGCCCGAGGATGACGGTGAGTCTCTAATGTATACTCTTCACGCCAAAGAACCTTGTTCTATACATCACAAGGGGGCTGACTTAAACTTCAACTGCAGCTACACCCTGGGGATTCGGGGTTACAATTGGTCCCAAGCAACTTACGTTTGTCTTAAGAGGCGACTAAATTAATTGGGTGATTCAGGGTTGACTGCGTGTCATCGTACCCAGACGGTGCTCGTAATATCAATCACTGGTTTGCTAGGGTCGCAGTGATATAAATGGAATATTGCTAAGTACGGCGTTAAAGAAGAAGTAAGCAGTATGTGTGAATCTAAACTGGACTTAAAGTTATCAACGGTAGCTTTGTCTCTGTGACATCAGCATCTCCATAAGCATCAGTATTTTCTGTGATATTGATGTTTTTCACATCTTTTAGCACTATTCCAGCCTTATCATTGCTGTGGACACCAGGAATAGGCTGCATATGTGCTGGGAATCGACAGCGTGACAAGACGCCGCTTTTACCACTCGACCACCCGCTTAACAATGACTGATATCAGTTGCAGCAGGATCACTCGGGGTACATGCAATTTTATGCATCCCGCGTTAGGTATAATGCCACGAGCCGGACGAGTGGTGTAAAACCTCATGAGGTACACATAAAACCCCATGTACCCCGAGTGATCCCTTCTACAACGAATTTATTTGACAGACATGTTTTAATGTGACATTAAAACAAATGCTTTTAAATGGATAGAAAACAGCTGTTCAATTAGGCTGAGGTTAACTTGTGCTATGTCACGTGACTATCATTGTCGCGGAAAAAGCGTGCGGCTTTCTGCTTCGAAACGGGGTATAGGTTATTTATTCTTCCGCTGTAAAGTCCACGTGCAGCCTGTTTTCTTCGTGGCGGGGTAAAAGGGATTTTATTTCCCTTCAAGGCGGGATACATTGTATTTATCAAGATAACGTGAACCACTTCATTCTGAATTATTTTATGGGCGCGGCTATTGTTAAAATTCTGAACTACGCAGAAGGGAATGAACCGTTCTGTGATTGAGGTTGGTATGATAAAGGGTCTCCATGACAACCGTTACAATCGAGACTATGAAACGCCCTATAGATGTGTAAACCTGCGACATCTTGCAGAGAGTGACCTCAACTTCTTGATGAAGACTGCCCTTGAGAAGATCGCCTTCCTTCCGTTCGGCTACCTGATTGACCAATGGCGGTGGAGTGTGTTCAGTGGGGAGACGCCACCTACAGAATATAACAAGAAGTGGTGGGATTTAAGGTGAAAACTGTTGATGTTCAAGTAATACCATATCTTGGATTCTGAAATGAGTCTTTTTCTGCATTCATGTCTGATGTAGCACTGTGTTTCGTAACCACACCACGTTATATCCCGGTACCGTTGCAGATGCAAGTACCAGGGTATATCCCCACCCGTTGCCCGCTCAGAGGAGGACTTTGACCCTGGAGCCAAGTACCACGTTGCTGCAAATGTACCATACATTAGGTATAGTGAGTGAGTGAGTGAGTGAGTGAGTATGGTTTTACGCCGCTTTAAGCAATATACCAGCATTATCACGGCGGGGGACACCAGAAACAGGCTTCACACATTGTACCCATGTCGGGATGCGAACCCGTGTCTTCGGGGTGACGAGCGAACGCTTTAACCATATAAAGCGTATATTTAGAGGATATTTAACGACAGTTGCCAAATGCGCTGTTTTTCTCATCTTGTGGCGTAGCTAAAACTGATCTTTTCACAAGTAATATAATTAATATCTATAATATAAATTGTCAATGCAAGAAGAATAACCAGTCTAGATTATCCGCCGAAACAAATTACATTTGGTAAAATAGCTGTGAAAATAATGTGAATGGGAAATATTATTTATTATTATAATGATTACACTGGTGGTCGTTATTCTCCAGATACTTCGTGAGTTTCGTCATCCAGTTCCAGTTCCACAAGGCGCTGTGCCAGGCAGCCAAGCAGACAGGTCCTCTACATAGATGTGACATCTACCAGTCTAAAGACGCCGGAGACAAACTCAGGTTCACACACGATCTCACACTCTACCCATCGTCAATAACGAACAATTATTTTAAGAGATGCCACAAGAGTAACTTAAAATTACACGAACAGTCAACGAAAACATGAACCTGAATCTTTGCACAAATGAAAAGTCTTAATGCGTGCGTGCGTGCGTGCGTGCGTGCGTGCGTGCGTGCGTGCGTGCGTGCGTGCGTGCGTGTGCGAGCACGAGGGAGAGGGTGCAGTGTGTGAGTGAGAAAGAGTGGTGTGTGTGTGTGTGCGTGCGTGTGTGTGTGAAAGAGTTGAAAGAGTGTGTATACAGGCACATCGAGTCAGCCACCTTTGTTTATTAGATCCATGCTGGAAATGGGGTCGTCGAAACCCTGGCAGGAAGCGATGCAGGTGATGACGGGACAGCGGAAGATGGACGCCAGCGCCCTCATGGAGTACTTCCAGCCTCTCACAACATTGCTGAAAGAGAAGAACGCCCTGTCGGCGACGGAGGACGACCCGGGCTGGACAGATATATGTCCAAATCCTTCCGGCAAGATCACAGATGTTACGTCGGCGAGACAGTTCATGGAGGAGTGTGACAAGGAGGCTATGGTGGTCATTTATAGGAGCTCAGAGGCCAGCTGGACTTACAACACAAACATCACTGATTACAACAGTCAGTTAGTGGTACGACACAATTAACGCTAATTGCAACAGGTGAGGTGAGGTGAAATTGGGTTTAACGTCGCGTCCAAGATTATTGCACTTATATAGCGACGTGCATGCACGTGTATGTGTGTGTGTGGCTGCTTGTACTAGTCCGGACTGATGCCGATTTATAGTGCTAGCTCACTGAGATACCATGACGCAGTTTAACATGAATAACTCACTCAGACACAGTATACTGACTCCGAGCCGACCAGTCCTTGTTTTAGCCCCTTAATGCCGAGCGCCAGACAGGGTAACAACAAGTACAATCTTTTAACGTCTTTTTGTATGACGCGGCCCGGGATCGAACCCTGGACCTTCCGCTTTCCGGACGGACGCTCTACCACTAGACCACGGAGGCGGTCCTAATTGCAACATAGACTTGGTAGTACGACACAACCATTACTCATTAAAAAAATCAGTTAGAGATAGGACACAATCATCACTGAGTACAACAGACAATTGGGGGTACGACACAATCATCACTGATTAGAACAGACAATTTTAGGTCCGACACAACATCACTGACTACAGAAGACAGTTGGAAGTAAGACACAACTATCTCTGATTAAACAAGATAGTTAGACAGAATTATATCTGATCACACAAGACACTTAAAGGAACACCGAGGTAATTGGTGTATCATTTCCGACGGTATGTCCATCTCTGTCAGTTCCGACGGTATGTAATCTCTATCAGTTCCGACGGTATGTCCATCTCTATCAGTTCCGACGGTATGTTCATCTCTATCAGTTCGGACGGTATATCCATCTCTATCAGTTCCGACGGTATAACCATCTCTATCAGTTCCGACGGTATGTAATCTCTGTCATTTCGGACGGTATTTACATCTCTATCAAATTCGACGGTATGTAATCTCTATACGTTCCGACGGTATGTACATCTCTATCAAATTCGACGAGTTGTAACCTCTATCAGTTCCGTCTGTATATCCATCTTTATCAGTTCCGAAGGTATGTCCATCTTTATCAGTTCCGACTGTATATCCATCTCTATCAGTCGACATACCGTCGGAACTGATAGAGATGGATATACCGTCGGAACTGAGGGAGATGGACATACCGTCGAAACTGCTAGAGATGTACGTACCCTCGGAACTGTTAGAGATGTACGTACCGTCGGAACTGAGAGAGATTTCATACCGTCGAATTTGATAGAGATGTACATACCGTCGTACATCTCTACCAGTTCCGACGGTATATCCATCTCTACCAGTTCCGACGGTATCTACACGCATAATATTATGTCTGGCTGTGTCCCACAGTGTGTGTTTGGCTGCAGGTGGACGAGAGCCTGAAGGAGACAGATTTCGACAAGAAGATAACAAGGAGGGTGAAGATGTACGACTGGGAAAACTTTCAGGACGAGGGACTGAGGAGACAGTTCAACCTGAGCTCAGTGAGCGGCACCACCGCGCTCTCAGACCCCGACAAGATCAAGCGGGTCAGTGGATCTCACTTGTATAGGGTATAGTTAATTCAGGTTTTATAAAATTCCTATTTGAAAATAAACAACCAGCTGTTGGCGACCTGTTTTTCTGTCAGCTTTAACACAAGTACCGTGTGTTTGTCGTAAAAAACGACTACATTGGCCCAGGTTGCAATGGTCAGTCTTGCTGCTTGCTGTAATCAGGCTGCGATAGCGTGCGTCTTTGTTCATATTTTTACTCTTTGGTTTGCTTGTTTAGTCATGATTATATATATATATACTTTTTAATGTGAAGTTTGCACGATATACGGTTTGTCCATTTGGACGAGAGGTCGGTCATATGACGTTCATAAGTGTGTGAACGACACATTTTGACTTTCCTTCATAAGATTGTATTCTCGGAATGACGTGAACTACTTCCACGTTCCTGACAAAGCCCCCTAGCACGTATAAATACAGAAATGATGCTTCTTTTAGACCCTTCAATCTTGAACTCGGCGTTTTAGCCTACAGTGGAAGAAGGCAGAGAGTTTGACTGCATGCCCGTTCAAGGATATCCTCGCTCCAACCCATATTCTAGTGAAAATTTCGAAATTTCGAGTTTTTAAAAATAAACTTAAAATAACGATAAAATATTCGAAGAAACGAGAAAAAAAACTCGAAATCTCGAGAAAATAATTGAAATAACGAGAAAATAATCGACGTAACGAGAGAAAAATCGAAATTTCAAGTTTTTGAAATAAAATCAAAGTAAAGAGAGAAAAAGTCGAAGTAACGAGAACATTATTGAAGTAACGAGAACTTTCGATTTAAAATATTGATTTTATGGTACCAAAGTGGCATCAGTAGGCTTTCGTAAGGGGTTAACGCTACATCTGTTCTGTGTTAAAGCTGAGTGAGCTGGAGTCACGGATGGAGGGACTGTTCAGCACGGCCAAGGTGAATGTCAGCGGCGTTATGTCAGACCTGGAGCTGGGTACGTTCACACAGACATGGTTTCGCAGCTCGACTAACACTATGGCATATATATAATTTGTAGGGCAGCAAGACTCAGCCTTTTTGAATATATAAATTGTCTTTAATATTGTGCTATGAATTTACTTAATGAATATACGTAAAGTATCTCTATGTTAAGCCCCGCCAAGTCATATTCGTCAGTGTCTCATAAAACTCACTTTTATACAACTCAGGAACATTGATGTTTATAAAGTATAGGACCAAATAACACACACACACACACACACACACACACACACACACACACACACACACACACACACACACACACACACACACACACACACACACACACACACACACACACACACGATCCTACGATCACAAGCATGTTAAGTCTAGGCACACTCGGATGTTAATGCCACTGTGACAGTCCCTGGACATTTAGACTTCAGCTATGCAGCCCAGGAACGATAGTACTTTATTCAGCCCTTCACATACCTACAATCTGATTGTGCAAATGAACGCCAAGATTACATCATATGACCTTGTCTGTACGTCAGAAATAACCCGGATATTTGCGCAATCACGAGACTACGACGTCCTGACCAATGTGTGGAAGGGATGGAGGGATGCGGCGGGGCCCCAGCTCAAGCCCCTGTACCAGGAGTTCGTCCAGCTCAGCAACGAGGGTGTCCAGGCTGACGGTAACTCTAAACCTGAACACGGCGCGACCTGAGACTATACTCGCTATTTTTAATTTTATAAAATAATGTTATTACTACACGATAGTTTTAAGTTTGGTCAGGGTACATGTTATATCAGACGACGTTGTATGCAAAGTAAGTATACATACGATACAGGATACTGTTTTCTATCGTTAAATCACTTGTGATATATAAACCGATTCCTTCTGCACTATTTTTCAAACTTTTTGATGCAAAGGTTGTTCCCATGTTGCTGCATGGTAGTGAAATATGGGGTTCGGATGATATTAAAGAAATAGAAGCTGTACACACACTTGCTTGTAAAAGATTCCTAGAGGTCAAATCATCCACGCCTTCACGTAGGGGTAGCAAAGTACGTGATCTAGACTACCAGTTTTAGGACTTTCATTTTTGTGGAAGCCTCGGTTGCTGAGTTGGTTAGATCGCTGACTTTGTGTGCTGGCGATAAGGTGCCTCACTCTGGCAGTGAGTATTCGAATCCTGGATGGGTCTCAACCCAAAAAAGTACGAGAATCTGTACTTAGAAAGTGCTATCCCAAATATAACATTTGTAATATTATTGTGATCTGCAAGCTCAACGCAGTGTTATAAAGTGTAACTGGACTTAGCTGAATACTGTATAAGGTTATGTACCATGGGCCGATTGAGGCGCCTCCATCTGTACGAAATAAAGAACTGAATATACAGACAATAAGGCCAGCTCGTTTCTCAATGTTAAATTTGTATACATACAAAGCGTTTTTGAATGTAAACGGTGTTCACAGACAACATAACATTGCGAGTGTATCTCTCTATTAAATGAAAGGCAGCATGGTAGAACCTCGGTCTGAGTGTACATTCTTGATGTCAGGTTTCAGCGACACGGGACAGTTCTGGCGGTCTTCCTATGAGACTCCCGGCTTTGAGGACGACATGGAGGCGCTCCTGGTGCAGCTGAAGCCTCTCTACCAACAGCTCCACGCCTATGTCAGGACGAAACTCATCGCCACCTACGGCAAGGACAAGTTCCCGAAGAGTGGTCACATCCCAGCTCAACTCCTGGGTGTGTTGGACATCTCTCTTCAAGTTCTAAGTATTCTCTACCCACTGCGTGTTAACATGGCACTTTGCATCTCGGCGGTGACCCAGCTGTCATTGATGTTTCACATACCGCCTCCATGGTCTAGTAGAAAGATCCGTGGTTCCATCCCAAGAAGCTTCATACCCGTAAAGAATAGGTCTTCAGCAACCCATGCCTGTCGTAAGAGGCGACTTACGGGATCGGTTGGTCAGGCTCGCTGAATTGTCTGATGCATATCATCGTATCATAATTTCGTGGATCGATGCACATGATATGAATCATGTCTGGTCCAGACTCAACGATTTGCAGACCCACGTCATACAGCTGGAATATTGCTGAGTGCGGAATTAAACAAGAAACAAACAATCAATCAAACCAAAAGACGTTATAAGATGGTACTTGTTGTTACCCTGCCTGACGTTCGGCATTGAGGGGATAATACAAGGACTGGTCGGGTCGGAGTCAGTATCCTGTCTCCATGTTAAACGGCAGCATGGTATCTATCTGAGCAACCTCTATGGAAAGGGAAAAGTCCGGGCTAGTACAAGCAGCCATGTACACGCACACACACCCTCCCTCACACATACACTCACACACTCACACACGCACACACACCCTCTCTCTCACATACACTCGCACACGTACACACACCCTCTCTCTCACATACACTCGCACACGCATACACACCCTCTCTCTCACATACACTCGCACACGCACACACACCCTCTCTCTCACATACACTCGCACTGGCACACACACCCGTTCTCTCACATACACTCGCACACGTACACACACCCTCTCTATCACATACACTCGCACACGCACACGCACACACACTCTCTCTCTCACATACACTCGCACACGCACACACACCCTCTCTCTTACATACACTCGCACACGTACACACACCCTCTCTCTCACATACACTCGCACACGCACACACACCCTCTCTCTCACATACACTCGCACACGCACACACACCCGTTCTCTCACATACACTCGCACACGCACACACACTCTCTCTCTCACATACACTCGCACACGCACACACACTCTCTCTCTCACATACACTCGCACACGCACACACACCCTCTCTCTTACATACACTCGCACACGCACACATACCCTCTCTCTCACATACACTCGCACACGCACACACACCCTCTCTCTTACACACACTCGCACACGCACACACACCCGTTCTCTCACATACACTCACACACGCACACACACACACTCTCTCTTGCATACACTCGCACACGCACACACACCCTCTCTCTCACATACACTCGCACACGCACACACACCCTCTCTCTTACATACACTCGCACACGCACACACACCCTCTCTCTCACATACACTCGCACACGCACACACACCCTCTCACTCACATACACCCGCACACGCACACACACCCTCTCTCTTACATAGACTCGCACACGCACACACACTCTCTCCCTTACATACACTCGCACACGTACACACACCCTCTCTCTCACATACACCCGCACACGCACACACACCCTCTCTCTTACATACACTCGCACACGCACACACACCCTCTCTCTCACAAACACTCGCACACGTACACACACCCTCTCTCTCACATACACTCGCACACACACACTCTCTCTTACATACACTCGCACACGCACACACACCCTCTCTCTCACATACACCCGCACACGTACACACACCCTCTCTCTCACATACACTCGCACACGCACACACACCCTCTCTCTCACATACACTCGCACACGCACACACACCCTCTCTCTCACATACACTCGCACACGCACACACACTCTCTCTCTCACATACACTCGCACACGTACACACACCCTCTCTCTCACATACACTCGCACACGCACACACACTCTCTCTCTCTCACATACACTCGCACACGTACACACACCCTCTCTCTCACATACACTCGCACACGCGCGCACACGCGCGCACACACACTCACACACACACTTCGATATATAAGTGCAACGAAATCATTAACGCGACGTAAAACACCATTTTATCTCACCGCTGTATGTTTCTTAAGGTAACATGTGGGCTCAACAATGGAATAACATCTACGACATCCTCCAGCCATTCAAGGGGAAGTCGGCCATAGATGTCTCACCAGAGATGAAAGCTCAGGTAACTTTACAATTACCCATGACAAAATCTGTGTTTCACAAATTCATAGCTTGACTTTTGGAATTATATTATTATAAGATAGGACACGAGTGGGACTGATCGCTAGACTTTAAGCACAGGACCTTCCCATTTCACGAATGTATGACGTTTGGCAGACATATTTTCATGAGGGACATGCATAGTTATTCAATATATTACATATCATCTGTTTCTGAAAAAAACGTAGAAAAATGTGGGTTCACGAAGACAAGAAGAGAAAGCTCAGATACAGTAATCGATTGTTGAGTGAGTGAGTATGGTTTTACGCCGCTTTTAGTAATATTCCAGCAATGTCACGGCGGGGGGGGGGGGGGGGGGGGGGGGGGACACCGGAAATGGGCTGCACACACTGTACCCGTGTGGGGAATCGAACCCGGGTCCTCGTAGTGACGAGCCAACGCTTTAACCACTAAGCTACCCCACCGCCCCAATCGATTGGTGAACGGCGTTACGTAAAAGCGTATCTGACATAATGAACAAGAGACGACTCAAACTAATGTTACCGATGTCCATGACTGTGGGTGATAGAGGTCAGCCCACGCATGAATTGGCATCTCCTTATACATACCATTTCAGCTGCACTCAACATCATATGTTACATATGTTCCTAGAAATATACCGTGCTGCGGATGTTCAAGACAGCTGAAGAGTTCTACAAGTCTCTGGGCCTCCTCCCCATGCCGCAGTCATTCTGGGAGAAGTCCATGATGACCAGGCCGCAAGATGGCCGCAAGGTTGTCTGCCATGCCTCAGCCTGGGACTTCTTTAACAAGAAAGACTTCAGGTAGTAGCACCGACTGGTTTCATTGGAGATATGGTTTGAGTTGTTTGTTTTTTTGTTGTTTAACGCCTCACTCAGCAATATTCCAGCTGTATGGCGGCGGTCTGTAAAATACTCGAGTCTGGAGTCGAGTCATTCCAATGATTGACATCATGAGCATCGATCCACGCAATTGGGATACGATGACATGCGTCAACCAAGTCAGCGACCCTGACCACCCGATCCCGTTAGTAGCCCCTAACGACAAGCATAGTTGCCTTTTACAGCAAGCGTGGGTTGCTGAAGACCTATTCTACCCCGGATCAGATCTGGTTAGAGAGCCTGATTTGTGACCTGTATTGTGTTACACCAGCCATAATGAAAATCTAACCCCAGGGAGCAGGAACGATTATTAAAGCAGTGTATTAACGTTTTGAACATGTTTGCATATTGTCCCTTTCAACTTACACTCAGTGAATTAGAGTTTCTGAAGAATAAACTCCACAAATCGGTTTCTAATTATTAATATATTGGATTGCGTTTTCTTCAGCTCACCATTAAAGTCTTTCAATATGTTGATTTCAGAATTAAGATGTGTACGGACATCAACATGGAGGACCTGATCACCATCCACCACGAGATGGGGCACATCCAGTACTATCTACAGTACAAAAACCAGCCTCTTGCCTTCAAGGGAGGAGCTAATTCCGGTACATATTCTTTCTGATGGTTATATTCTGTCCAAACGGGGCCACGAGTGTCCCAGTCGTCTAAGGCGCCCCAATTGGCTGTGCAGAGTTGCGTCCCTTGGACACGCCAGACACCTTGATTATGGGTTCGAATCCCGTTTCGCCCCGATTATTTTTCTAGTTTTGTCAGCAACATACCTATGCTCGTGGGTTTCACCGAAGTAGTAAACGTCTAAGACCTGCATCACTTCGGGCTTTCCTCCCACATCAAACTTACATGCCATGATATAACTGGAATAGTGTTAAAAGCGGCGGGGGCGTCTCTGAGCGTCGGCATTGTGTAGTGAATAAGGCCCTAGTACGCCCAGTAGTATGATATGGCTTGAAAACTGATAAAGGTGACATAAAACCGTATTCACTCACTCGACCTCCATGTCCGTCATTTTCATAATTTTCTGATTTGTTTTGCTCGAAACCCATTTTTCTTAACACATTTAGATGAGACTTTTATCGACTTCAGTTTTCGTTCTACAATATTTGATGGCTGTTTATCAACTTCTGTGGTAATTTTTTCTAAATGTATCACGACGAAAGTTCACCTAATTCCACATAAGCCAGTGATACGACTTTTACATAACTGAACAATGTATTGCAGGGTTCCACGAGGCAATTGGTGACACAATGGCCCTGTCAGTATCCACCCCTCAGCACCTCTACAAGATTGGCCTGCTGAAGACCCTGACAGATGACCATGGTGAGAATCAAGTCCTTATTTTATATGCATAATTAACAGCGACAAAAACATTTCCTCAATCATAAGAAATATCTGCTAAAAGAATGGGACAGTCTACGATTCCGTCTATAGCATTAGCATATGTTTATGAATAACTATCAATAAAAATGATGTTACCAGGTGTTCGAAAAACGATGGGTGTATCCTGCCCCTCCTGTCACAAACACATGCAGGTGCAAGTCAATTGTTCACCTGAAATATAAACAACGTAAAGTAGTTGAAAACTTCCAATGATGTTAATTTGTTCACTTTTGATCTTCCGCAGAAAATGACATTAATTTCCTGATGAAAATGGCCTTAGAGAAGATTGCTTTTCTACCATTTGGCTACCTAATTGACCAATGGCGTTGGAGTGTGTTCAGTGGGGACACGCGGCCTGAGGAATATAACCGGAAGTGGTGGGATTTAAGGTAACGACGGAAAGTTGTCACATACCACCCTTTTTTGACTCACTAACCTTTTTGACCCTGTGGGCTATCTGTCATCTGTGGGACGTATGCGAGAAGATTTAAACTTCACACAAGCACGACAGTTCATCAGTGACACAAGGCTTTTTCTTTCGTTGATTAATGTTCTATTAATCAAGTAGTGTATACATTGGGAGAGATTTTTAATGTACAACATACAATATATATAAATTACATATATGGTTTGCTTTATACGCAAAAGTAGCTAAGTTTTGAACAGTGGCTATTAAGTTCAGTTGAAGCCATCAAAATAGGAAACTGTAGAGTACATATAGAATCAATGTGGTACATACTTACATCTCAAATGGCGATAGCGACTATAAAATATTACAAAGTTAGTTACTGACCATAATTTAAATGATACTATAAACATTTGAAAATATATTACACGTACAAAATGAATACACTGGAATGTTTCCCTTATAGAATCTTCCACGTAATACTACTTAAACTTATTTCTAGCACGCGAGAAACAAGATTACCGACAGTTAACTCAGGAAAACAAATATATTCACTCTCACAGATGCAAGCATCAAGGCCTGACGTCACCCGTTCACCGAGACGAACACGACTTTGACCCGGGCGCGAAGTACCACGTGCCGGCCAATACGCCATACATCAGGTAACGCCGAGTAACAGTCGCCGAGATGAAATTCAGTCTATATGAACATGTACATATTTATAAGAGACGCATATTGTTTGTTATCCAATTTATTACTTTTAAGACTAGTTGTTGTTCTGGAGACCGCCTCCGTGGTCTAGTGGATAGAGCGTCTGCCCGGAGAGCGGAAAGTTGACGCTTCGATCACCGGCCGCATCATACCAAACCCCTTTAAAAGATGGTACTTGTTGTTACTCTGCCAGGTCCTCGGTATCAAAGGGACACTGTGTCTGAGTGGGGTACAAGTATTCATGCTAAAACTGCGGCACTGTATCTCAGTGGGCTAGAACTATAAAACCGCCATTAGTCCGGACTAGTACGAGCACACCCACACCCACACCCACACCCACACCCACACCAACACCAACACCCACACCCACACACACACCCACACGGACGCACACACACACACCCGCCCATGCACGTCGCTATATGCGTGCTGTAATCTTGAACGCGATGTTTCAACCCTCACCTGTTGTATCTGTAAGGAGGAGCCAAACACCTTTGTATCAAGCACTAAGCCTCGTTCCTCCTGGACCTTCTATAGGTACTTCGTCAGCTTCATCATCCAGTTCCAGTTCCACCAGGCGCTGTGCCGGGCAGCCAATCAGACGGGGCCGCTGCACAAGTGCGACATATACCAGTCCAAGGCAGCCGGAGATAAACTCAGGTATGAGTGAGTGTGGTTTTACACCACTAAATCGGCGAACGGTTTAACCACTAGGTCAACCCCAAGCCCTTGGATTTGAAAGAGTTGGTGACTGAAAATAGGAAAACAAGGTTAGATCACACTCAACCACTCAGACTGTTGGAGCAGGCCATGATTACGCTCTTCGCGTACACCTGGTGTTATCGCTGATTGTCAGTGATTCATTCATATAGTTTTCACCGTTATTTTGTCTTTTACACCCTATGGAGTTTATACTGTCTCTGGCTTTGGCGTATTGAATTGACGTGGTTGAGTAGGAAGACCTAGTATATATGCATTGACTATTGGTGTAATTTTTAGACAGTAGAAGAAATTGTAAAATGTGAAGACATTGTATTGATACGCAGTTGACAGAAACAGTTAAACATGGAATCAATATCAATGATGTCCCTCCAGCGCCGTGCTGAAGATGGGTCAGTCCAAGCCGTGGCCAGACGCAATGGAGGCCATCACTGGACAGCGCAAGATGGATGTGGGCCCCTTGGTGGAGTACTTTAAGCCACTGCTTGATTGGCTGGAGAAAGAAAACTCTGGCCAATCACTTGGCTGGGATGAAACTTGTCCACCCGGTATGGTTGGGAAGATCAGGGACGAGGGGGTTGCCCAGGAGTGGCTGAAGGAGTACAACCAGAGGTCATCGGAGATATACTATGAGGCCACCGAGGCGGAATACACCTACAATACAAATATCACAGAATATACCATTCAGGCTTCGGTAAGTTTTACGTTGGGGAAATAATAGGTGGTTCAGTGATCTGAGGCGCCGCCTTTCGCCCTTATATAGATGCGTTCCTCAGCTGTGCGGTTCTGGTCCAAGATTCGCACTGATTATGATGACGGGTATTTAAGCACCATGCCAGCGCTCATGAATTTGAAAACGCCTTCGACCTACATTACTTCGGGCTTTCCTCCCCCATGAAGCTGACACGCCCTTCTTAACTGATATACTGTTCACAAGACGTTACATCCAACTCACTCACTCACTCTTGAGGACTGATTTGAATGTGATGACATTGGAAGGAAAGCATTTAGAATCATTAACTGTTTCGGGAAGAGAAACTGACAATAATGATCACATGCTAAATGACTACCAGATACCTCTTATCATTTGGTCGTAAGTTCGGAGTTAGTATACAGCCACGGATCATGTTCGCTGCTAAAATAATGTCATTAACGTAATACTTGCGTGTATCCCTCTCAGCATCCATATCATCGACTATCATGGTGTATTTCCAGGTTGCGGCCAATCTGAAATTGGCCCGGTTTGACAAGGAGTCGGCAGCGAAAGCAGCCGAGTTTGAGCCCAGTGCTTTCCCCGACAAGCTCCTCCAAAGAGAGTTCAAACTTATCAAAGACATCGGAACCAGCGCTCTCAAGAATGAGACTAAACTAGCAAGGGTAATTAGGGACTCGTTACTGTTTTCTCGCCGTACGACATGATTTCAAATTAGGCAGTGATTTCTTGTTAAAAAACGGCCACATCATTCGAGATCAGACGTTAAAAGTATATGTCCTAAAATGTACAGTACTGTGACCATGTTTTACGAAGCACGTCTCGTAATATACGTAAGTGCAACCTGTAGGACTGTGCAGTATCAAGTGTATACATATTAAAGGAGCCGAACATCCTCCATTGTTCTCGTAGATGGAGAAGTTGCTGTCTGATATGCAAGGCATCTACAGCAAAGGCCGAGTGTGCCTCTCTACCGGGCGATGTCTAGAGCTGGAGCCAGGTATGTTTGTCACTCTACAGGGTGATGTCTAGAGCTGGAGCCAGGTATGTTTGTCACTCTACAGGGTGATGTCTAGAGCTGGAGCCAGGTATGTTTGTCACTCTACAGGGCGATGTCTAGAGCTGGAGCAAGGGAATGTTTGTCACTCTACAGGGTGATGTCTAGAGCTGGAGCCAGGTATGTTTGTCACTCTACAGGGTGATGTCTAGAGCTGGAGCCAGGTATGTTTATCACTCTACAGGGTGATGTCTAGAGCTGGAGCCAGGTATGTTTATCACTCTACAGGGCGATGTCTAGAGCTGGAGCCAGGTATGTTTGTCACTCTACAGGGTGATGTCTAGAGCTGGAGCAAGGGAATGTTTATCACTCTACAGGGTGATGTCTAGAGCTGGAGCCGGTAGGTTTGTCACTCTACAGGGTGATGTCTAGAGCTGGAGCCAGGTATGTTTGTCACTCTACAGGGTGATGTCTAGAGCTGGAGCCAGGTATGTTTATCACTCTACAGGGTGATGTCTAGAGCTGGAGCCAGGTATGTTTGTCACTCTACAGGGTGATGTCTAGAGCTGGAGCCAGGTATGTTTATCACTCTACAGGGTGATGTCTAGAGCTGGAGCCAGGTATGTTTGTCACTCTACAGGGCGATATCTGGAGCTGGAGCCAGGTATGTTTGTCACTCAACGGGGCGATGTCTAGAGCTGGAGCCAGGTATGTTTGTCACTCTACAGGGTGATGTCTAGAGCTGGGGCCAGGTAGGTTTGTCACTCTACAGGGTGATGTCTAGAGCTGGAGCCAGGTATGTTTGTCACTCTACAGGGTGATGTCTAGAGCTGGAGCCAGGTATGTTTGTCACTCTACAGGGCGATGTCTAGAGCTGGAGCCAGGTATGTTTGTCACTCTACAGGGTGATGTCTAGAGCTGGAGCCAGGTATGTTTATCACTCTACAGGGTGATGTCTAGAGCTGGAGCCAGGTATGTTTGTCACTCTACAGGGCGATGTCTAGAGCTGGAGCCAGGTATGTTTATCACTCTACAGGGTGATGTCTAGAGCTGGAGCCAGGTATGTTTGTCACTCTACAGGGTGATGTTTAGAGCTGGAGCCAGGTATGTTTGTCACTCTACAGGGCAATGTCTAGAGCTGGAGCCAGGTAGGTTTGTCACTCTACAGGGTGATGTTTAGAGCTGGAGCCAGGTATGTTTGTCACTCTACAGGGCGATGTCTAGAGCTGGAGCCAGGTAGGTTTGTCACTCTACAGGGCGATGTCTAGAGCTGGAGCCAGGTATGTTTGTCACTCTACAGGGCGATGTCTAGAGCTGGAGCCAGGTAGGTTTGTCACTCTACAGGGCGATGTCTAGAGCTGGAGCCAGGTATGTTTGTCACTCAAGGGGGCGATGTCTAGAGTTGGAGCCAGGTAGGTTTGTCACTCTTCAGGGCGCTGTCTGGACCTGGAGTCCGGTAGTGTATAGGCTTGGAGCCGGTAGGTGTTTCTCTGTACAGAACCGTATTGGACATGGAGCCGGGTAGATGTGTCTCTCTACTGCGCCGTGCATAGGCCTGGAGCCGGTAGGTGTTTCTCTGTACGGAGCCGTATTGGACCTGGAGCCGGTAGATGTGTCTCTCTACTGCGCCGTGCATAGGCTTGGAGCCGTTAGGTGTGTCTCTGTACGGAGCCGTATTGGACATGGAGCCGGGTAGATGTGTCTCTCTACTGCGCCGTGTATAGGCTTGGAGCCGTTAGGTGTGTCTCTGTACGGAGCCGTATTGGACATGGAGCCGGGTAGATGTGTCTCTCTACTGCGCCGTGCATAGGCTTGGAGCCGTTAGGTGTTTCTCTGTACGGAGCCGTATTGGACATGGAGCCGGGTAGATGTGTCTCTCTACAAGGCATGGGCTTGGAGCCGGTAGGTGTTTCTCTGTACGGAGCCGTATTGGACCTGGAGCCGGTAGATGTGTCTCTCTACTGCGCCGTGCATAGGCTTGGAGCCGTTAGGTGTGTCTCTGTACGGAGCCGTATTGGACATGGAGCCGGGTAGATGTGTCTCTCTACTGCGCCGTGCATAGGCTTGGAGCCGTTAGGTGTTTCTCTGTACGGAGCCGTATTGGACATGTAGCCGGGTAGATGTGTCTCTCTACAAGGCATGGGCTTGGAGCCGTTAGGTGTGTCTCTGTACGGAGCCGTATTGGACATGGAGCCGGGTAGATGTGTCTCTCTACAAGGCATGGGCTTGGAGCCGGTAGGTGTTTCTCTGTACGGAGCCGTATTGGACATGGAGCCGGGTAGATGTGTCTCTCTACTGCGCCGTGCATAGGCTTGGAGCCGTTAGGTGTTTCTCTGTACGGAGCCGTATTGGACATGGAGCCGGGTAGATGTGTCTCTCTACAAGGCATGGGCTTGGAGCCGGTAGGTGTTTCTCTGTACGGAGCCGTATTGGACCTGGAGCCGGGTAGATGTGTCTCTCTACTGCGCCGTGCATAGGCTTGGAGCCGTTAGGTGTGTCTCTGTACGGAGCCGTATTGGACATGTAGCCGGGTAGATGTGTCTCTCTACAAGGCATGGGCTTGGAGCCGTTAGGTGTGTCTCTGTACGGAGCCGTATTGGACATGGAGCCGGGTAGATGTGTCTCTCTACTGCGCCGTGTATAGGCTTGGAGCCGTTAGGTGTGTCTCTGTACGGAGCCGTATTGGACATGGAGCCGGGTAGATGTGTCTCTCTACTGCGCCGTGTATAGGCTTGGAGCCGTTAGGTGTGTCTCTGTACGGAGTCGTATTGGACATGGAGCCGGGTAGATGTGTCTCTCTACTGCGCCGTGTATAGGCTTGGAGCCGTTAGGTGTTTCTCTGTACGGAGCCGTATTGGACATGGAGCCGGGTAGATGTGTCTCTCTACTGCGCCGTGCATAGGCTTGGAGCCGTTAGGTGTGTCTCTGTACGGAGCCGTATTGGACATGGAGCCGGGTAGATGTGTCTCTCTACTGCGCCGTGTATAGGCTTGGAGCCGTTAGGTGTTTCTCTGTACGGAGCCGTATTGGACATGGAGCCGGGTAGATGTGTCTCTCTACTGCGCCGTGCATAGGCTTGGAGCCGTTAGGTGTGTCTCTGTACGGAGCCGTATTGGACATGGAGCCGGGTAGATGTGTCTCCCTACTGCGCCGTGCATAGGCTTGGAGCCGTTAGGTGTTTCTCTGTACGGAGCCGTATTGGACATGGAGCCGGGTAGATGTGTCTCTCTACAAGGCATGGGCTTGGAGCCGGTAGGTGTTTCTCTGTACGGAGCCGTATTGGACGTGGAGCCGGGTAGATGTGTCTCTCTACAAGGCATGGGCCTGAAACCGACAAATATCTATCTCTACAGTAATGTGACCTACCTTTGGAAAGTAGGAAAATCAAAAACATCAATGCAACGATAATTTCATGAGCGCAGAGTTGTGACTTTGTTACCCATGTTGTTGCTGCAGGGCTGACGAGGCTGATGGCGTCGTCGCGGAACTACAGCGAACTGCAGGAGGCGTGGAGGAAGTGGAGGGACGTCACGGGCAAGACCATGAAGACGATGTACCAAGAGTTCGCGTCGCTGAGCAACGAGGGAGTCCAAACATTAGGTAAGATGATCATAAATACGAGAAACGATTCAAACTGATGCGATTGCTTGTAGGGCCAATGATTATTTGTAATGTATAACTTATTGAATAGTGCGGGAGCCTGTCCAGATGAGAAATCCTAATTTATCCTTTCTCATTATGTTGACTTTTGAGTGACTGAAATTGTTGAGGGACTGATATTTGATATTTCTGAGTTGGGGCTCGGATAAACAATGTTGCCAACATAGTTATCTGGTTTCCTAGGTTACGCCGACACTGGGGAGTACTGGAGATCCTGGTACGAGAGCGACTCCTTCCAGGAGGGACTCCAGAAGCTCCTTGCCAAACTGAAGCCTTTCTACCAGCAACTGCACGGGTATGTCCGCCGGAAGTTAAAGGCGGTGTACGGAGCTGAACACTTCCCCTACAGTGGACATATCCCTGCTCATCTTCTAGGTCAGTGTTTGTACCCGTGATAAAGCAGATACATCGATTTATTAACGTAAAACACAGGTGTTTAATCATTCGTGATCAACTCGTACTATTCCGGGACAAGCCGAACAGCGACTCGTGCCCCTCTCATGGCCATTTTTGCGACTGGGTTCCGTCAAAACCCAAACGGGCTTGCCTAAAAGAATTGTCAACTCGTTGCGCAATGATGCACGTATATTTTCCCCATGTATCATATATTTTCCTGATGCTATTTAAGACACATCGGGACTTACGGTATTATACAGCATGAACACATTTAACTGTATGTTGGGACATATATAAAGTCAGAAATTATTCCTGAGGGATGCTTTGACCAAAGTACTTGAAGTCATACGCCCAGTGTGGTTGGTTTGTCGTATTTTCGCACATAAAATTCATGGATAAGGTTCGAGTCTTCTTGCAGGTTATGGAAAGAGGTGAATGGGGACGAATGGTGTTAAATACAAGCAGTATAATACGGTGTTAATTACAAGCTTAGGAAGCGGGGTAAAAGTACGTTTTTATACTAAGTGGACAAGACCTCAAACAGTACATTTGTACTTTTTGCGGTTGAGATGTGGAGTGGATGTATATCAATTTTTGTTTCTATTATCTATAGTTTGGTTGTTTTGTGTTATGTATGAGTACCGTTTCAGCCTGATAATTAATTATTTCATGTCGCAGGTAATATGTGGGCACAGGCGTGGAAGAACATCAATGATTTGGTCACACCTTTTCGGAACAAGACAGGCGTGGACGTCACACCTCAGATGAAGGAGCAGGTACAGACATAGATAACAGCTTGTAGCGTAACATATCTTGTAATGTTCAATTGATTGGGCGCTCTGAAAGTTCACTGGAAGGAAAATCAATACATCAACTGTTATGCTTCGTGATAAGTGCAAGTGTCTGTCGTCTATTCTATGTTTTCTTAGGTCGGTGTATTTATTGCTAAATTTTTATGTTCCATCTGACATCGACACCTTTCTGTCGGGTATGTCACAATGGCCACTGTCCCCACATGAACAGACTTATAGATGGCTTAGTCACCATAATGGCCGCATCCGGTAAGCTGACTGAGCAAAATTGTTCAACCCCATTAGCTGAATAATTATCTTGTAAGCTGATTAACTACAATAGCTGCAACCTGTAAGTTGATTCACTGCAATAGCTGTATCTGCAAGCTGACTGACTACTATAACTGTATCCCGTAAGATGATTGATTTTAATAGCTGTATCCCGTAAGATGATTGATTTCAATAACTGTTTCCCGTAAGATGATTGATTTCAAAATTTGCATCCTGTAAGTTGATTCACTGCAATAACTGTATGTGTAAGCTGACTAACTACTATAACTGTATCCTGTTAGATGATTGATTTCAATAGCTGCATCCTGTAAGATGATTGATTTCAATAGCTGCATCCTGTAAGTTGATTCACTGCAATAACTGTATGTGTAAGCTGACTAACTACTATAACTGTATCCTGTAAGATGAATGATTTCAATAGCTGCATCCTGTAAGATGACTCATTTCAATAGCTGCATCCTGTAAGATGATTGATTTCAATAGCTGCATCCTGTAACATGATTGACACAGTGGTTGCACACCGCAGGGCTACACGGTAGAGAAGATGTTCTGGACAGCCGAGGACTTCTTCAAGTCTCTGGGTCTAGAGGCCATGCCTATGGAGTTCTGGCAAGACTCAATGATCAGACGACCCCCGAACAGAGATGTCGTCTGCCACGCCTCTGCCTGGGACTTCTACAACGCTAAAGACTTCAGGTTATAATTGTGTGACCAAAGTAGGAGCAGGATTACACATGCCATAATGAACTCACTATAAATATATTGTCATATAACTCGCTTTCTCGGTGTCTTACAAGAAAGGCTATCAGATAACCTTCCAAAACAAGTAAATTTATTTCCCTTAAATCTTATGGTCGTGGGTTACGAGAAAATACAGAATAAAATTAGATATATACAGTTACTAGTATTTAGTCTAGGAAATATGGAATGCAAATGTCTTGCGTCATGTCTGCCACTTTTTTGTGACATTTATATTTGTCTGAATTTGAAAGATTGTATGTATTGTTTATCACTAATAATATACTTATTTACTTGACAGTTTGCATTATATGAATATATGTAGTTTGTGGATTTCTTCACCTCACAAGGTGAAAGATTTTCTTTAAATATTCTGATTTCAGAATCAAGATGTGTACGGACATTAACATGGAGGACCTGATCACCATCCACCACGAGATGGGGCACATCCAGTACTATCTCCAGTATAAGCACCAGCCCCATGCTTTCAGGGACGGAGCTAACCAAGGCATGCATCTCATCTTTTGTTTTGATAAACATGAAAATCAATATCATATCATTAACGTTTGTTTGATCTCCATATTTATAAGATCGCTTACATGTGACCAAGGTGTTGGTTTTCATCCTGAAAATTGAGTTGACAGTCATTGAGATCTCATTGAAAACATCATCAGAAGCAACATAGATCACATTGAAAACATCACCAGAAGCAACTTAGATCTCATTGAAAACATCACCAGAAGCAACTTAGATCTCACTGAAAACACCATGAGAAGCAAACTTAGATCTCATTGAAAACATCATCAGAATCAACTTAGATCTCATTGATATCATCAGAATCAACTTAGATCTCATTGAAAACATCATCAGAAGCAACATAGATCACATTGAAAACATCACCAGAAGCAACTTAGATGTCATTGAAAACATCACCAGAAGCAACTTAGATCTCACTGAAAACACCATCAGAAGCAACTTAGACCCATTGAAAACATCATCATCAGAAACTTAGATCTCATTGAAAACATCATCAGAAGCAACATAGATGACATTGAAAACATCACCAGAAGCAACTTAGATCTTATTGAAAACATCATCAGAATCAACTTAGATCTCATTAACATCATCAGAATCAACTTAGATCTCATTGAAAACATCATCAGAAGCAACATAGATGTCATTGAAAACATCATCAGAAGCATCATAGATCTCATTGAAAACATCATCAGAGGCAACATAGATGTCATTGAAAACATCATCAGAATCAACTTAGATCTCATTGACATCATCAGAATCAACTTAGATCTCAATGAAAACATCATCAGAAGCAACAGATGTCATTGAAAACATCATCAGAAGCAACATAGATCTTAATGAAAACACCATCAGAATCAACTTAGATCTCTCATTGAAAACATCATCAGAAGCAACATAGATCTCATTGAAAACATCATCAGAAGCAACTTAGATCTCATTGAAAACATCATCAGAAGCAACATAGATGTCATTGAAAACATCATCAGAAGCAACATAGATCTCATCGAAAACATCATAAGATTCAACTTAGATCTCATTGAAAACATCATCAGAAGCAACATAGATGTCATTGAAAAAATCATCAGAAGCAACTTAGATCTCATCGAAAACATCATCAGAAGCAACATAGATGTCATCGAAAACATCATCAGAAGCAACTTGACTGAAACAGGTGGATGTTGCTTTCAGAGTAGAAGTTTCATTTGAAGGAAACATATAATGCTATTATCCAATGTGGTACTACGTTGCCAAAACATGTTATTCTTTGGGAAAACATGCGGGATGGCACTTCAAATACTGTTCATTGCATGTCTGTTACCTTATTTTTTTCCTTTTGTATATTATATATATATATATTATGTGGATACAAAATGTAATGTGTTGATCCTCTGCAGGTTTCCATGAAGCCATCGGTGACGTCATGTCGCTGTCCGCATCTACTCCCAACCATCTGAAAACAATCGGCCTGTTAGAGAAGGTTGAGGATGACCCAGGTAGGATTCAGCCACGTCATTAACAGCTCTTCCCCAAAAACTTCATCTTTAGTAGTGGAATATATACATGAGGTTTCGGGGAAGCTATGTCCTCTTGATACGCATGTAGAGAGATGTCTTAAGATTCAGGAAGTAAGGACCCTCTACTGGACGTTGAGCGAAACATTAGAGGTACTCAACATTTGACATCAAACCATAAATTAATAGAATAAACCACTGACTCTTATGTGTTCTTCAGAGAGTGATATCAATTTTCTCATGGCCACTGCCTTGGACAAGATCGCCTTCTTGCCGTTCGGCTACCTGATTGACCAATGGCGATGGAGTGTTTTCAGTGGGGAGTCGCCAATCAACAACTACAACAGTAAATGGTGGGAGTTAAGGTACAAGAACCAGTCATTTCAGTTTAATGAATAGAGAGAGCAACTCAATATAGTTTAATGCCGCCTTAAGCAATCATCCAGCCATATCACGACCACGACCGATGACACCAGAAATGAGATTCCACCTTTGTGTGGAATTGATCCGAGCCTTTGGCGTTACAAGCGAACGCTTTATCTAGACTAACACATCGCCCTTAATATGAATCAATATAAGAGCTCAGATGCAGAATACCTTATATGTGAACTAAATAATCGAATTAACTTCCAGTTGAACTGCTGTTCATAATGATTGTTTGAATAATGCTTTCATTTCTCATAACCTCCACGTGTCCACGACACCTGCTGATATAACGCCTGAAACTGACTTTTGACCAATGCGTGTTTTTCATGTCTGTCACATTTAGTTATCATTCTGATATTCTACTCCTGTTTTTTGTAACAGCAATGTTCGAGCTGCATGAGCCAAGATATTTACACAGGTCCCCGAGCCGTGGTTTCATAGGCCTGGAGTGGAATATGTGCGCAAACTGTTCACTTTATACACCTATATGTTGTTTTTGTGGGACAGATATAGGTCTTGTGACACTATTTTATTTAGATAAAAAGGAACAGTACCAGTATTGGTCCCAATAACGTCACGCATTCTCTATCTGTTACTTATATATACATATACTCCTCCTACTGTGTCGGATATTCCTGCTGTTAAAACTGTGTTGCCCCTTCCGTCTATGATATGTGTCTGTATTGTATACCAGATGTCAGTACCAGGGCGTTTCTGCTCCCGTACCAAGGTCAGAGGCAGATTTTGATCCCGGAGCAAAGTTCCATGTTCCGGCCAACTCTCCATACATCAGGTATGTTGTTTCCCCCTCAGAAATAAAACATGAACATTGGGGCATCTCAGCTAATGATTGGGTTCAACAAGCCTTTGTGCACTTTAAGCATTAGGGCGAATAAGGAACCGACACGGCTAGGGGACGCATGGTTTTCCATGACTCATACTTGTAATTGTTTCATGTCTGACAGGATGGACCCTTTCGTTGATACCCGTTGTGAGGCCGCGTTTACATAGGGAGTTACGACACCCGTAACGCTAAGGTTACTCTGTGGAACGAGGACCTGGGTGGGAGCTCAGATGAGTTTTGTTTTAATGAAGAGAATAACTTCTCATTTACTGTTAAACAGGTAATCGTTACTGGGAATTTGTTATGCATCAGAAAACCAATCGAAAGGTTTTATCTCTTCAGTTCCTCTTGTGTGATGATATGTGTTCCGTTGCCATTTTCATGTTGTTGTTTTTTTTACATTTAATGTCAGGAATGAGTCTCCTCATGTGTCACGGATAGGTGTATTGATATACCTGACGCTGATCGATGTTTGGTGTTCCCAGATACTTCGTGAGCTACGTCATCCAGTTCCAGTTCCACCAGGCGCTGTGCAAGGCCGCCGGACACACGGGGCCGCTACACAAGTGTGATATCTACAATTCCAAGGAGGCAGGAACACGTCTTGGGTTGGTTGTTCTGTCAATATTTTGGAGACAGGATTAACTTGTTTCCAGATAACCCAAATTGGACCTTAGTTTCATTCACCGAAACACCACCATACTGGCGCTGCATTTAATCATGTTATGAATCAATATGAGCCAGGTCTAATTGACCTTTTGATTTCATCAATGTCCTGTGCCATGTAAAAAAAGAGACATTGGCGCTACCATATTTGTCTATGCTTACCTATGGAGGTAGCAAGTTGTAGCATATTTGTGGAACGAGATCATGAACATGATGGTATCAGCACAAAGGAATTGGAGAGTACGTATTGCTTTAATCCGCAACAGTGTTGTATATGTATATATATATTCATTATATTCCCCTTTGTGACGAAATATCTAATATGTGTATGATCTCAAACGTCATATCTATCTTCCAATTCGCAGTAACGTGCTGAAGCTTGGCGCTTCGAAGCCGTGGCCGGATGTGATGGAGATGATGACGGGAGGCAGGGACATGGACGTCGGGGCGTTGCTGGAGTACTTCCAACCTCTTATTGATTGGCTGGAGAAGGAGAATGAAGGGGAGGAGCTAGGCTGGAGTGACAGCTGTCCATCAGAAGATGCTACTGAAGCTGGTCAGTTCTTGCAGGACTACGACAAAGAAGCTGAGAAGTATCTGGTCAAAATGAGCGTTGCGGACTGGGCGTACCAGACTAACCTCACAGACGAAACCTCAAAGGCGTCGGTACGTGGATAACATTGTACTTTACAATGGAAAACCTTCATTTAATGCATGATGCGTCAGTGAATCGAACTCATAATATCGGATCTCCCTAAAAAATGGACGCAACTCCGCACAACGAATTGTGACGTCTTAGACAACTGGGCCACCCGATGATGATGATGTTGCCCAAAACAATTTCCCATGACGGGCGTGAAAGGGAAATAACTGATTACTCAAGAGTAATGGGGTTATTTTTGAATAGGGGCCTGAAAACTAGCTGACTGAAATGATGTGGTAGTGTTTTTTTTAGTTGCTTTTGCTTGTTTGTTTTCATGGGTAAGACATTTAGATCCTACCGTTTAATTTGGTTTTGATAAGATAATTGCCTAGGTGGTAATAGTTGGATGAATTAATTAGGAATTGCTGAATTGTGGTGATGCGTGTGCCTATTTCACTTAAGAGTTTGTTGCGTTGTATGTTGTAGTTTACATTGGAAAATTACATACACTATAGGACAGTGTGGGCAGGTGCCTGTACGATGATTTTTAATTTTGAGCTTATGTCTGTTCAGGTTTGTGTGACCAGTGTGGAGTCTAGTTATTGCCATGTCCGTTAGTTTGTTTTTGTGGTACGTTGAGACTTTGTGTTGAGTTTTTTTCACTATTTCTTTATGTATTGGAGGGAGATGGCCTGGTTTAAAGCTAGAGGGCCGTTTTTGCTGGTGTAGTAGTTTAGATTTGTATTTATGGTTGGAGTTGGTAGTTGTGGTGTAAAGTTTTGCGACTGAGGGTTTTCCGTTTTGATGTGGCTAAGCCCAAGTTCGTGTATTTTATTAAGAATGTAGCTAACACTTGTTTGTAGGCCTTTGCTTACTTGAATGAGTTTTTTTATATGCGGTTTTAGGTTTTTAGTATTACTTAGTAGTTGTTGCATTAGTTTATTGTGGACGGCGCTGGTCCAGTAATTTAGTGAGAGTTGGTCCCTTCGGGGCTCGAGGGGAAGCTCTCCTGAAAGTGCTAGTAGGGCCTCAAGGGAAGTGTCCGTAGTAGTACTGAGTGCCATTTTGAGAGCTTGTTATAGTATTGAGTTTAGAGTTTGACGTTTTGAAAAGGTTTTGATCTGATAAGGGTTTGGTAGATACCTAAGAGTTTTTTTATTTGCTCCCCAAGTTGAGCCTCTTATTGCTCTCAAGAGGTTAAGGTCCTTGGCGCACCTACTTTTAGGGTCTTTGACATGAGCTTCCCAGGTGAGATGCTGGTCAAAAATTAGCCCTAGGAATTTGGCTTCTGTTTTAAATTGAATATTTTGGCCGTTTAGAGTTATGGTAGGGTTTATTTGGAGCTTCTTGCGATGTTTGAAGATAATGCCTATGTTTTTAAATATGTTTACATTGAAGCCCAACTTGGTCGACCAATCAGCAACGTTATTGATAGCGTTTTGAAGTAGTTCCGTTGCTACTGAAATTGCGCCGCTACGGACCCAGAGAGTTCCGTCGTCTGCAAACTTAGATGTGTTTACTTTTTTGTTTATGCCTGGAAGAGATCATCTATTATTATATTGAATAGAGTCGAGCTAAGTATGCTACCTTGAGGTGTACCGTTTTGGAGTTTATAGGGATTGGATGTGGCCCCATCAGCGCCAACTGTGATATGTCTATGTTTTAGAAAGCTGTGGATTATGTTTGCTATCCTATGCCCTTTTTGTTTCATTTTTGCATTAAACCATGGTGCCAGACCATGTCAAATGCTTTAGAGAAATCGAGGGAGATTTCTACTGTATATTGTTTTAGAGCTATACCCCTAGCGGCATCCTGTTGGAGCCTGGTGAGGTGGCCTATGCTGGATCGGTCTTCTCGGAAGCTGCTTTGGTCCTGTGAGAGACTATCGTTTTGATTTAGTATGTGGTTTAGCCTACGTTTGATTATGGATTCAAATGTTTTACATAGGTTGGAAGTTAGAGGTATCAGTCGATATGTGTCCGATTTATCTTTGGGTTTGCTTGGTTTAGGCACTGGTATGACAAGTGCTTCCTTCTAGGCTGAAGGAGCTCACACAATGGAAAGGAGGAATATTATCTAAATGTTCAGGACAATATTCCTATAAAAAAATTTAACAGCTTGGAACATCGATTTTTACCATATCAACTGATTTTCAATATTAAAAGCAACGATACCTGTCCGCAAATGACGCAAAGTAAACCATGTCAGAGAGTTCTTCTCACCCTATGATCTTTGACGAGCCGACCCCATTCCCCATCGCCATGAGGTTATAGGCTTGACAGTAAGAGGGTACGCCACTATTCTGTTGTAGGTTCGTGGTCGCTTAGATGTGGCTGATTTCCAAAGTCGATATGCTGATCGAGCCAACAAGATAGACTGGGGGAACATAGAGGAGGATTCCATCAAACGCCAGTTCCAGAAGATCACAAACATCGGTACCAGTGCAATGAAGGACAAGAACAAACTGAAGAAGGTAAATTACCTGGAAGTGCACTTGAATGATTTGCTTTCATTGTTTGTTGTGTTCCAGCGCACCCAGCAATATTCCAGCTGTATGACGGTGGTCTGTGAGGAACCGGTCGGACTAGATAATTCAGTGATTGGCATTGGGCGTGGATCCACATCATTGGGATGCGATGACATGGGACCGAACAACTGACCTTGCCTGAACACCCAATTCATTTGGTCGCCTCTTACAACAAGCATCGCTTGCTGGGGACCTATATTTACCCTGAATCCCCATGGATTTGGTGACTTGCAATGTGTTTGTGTCAATATTTTTATAGTGTTTTAGACTAAAATTTGGTGAAGTGAATGAGACATGATATAGACAATATAAATATAAGCGACAAAAAACATTTTTATAATCATAAGAAATTGGTAAATCAGTGGAAGGGAATTGACAATTTAATCATATCATATCAGACCATCGATACACATGAAGCATTAGTCAAACGTCTCGGCCAAATTCCCGTGTTTTGATCCGAGCAGTAATTAAGATTCACGTGCATAAAGAAACAAGACAAAATAGAAATCCCGGTTTACAAATCTGTACACCTAGACTGAGCGTTGGTGTAGCCAAGTTATTAGGTCTTGGCGCTCCAATGAAACTTCAAGGCTGAAAGGGGCGATAACATAGTCTCCATCACCTGAAATTACCGACTTTGTTGTTTTTAGATGGAAGAGCTCCAGTCTCAGATGGAGAACATTTATGGGGCGGGTCAAGTGTGTCTCAATAGCTCCGACTGCAGGCCACTCACGCCAGGTAGGTTGTTGTCACAGGTATCTATTACAGAATGTGTATCAGGTGTGTGATAGGACTTGGACAACTACCTTTATATTTTCGCATCCAACGTTTTGACCTGTTGATAGATTCCATGCACGATTCATATGAAGAACACCCAGGTAACACGTAATTTTGTATTTACCCAAATCTCTCCCACACACCTGTTTGTCAGTAACATGGCCCCAGGCCTAGCGGTAGACTAGACTATGCATGCACTATCTACACACATGCCATCTTCACTTCATAAACTATCTACGCTACCTACACTATCTATATTACCTGCAATACATTCCCTTGGGGGACCTCACATTACCTGCAATACATACCCTTAGGGTCTCTCCCCACAGCCTGTCAGACCCGTGACGATCCGGGTAGAATAGGTCTTCAGCAATCCATGTTTGCCGTAAAAGGTGACTATGCTTGTCCTAGGAGGCCACTAACGGGATCGGGTGGTCAGGCTTCCAGCTTTGGTTGATGCATGTCATCGTATCCCAATTGCTTGGATCGATGCTCATGATATCAATCACTGGATTGTCTGGTCCAGACTCGATTATAACAGACAGCCGTCATACAGCTGGAATAGTGCTGAGTGCGGCGTTAAACAACAAACAAAGAAACACAGCCTGTCAATGTATGGTTGGTTGGTTGGTTGGTTGTTTAACGGCACACTCAGCAATATTCCAGCTATATGACAGCGGTCTCTAAATAATCGAGTCTGGACCAGACAATCCAGTGATTGATATCAAGAGCATCGATCCAAGCAATTGGGATACGATGACATGCATCAACCAAAGCTGGAAGCCTGACAAAGATAAAAAGAGAGGCATGTGAAATATGCTTGAGTCAGGCTAGAAACGTGTTAGTAGGTTCATCCTTTTGGTCAGCTAATCGTGTAGGGAACCTGAGCTCACTCATAGTGGTGAACATCATCTACCAGCTTCTAGGTAGAGTCCTTAAACACTGATGGACAAAAGAAACTATACAAAAAAGACGTTGCGTTCAGGAAAAGGAAAGGTAAGACAATTCAACGATGGTATATGTTTTTTCAAAGGACATCAGTTAGCACCAACAACATAATGTGTCGAATCACAGCCAGTGGAAATAAAGAATTCAGAGGGTCAATAAGGAGACCGGTGTCAGTTGTTCAGTATTCGATCACACAGAATTGAAAGTGTAGACACAATGAAGTCCCACTTGTCTGTCAGTATTGGGTATGCCCTTCATGGGCATCAGTACACGCCCTTGCAAGTCAGACGCCTGATGATGAGAAGTGGCATTAGCAACCGTTCCTCCCGGGCTGCCTGCAGTAACTGCTGTCTGAATCTGACGTCCAATATGGTTGGTTGGTTGGTTTGTTGTTGAACGCCGCACTCAGCAATATTCCAGCTATATTACGGCGGTCTGTAAATAATCGAGTCTGTACCAGACAATCCAGTGATTGATATCATGAGCATCGATCCACGCAATTGGGATCGATGACATGCATCAACCAAGCCAGCGAGCCTGACCACCCGATCCCGTTAGTCGCCTTTTATGACAAGCATAGTCACCTTTTACGGCAAGCATGGGTTGCTGAAGACCTACCCCGGAATCTTCACGGGTCCAATATGGTCCCACAAGTGTTTCTTTTGCTCCTCAGTATATATGACATGGGTCATCCCTTCTAGAACAAACGCAGAATCCGATCCTAGCTCACGGACAAAACATCACACACCACCTCTTCTATGGCTTTGCACTTGCTCGTGAGATTTTATTTAATATTTTTCTGAAATTGTAAACACAACTGCTAGATCTTAATTTCTTTTGTACAGAAGACATTGTTTCTTTATTATCTTGTTTCCAAGATCAGTATATCTTAAATCAAAATTGAATTGTCTAATTCACATATAAAACATCATTTTCTACAGCATTAGAACAGATCATGGCCTCATCACGTGACTATGACCTCCTTCTGAAGGTATGGAAGGGTTGGAGGGACAACACAGGAAAGAAGATGAAAGACCTGTATCGCCAATTTGCTGAACTGAGCAACGAGGGTGTGCGAGAACTCAGTGAGTGGTCACGCTCTCTATACCTGTACCCTGTACCCGCTGAGCTGAATCCTGGGCCCACTTGCACAAAGCGATCTTAGCACTACAACTATTGTAAGCCTATGTTAAAGTATTGGAGTTACGATCATCTTAGCGCTAAGATCGCTTTGTGCAAGTGGGCCCTGTTCTGTTCGGGGAGTTTGCCCTAAACGTCAGTACCTTACTCTTTGCCGCATCCTGTACCACAGGCCTTGGTTCTGTGTCAGTTGTTCCCGAGTACGCTGTGTACCGTGCTTATCCTGTACCCTTCTTGTCTACCTCGTCTTGTCTCCTGTTCACTAACAATATCACATACCGGGTACCGTCTTGTCAATTTCCTGTAGCCCGTGTGCTGCGTCAGGCAATCAATACAAATTATGCAAATTGTATGAATGGCGGGTGCTACCGGTAGGGCAGGACATGCTTAACCTTTTCGCGAACACCCGGTGTCGTCACTGATTTTCAGTGGTCCATTCATATGGATTCCAAGTGGAATCTGTTTCGGTAGAAAACCTGGCTGGTTATTCTCTTGCATTGACAATTTATATTTCCATCTACCTTGTACCTACTTGTCAGTCTCCTGTGCCCATACACGTGTATGTACCCTGTACCCGTTTGACTACCCGATGTTATGATGATTCAAGGTACCGTGTACCCACTTGTCTACGTCTATGACAATATCATGTACCCGTTTTACTACCATTGTACCCGATGTTATGGCGATTTAAGGTACCTTGTACCCACGTGCTTACCCCCTGTGTCGTGTCCACTATAGTAATTCTGTTATGTACCGGGTAGATGCTGATCTACCAATCGCTGTATCCTATTCCATAACTTTATCATTTGACTACCCCTATACCCGGTGTTGTGACGATTCCATGTACCGTGTGCCTTCCTGTCTGCCCTCCACATTTTTATTTTTTTATTATTTTTTTATTATTCCACTTTTTTTTGTCGTACAGCACTTCAAACATATTAATGTTCATACAGCGATTCTTAAAACAACAACAGAATCATACATCATGGGGGCATATGAACTTGGATAATTCGGTATTTGAGTTGATATGGTTACAAAAATAATTTGTGGCAGCTGGACCAAAACTTCACAAACTTGTTGTAGTTACAGTTAGAGTAAGCTATCGCTTTAGTTATAAAGTAGTAATTTGCCAACTCTCTCTGGATCAACTCGAAAGACAATTTTATCTTTTTAAGATAAAATTTGAATATAGTATCCTTAATGACAAGGCATATAGCATTTAATGGATCATTTCCTTCAAATGGAAAGCCCGGTAAAACGTTTTCTTTGGTGAAATTGATATGAATTTCCGCCTTATTATTTATCCATCTTTCAAGTTCGGCCCAGAGAGAGAGTTAGCGTTTTCACAATTCCATAGTACATGAGACATGTTGTGACGATTCCATGTACCGTGTGCCTTCCTGTCTGTCCTCCACATTTTGATAAAGGTTGTCCAAGATACCTCGATGAGGTTTGGTACACAAAAAGAAACTGTATGTTACGTAACATATTAACAACATATTTTCAACCTTCACTTCATACATTCCTCGTTCATAAATTCCATTTACCCCGATAGAGCTCCAAGAAGAAAATATCATTCCTTATTACTAAATGCTTAATAAAGGTGTTGGTGTTGATCTTTGTATTCACAACTCCAATGTTTCATGGTAGACTACAAGGACACGGGCGACTACTGGAGATCAGCATACGAGAGCACCACCTTCCAAGAAGACATCCAGGAACTGCTGGCAGAGTTACGTCCCTTATATGAACAGCTGCACACCTATATACGGAAGAAACTGATTGGTCATTACGGACAGGAAAGGTTTCCGGCAAGCGGACATATCCCGGCTCACATATTAGGTGGGCAATGGAAGGACATTGGTGTCAGCAGGATAGCTATAGACCAACATTTAACAATCTTGTTGCCACCTTTTCAAGACTCTTTTATGTTTATGACATAATTTTGTAGACAAAAATAGTCTGCGAATCTCCTTGATTACACTGTAATGAGATCACGTCAGCATAACAAACCTAAAGGTTTTCAATTCATATTCACAAATCTGGAGTGAAAACCGATTCCTGATCATAGTTCATAATGTACTAATTTACTCAATATACACACATAATTTGAGCTCTAATTTGAAATCTGATCTGATGTAGGATGAGGAATCAACGCGATCTTCTACATTAATAACGCCCTGCCTTTCTAACAGCCACCTGTATAACATCCTGTCCGTCTGACAAGTATTCTACAAATATTCTGCAAAACAGGCGATATCAATGAATAATAACCAATCTGACAAAGACAGATGTGTTTAATGTTGGTAATGAGAGAAGCGTAACAATGAAGAATTCGACAAATCATGATTATCACGAATTCATAGATAGAGGGTCATCACAGTCACCAAAGACGTATTCTGAAAATGCAGTGAATAAGTGTGCTCATTAGTGACCGCTAAATCCGTCACGGCTCAACAAGTATCCATATCAGTGGTCATGTTGCTGTGTTGTCCTTCGACTCTTCTCGAAACGCAAGGTATAGTTCATCGAGCGTAGTTGTGGGCTGCAGGCGTGCTCATCTTCGGATGCTGTCCAGGTGCTCAGTGTGGAAATCCCAGGGCCATTGTTGCTGATGGTATTGTTGTAATGTTAAGCTGCAGCAAGTACATGGTGCCAATCTCCTACGGGTGACACGTGCATTGTCATCTTGAAAGAGAAAACGTCGACCAAAATAAGGGTCGACCGAGTAAGGGTAGCACGATAGGTGCAAGTACGTTGTCATGTCAGTACTGTTTTAGTTACCCTCACAAAGATCGTGTGTAATAGCGTTCTGTCCGTCATGTTGATCCAACTCCAAAACCAGCACTAAACCGCCGTCATACTTATCTTTCTGTGGACATTGACATCGACGTTATGTTCACTGACATGCCTCCCGTCACGACCATGCGTATCAATGAAGTTTAGGGAGAATCTGGATTTGTTTGAGATCATTTCACGTGGACAACGACTATTCCTCCAGTGCCTACGTTATCTGTACCGTTGGCTGCAATAAATTGACCAGTCAAACACCAGTTGCCTGTGTTGGTGGTTGCTTGATTCATTGACTGTGGCACATGAGTGTACTGGCTAAAATACCTAACCGGAAGAATGCCTTAACCTATTTCTTACTTTAAGAAATCACACATACTTGTACGTGTATCCTGATTTGTACAGGTAATATGTGGGGGCAGACCATGGAGAACATATTCGACATCGTCCAACCCTACAAGAACAGGTCAAGTGTGGACATCACACCGCAGATGAAGGAGCAGGTAACTCGTCACTGTCAGGAATACCAGGCATAGTTAGTGGTCAGTGAGTGAGTGAGTGAGTGAACCGAGGTGTGAGTGAGTGAAACACTTAAAAGTTTGATCTCTAACACAAAACAAAATAGAAATCGGGCTATAAAACGCCAGCACCCAAAGGTAGACAACTAAACAAGGGACCAGGGGTATTTACAATACTTCTGCTACTGATGATGATGATGGTGATGGTGGTGGTGGTGTGATGATGATGGTGGTGGTGTGGTGATGATGGTGATGTGATGATGATGATGATGATGTAGTTGTAGGGATGATGATAATGATGATGATGATTTTCATTTATGGTAATATAGGATCATGTATGTGTAAGGTGTTGCTTTCAGAAGGTATTTCGCTTCCGGGGAACATGTCGGGTCTGATAGTGTTAAATAGATAATAGTTTACACAATCTGTCGAGTTACAATGTTTTAGGAGGGAGAACGTTCATGGCCATGAGACATGCCTGAGGCTAAGCAATGTTGACGCCACTTCCTCCACGGCTTACTCAACAGACAATAATTCTGCGGTGCTTTTTAATACCTCTCCAGTGTTGAATGTGTCACTTCCTGCTTTCAGAAATACACGGTAGAACGAATGTTCCGAACTGCGGAGAGTTTCTTTGTGTCCCTTGGACTCAACAAGATGGTGGACTCGTTCTGGACGGACTCCATGATAAGGAAGCCGGCCGGACGGGAGGTCGTCTGCCATCCCTCGGCCTGGGACTTCTATAACGCCAAGGACTTTAGGTGTGTAGTACTATGTGGGCATCTGCCATGAGAACAACTCTATTGAGAACAAACATATTCGCAAAGCTGATCAGATCGCTATTCGGGGGGTGGGGGTGGTAGGGATGATGAGTGGGGTGTGGCTTCCAATAACGTTATTATGACACATTATATGCATTTAATACATTTCTACATCTATGTATATAATACATTCTTCATTCGCAGTTCTATTTCTGCAGGTTATGGCTTGTTCAATAATTGATGAATGTTTTTTCTGACGTTTTCGTTAATTAAAATCCAAGCTTGACCTCCATATGCTTGAAGCATCTGTTAAGACAGATTTGCCCCCTACAGACACGGACGTAGGGGACAGATTAATTTGTAGGAAGATCAAGTTTTAAAAAATAAATAAAAAATTAAGAATGGAAAACATACACTTCTTCCATTTGTACCAAATGAAAAATTGATTATCAGAACCAAGTGCTGAAAGTATAATTGTCTCCAACTGTTTTCAACAAGCACATAAGAGAAAGAATTATCGTGTCATATGTAATAACATATGTCTGTATCGCCACACTAGAATCAAGATGTGCACGGACATAAACATGGTTGACCTGATCACCATCCACCACGAGATGGGACACATCGAGTACTACATGCAGTACATGCACCAGCCTCAGGCATTCAGGGACGGGGCTAACTCAGGTATATAAGTCACACACCTGCAGGGTTTTGCTTTTCTTCAAATTTCATTATCAGATTTTTATGAGAAAGTAATACGTCATGGAGGTCTAATGCCTGTATTTGTCCCCGGCAATTTAGCGTATTATTCCGAGACAAAACATCACACATATTACTGAAAGACGAGAATGGTGATAAGACAGCATGTGCAAAAATGATATATAAATATAGTATTGATACAATAAATAAATAAATATATAGCTTGGATAGACAATCACAGCTTTAAAGTTCATACGATTATATTGCGGATAAATATGATGACGTTATTAAATCTTTATTTATAATACCTAAAGAAGTTTTATTTTGTATTGTTTGTAATACTTATCATTTTCCTATGATGGATGCGTTTGAAACGAACCCGCGTTGACCTCGACCTAAAAATGTCAAATTCGTGCGAAATGCACAAACCACCGACCGACCCTACCATGATGAGTCCCATACAATATACCTTCCCTGTTACCTGTCAGGATTCCATGAGGCCATAGGCGACACCATGGCGCTGTCGGCGGCCACACCCGCCCACCTGCACAAGATCGGCCTCCTTGACAAAGTGGAAGACAACGAACGTAAGTCTGCGGGTGGGAGAGCTTTGAATCGGTCCTTTGTTTGTTTGTGACCTGGTTAGAACAGCAGGTCTCCACAGTGGGTTTGGGAACTATTTTGAGTTTGGTTCAGGAATTGTGGGTTATATTGTCTTAGATTTATGGCTCCAAGTATGGACGTTTATAATATCCACACAATAGGTTATAAAACATAATCCCATCAGTTGGAGATATCTATTGTAAATCTTAATGGAAGTATCTGATACTTGTCATTTAATGTTTAAGGCTATTTGGTAGAGTGCCACACTGCAGCCGCGTATGAGTGTGTTATGTATGTCTGACACCACTCCCTGACCACTCCAGTTAACGTTGTTCTGGATGAAATCTCAAAGAAGACGTTTGACATTAACAATAAATTTATAAACTTTCAATACTTATGAGATTAACCAATACAGCCACCGAATACTTGATGACATAAATATTGCTAAAGGTGGCGTAAACAGTTAGTAGAACTACTTTCTACGACATGAAGGTGTGATGGTAATACGTATTCTCGTCTACAGTTGATGACATCAACTTCTTGCTGAAGACTGCCCTTGAGAAGATCGCCTTCCTTCCGTTCGGCTACCTGATTGACCAATGGCGGTGGAGTGTGTTCAGTGGGGAGACGCAACCTTCAGAATATAACAAGAAGTGGTGGGATCTAAGGTGACATGAACAAACTTTAAGCATATCAGATTTCAGACCAACACAGAATTCAGCTATTGTCCCTAGACATTTAACGTGTAGCCTATCAGAATCAGATTGAGAATCAGAAGGGGGTCACAGTCGTTGGGAAGGAGATAAATTTGTCAATTCCAAGTCACACCGAAGGTCATGGGCACCGATTAAGCCATTGCTGAAGTTCATTATACGATGCACATTCATATGAGGCGGTAATCTATTTGTTAACTTAAATAACGTAATAATGTGAAAAGTGTATAAAAAAAACTATATCACAGCAGATTTATATTTTATGTTTTCAGGTGTAAATATCAGGGGTTATCTCCCCCTGTTGTGCCCTCGGATGACGATTTTGACCCAGGTGCTAAATACCACATTCCCGATAACACTCCGTATATCAGGTAGGAACACGGTTGATTGTATCGTAAACATACCCGATATTTATACTTTAGTACCCTTGCGAATGAAATAAATGGTTATTACCTGATATGCTAACGTGAAGCTGTAAATCTATTGATGTACTTGACCCCAACGACTGCTACTGGAGGTAATGGTTGCCGCGGCAGCTGTTGTTGTAAAAGTAAGTGGACAATCGTAGAAGTAGGGTTTGTGGAACTGTTGTCAGCATCAGCAGTTGTATTTGTAAAATTAGTTGCGCTTGTAGCACTTTTGTTAACTATATTTTTGTAACTATGTGCATATGATTAAAAATATAATCATTTGTAATGCTGTATTCAAGGTGATGCTAGAAGTGGAAGATTGTGTGTGTGTGTGTGTGTGTGTGTGTGTGTGTGTGTGTGTGTGTGTGTGTGTGTGTGTGTGTGTGTGTGTGTGTGTGTGTGTGTGTGTGTGTGTTTTCGCGGATTTCTAGGTAAATAATATACCCCAACACATAATGTATGTCCCAAACATATAGAGTGGTGACAGTACACAACAGTATTAGATGAAAAGGCTGCTACAGATCAATAAATGAATATTCAATTAACAAGTCAATTTCGTTTTTCTGTCTTAAAAGCGACTTAAAAGAGATTTATTGATATTTTTTTTAAACATGTTAGATAGTCTTACAAAGTACATATTTACACCAAAAGAAAATTATGTTTTGATTTCATTGTTATCTACAAAGCAGTAAACAACTGCCCGGATCCCAACAACCAGCGCGCATGCATATTGTCATCTTAGCTGGAGGCCGAGCTGTGCCTCTGACGTCACAGTAGAGAGACGTCCGCCATTTTGTTTCGTTTACAGTGCATTAATCTATATGACAATGAAGTAATTTTCCGTTATTTTCCGCGTATTGAACACGCACAATTGGGTATTATGTGGACATGGGGATGTTCTAGTTCTTCAAACATACTAAATAAACTTGGTTACGAAAATAAATTTAGCATTCATTGTTACATAGATTTCCATGACTGACTACCCTCTTACAACCATTACAAAGGGCCATGCACATTGATCAGACTCCATGCAAAGGTTATATATTTGACACAATTTTGGACACGTGAAGATCAGAATAGATCTTCAGCAACCCATGCTTGCCGTAACAGGCGACCATGCTTGTCCTAAGAGGCGACAAACGGGATCGGGTGGTCAGGCTTGGTTGATGCATGGCATCATATCTTTATTGCGTAGATCGATGCTCATGATGTCAATCACTGGCTTATCCGGCCCTGACTCGATTATTTACAGACCGCCGTCATATACCTGGAATATTGCTGAGTGCGGCGTTAAGCCCCCGTTACACTATCAAAAACTTTGATCAAAAACTTGGTCAAAGTCCATTTTGACCATTTTTTTATAGTGTAACATGCCATCAAAAACTTTGACAAAGTTTTTGACGAGACTGTGATGGAATAGAAACCGATCCTATTTCTCGTTAAACTTTGATCAAAGTTTGATGACGTTGATTTAATGTAGCCAATCAGACTGCAAGGAACATTTACCCCTTTTCAACCGGAAGTGCATATAGTCAACTCAACACGAGTCAACTATTTTGGACTGATGAGATTAATTGATTTGTTTAAACAAAGAGCAGTCATTCTCGGGACCAAATACCTTTGCCCTCCCCAACGCCGCCTTCTCAACATGGCGGTACACAAAATACAAATGACAACGGCAAACAATTCTTCGTCAGTAGCATCCACCTTGGCAAGATAATTCCCACCAACATTTTGACGGCCTGTACAAAACTTTGATGAGTGTAAACAGCCCAACTTGGACCAAGAACACTTGGTCAAAATTTTCTTTGACCAAGTTTTTTATCAAAGTTTTTGATAGTGTAACGGGGGCTTTAAACAACAAACAAACACAATTTTGGTGCACATAAATTCACATATTCAGTTCATGGTCTTACTTGAAACCCTCACCCAGATTCTGCAGGAAAGGTATCTCGTAATTTATTTATTTTTTAAGGGTGCCAACCCCCTCCTCCCCTGAATCCCGAATACCATCCAATTTTTTCACTCTCATGAGTCTCATTTGCTCATCCTTGAAACCAGAATACTACTCAACAAGAATCTCAAAAGTATTGAGAAAAGGACGCGATTTCAAGTACAATTACTGAAGAAATGTCGAACAATAGTAAATATAGGGGGTTGGCAGCCTCTTTTGTGGGACGTCTTTTATAAACTGGACTTGAAGTTGAGAATCTTCTGTGTGCACAGTATCTGTAAGCCTTGAAATTAATTGAGTACTCATTATAAAAAAAATGAATATAAAACACCTTTACACTGAGGATAACGTTTAACACCAGAATGTGTTCTCCGTGTTCACATCAGACTGATCGTCTTCACTCGGTAGTGCTTCCTCGATTTCCTCACTGATGTCAAGACTATTTTGACTAACCACTGGCTCATATCGATATGGACGAATGTGTGTAAGGTTACTGAGCGATAATCGATGGTATGACGAACGCGAGTAATCTACCAAACACTAAACATAAACAGAGATCGTGTGCAAGTCAACTCTCCACTATGACGTCACGTCACGTGATGACAACTCTATTGTTTCCGGGTTACGAGATGCTTTTAACTTTGTTTGTCACCAATATTGCCTTTAGGATTTTTTCCTTCAAGATACTTGTTTTAAAATGCTTTATAAATGATTTAATCCCATGTTTATAGTTTACTGTAAATCTCCTTTAAAGCTTTAAGCTGCAAGCTAGTTGAGAAACCAGAGACATGAACTCGGGACGTTTTTGTTGTGAATGGATACCTTCTTTTCTCAATCGAAATTATAACACACATTTGCGTGTATATTGTTTAACGCTGTATTCCAGCAATTTGACGGCGCCTGTAGATAATCAAGTCTAAATAAAAATTGATATTGTGAACACAGTCGGGGTACGTTGACACGCCTTCGGTTGGAAGAAGAAATTAAGTGTTGCCAGCAATGGTTCAATTACAGTGATAAAACGTTACATCGATATTAACCATGATTATATCCGTATTATACTGACCGTTCAGTGAAGCAAAAGCGTTTAAACCAACTCTACATATTGCAGATACTTCGTGAGTTTCGTCATCCAGTTCCAGTTTCACAAGGCGCTGTGCCAGGCAGCCAATCAGACGGGGCCGCTGCACAAGTGCGACATCTACCAGTCTAAAGCGGCAGGCAAACTGCTCGGGTAGGTCAAGGTTGTCAGTCCCGGCTTAACGCCGCTTTTAACATTATTCCAGTTATATCACGGCGTGGCAGTTTAATATGGGAGGAAAGCCAGAAGTGATGCAGGTCTCAGACGTTTACCACTTCGGTGAAACCCACGAGCACGGGTATGGTGCTGACAAACATAGAAACAATCGGGGTTTCTTGCGTGCCCAAGGGACGCAACTCTGCACAGCGAATCGCGGCGCCTTAGACGACTGGGCCACCCGTAACACTGTAACACATGGGGCATGTGAGAGTCATATTCGTGCTCTAAGTGCGTCGTCTATTGTCGTATGATTAAATATAACTATTTGTAAATGATATTGTAAAAGTATATACACTCTTTTGGATGGAAAAGGACATATATACATGTCGGTATTGCCAGGCTCAGTGATGCGCCCTATAACTTTAAGAGGGTCCTAAACATAAATATAGTTTCAAATTAATAAATTTCTAATGGTTATTAATGCTTCAAAATATTATAGGATACTAATCAGTTCGAACAAGTATGCTGAATAGCTGTCATAGGGATATCCTGGATGTAGGTAAGCCATCCAATACTTGCTCAAATCATGTCAACATGATTGCTGGAATATCGCTTGCGTCGACCTCTATATCGTACTTAACCCCTTCACAGTTAAACTTCACTGGAGGCTTTTTGTTAATACTTTTGCAAATGGACTGTTCTTTCTTTGAGAAATTGCAGTTCAAGGTCCCTGTGGCCAAGTGAACTAGAATAGGAGAAGCCTAATGGTAAAGAAAAAGGCACAACCAAAGAGATTTACATTCAGTTACTGACGTGACGACGTACAATGTAAAAAGGAAAGCGTATGACGTGTTCTGAAAATGGTTCTTTCTTTACAGAGATGTATTGAAGATGGGTGCCTCGAAGCCTTGGCCGGAAGCCATGGAGGCTATCACAGGGCAGAGAAAAATGGATGCTGGCCCACTTCGAGAGTATTTTAAACCGCTGGCTGATTGGCTACAGCGGGAGAACGCCAATGAACGGCCCGGGTGGAGCGAGTCGTGTCCGGAACCTGATGATTATAATAATGGCGGACACAGTCCCACTAAAAGACACAATGAAGGGAGCACTGTAGGTCAAGTTCAGTGTCCTACCGCAGCCCCTCCCTCCAACAGCGGAACACTACACGTGATTAGTTATGCTACGGGGATATTTAGTGTATTAATCTTAATGTTTAATTCATTTCAGGCGTAAGAGCTACTTCTGTTTGTAAGGAGATTTTACTTGAATAAAAAAAATTTTCGAACAGAAACGTTTGCTCAGTTCAAGCCCTTTTAGCGCCGTAATTTTCCAGCAACCTTTTTCTTGTTGACCTCAGCGGCGAAGCGTAGAGCTGAGATTTGATGGTTGCTTTAAAATAAATACGAGGTAAGGTGACCACAGATGAACATGATTGTGTAGCCTATGGTTTGGTTAGCAAGTACCAATAGGTTGAAATAAGTGACATTCATATTTCATGCGATATCGAGCTATGATTCGAAACGAGTGTGAAATCTTGATAAAGGGCCAAGATTGCGGGTGTCACTCCTTGTCTATATGTACATGGACGGGTGTGATTTTTTTCTATACGAATATAATATGCTGTACACGCTATCATCGAGTTCCTGTGGTCTGGAGACGTGGTTCCTAGCGCCCGCGTTAAGCTGAAACGTTGTCTCTGAGTAATAATGAGATAGTGAGTTTGGTTAAACGTCGCTCTGAACAGTATTTCAGTTATATCCTGGCGTGTCACCTTATAGGGAAGGAACACAAAGTAATACAGGTCTTAAACGTTTGTCACTTTGGTGGAACAGACAGGTACGGATGTATTTGCTAACAAACCTTGAAGCATAATCAGGTCGATTCGCTTATTCGAACCCACGATCATAGGTTTCTGGTACGCCTAAGGGACGCAACTCAGCACAGCGAAATGCTGCAAGTGAAGGAAACTCAAGTGCCTGTCATGATGTTAGATGCGTACCTGGCACAGGGCTGGTAATAAATCCAATTTATAATTTATAGATATTGAACACAAAACAGCATATATCACAACCCGACACACGAGATTGATTCCATACACCGTGAACCGAGATGAGTCAAGCTATACAAGACATTTGTACTTTACAGTGCTGTTATATTATGCCCTATACGAATGATGCTTTAGTATGCCCCCTGTTCCATTCTTCGATAGCGGTATGTCAGTATGTTTTTCATTTCTTTGAGTTCCGGGAAGATTCCGGGTTAGAATTGGTCTTCAGCAACGAACGCTTGTCGCAAGAGGCGACTAACGAGATCGGGTTGTCTTGCTCGCTGACTTGGTTGATGCATGTCATTGTATCCCAGTTGAGTAGATCAATGCTCATGATATCAATCACTGGATTGTCTGGTCCAGCCTCGTTATTTACAGACCGCCGTCACATAGCTGGAATATTGCTGAGTGCGGCGTTAAACAACAAACACAATTTGGACAATATTTTGAAATTCTACTAACGTTATCTGTCACGCTGTGTTAGAGGTAAGTGAGTGAGTATGGTTTTTACGCCACTTTTTGAGCACAAATGCTACCCATGTAGGTGATCGAACCGGGCCTTCAGCGCAACGAGCGAACGCACTTACCATTACGCCAAGGCACCTTAAAATTAGGAATGCAAATTATTGTCAATCCCCTTTGCAATTCTCAATTACAATTATTTAGATTTCTTTCTGTAGCAGCACCTAGTTGTCGGGGTGGTAACGGCACACAACAAATGGCTACAGGGTGTGAGCTGGTGGCTGTTTATTCTCTCAGAAGAGAAATGTGAAAGGTGAAAAACGCCCTAAAACCATGTATAAATAATATGACATACTGCACAAAAGACATAGATTGGTTGGTTGGTTGTTTCACGCCGCATTCAGCAATATTCAAGCTATATGACGGCGGTCTGTAAGTAAACGAGTCTGGACCAGACAATCCACTTGTTGATATCATGAGCATCGAGTCACGCAATTGGGATCGATGACATGCATCAACCAAGGCAGCGAGCCTGACCACCCGATCCCGTTAGTCGCCTCTTACGACAAGCATAGTCACCTTTTACGGCAAGCATGGGTTGTTGGAGACCTATTCAAAAGACATAGAACATTGACATTGTTATACATCATGGCCATAAATCTAATGGACATTCAATTACATGAACTTAAAATAGCGAGAAACCTATGTTACATGTGTAGTAAGTAACCTGTTCAAAACTATATTGACAATGATACAGTAACATTTATGCTTATGATGCCACAATCAATTTAAACTAAATATAAACCCTGTATACTGTCATAACATTAGGCAGGTACAATACTACGTGATGATTACAAAGATATATGACGTCAGCATATATACATTCATAAATAACACATAAACAACAGGGGCGGTCGGGTAGCCTAGTGGTTAAAGCGTTCACTCGTCACGCCGAAGACCCGGGTTCGATTCCCGACATGGGTACAATGTGTGAAGCCGTGATATTGCTGGAATATTGCTAAAAGCGGCGTAAAACCATACTCACTCACTCACTCATAAACAACACACACCAGATTGGTGAAACCCGTGCTGGGTTACCAAGTCTTCTAAGTTAGTGCCAGTTACATCTGCATTGACAAAGTATAAACTCATGCAGATACTATTTACACTATAACTTTCCACAACACATAAGTAAAATAGGTATTTAAAACAAGGATTTATCAATAATTTAAATAATGCACTTTAACACATATGCATACATTTAACATAATTATCGCAATAACCTTAATGTGATATAAAATTACTATGAGTTTATTTAGGGTTTAGTTTTACTTACTTAATGTTAAAGTTAAGATGATAATAGCCTAGGCTATTAACTATTTATCAATTAAAGAAACTGCTTTATAATATTTTATCAAATTAAATAAACATAACCAGAATACACTGAACTGTGAATTCAAAACACAACCTGAATAATAAACCTAGCACGTCTTATTGAAGAATTAGAAATACACAAATACATATAAAACATCACCAAGAAATATACTACAACTAACCTTCAAATCCATAAAATTAACACACATCCATTTTATCCATGAATATTATTCCAAACACAAGATCCATCCAAGAATATACACGAAAATGACTCTGATGCATATACTTCAAATGCAATCTGGCAACTGTCCCAGATCACAAGCGAACAAACGTATACCCGTGGTCAGCTGTGACTGACCCAGAGAACAATAGAGCAGTCTGAGCGCAGGGTGGGATATTAAGTGCTGTGAGTGAAAAGCATCAAGTGGCTTGGTTAATAATGGCTGGAAAAATAATGGACTGAATGAAACAGATAAGCTATGTTATTAATGTTTAAGCTGAAATACACTTATATGGCAAAAGTAAGACATAGTAAATAAACTGTGTACTTAATCCATATCTGAGTGAGTGAGTGAGTATGGTTTTACGCCGCTTTTAGCAATATTTCAGCAATATCACGGCGGGGGACACCAGAAATGGGCTTCACACATTGTACCCATGTCGGGAATCGAACCCGGGTCTTCGGCGTGACGAGCGAACGCTTTAACCACTAGGCTACCCGGCCGCCCCAATCCATATCTGAAATAGATGTGTATAAAACTAGGGCTAAAATAGAAATCAAAACTAACTTGTATGTACAAAGTATCACTGCCACATTTCAACAATTACTGACATTTCTATGAGTGAGTGAGTGAGTGAGTGAGACAGTGAGTGAGAGAGTGAGTGAGTGAGGTTTTACGCCGCTTTTAGCAATATTCCAGCAATATCACGGCGGGGGACACCAGAAATGGGCTTCACACATTGTACCCATGTCGGAAATCGAACCCGGGTCTTCGGCGTGACGAGCGAACGCTTTAACCACTTGGCTATCCGACCGCCCCACATGTCTATGAAATGAATAACACAATGTGTGTTTGTTTGTTAGTTGTTTAACGCCGCACTCAGCAACGCTCCAGCTATATAACGGCTGTATGTAAATATTCGAGTCTGGACCAGACAATCCAGTGATTGATATCATGAGCATCAATCCACGCATTTGGGATACGATGACATGCATCAATGAAGTCAACGATTCTGAGAAAATGTAGAAACATATTGGGTTTCCTGATGTCTATTATTGGAACGTCACATAAAATGTCAGGATTTCATGAACAGGTGATGACGTCATCTTTAATTATTTGCAACAATGCGTTCACATAACGTCAGGTTGCTATGGGCCTCTTTGCAGACAAAGAAAACAATGGAACAATTGTTATAATACTCAGTGGGAATTACTGAAAATAATTTCACATATATCTGAGCCTTTATAGATAATATATAGGGAATATTTGATTGTCTCGTGAAATATCATGTTTCTCTCATCGAGTTCGCTATGAAGAGTTGCGTCCCTTGGGCACGCCAGAAACCTATGATCGTGGGTTCGAATCCCGATTATGTTTCTAGGTTTGTCAGCACTATACCCGTGCTCGTGGGTTTCACCAAAGTGGTAAACCTCTAAAACCTGCATCACTTCGGGCTTTCCTTCCACATCAAGCTGACACGGCGTGATATAACTCGAATACTGTTTAAAGCGGCGTTAAACCCAACTCACTCACTCACGCATTATACGCAGCTATGTACCCTGGCAACAGCTGATCTACGCCAAAAAACCGCTTTCTTTCAAGGGTTTATTTATTTCCACGTGAACGTATATAATGTACCGGATGTATGCCCCTATAACTTACTACTGTCATACATTATATCAAGGATTGAGTAGGAACAGATTAACAGATTTATGAGAGTATTGTTCGAATGAGGATATGACACCTAGGTTGGTGAGGGGTGCGTCCATTTCAGAGAGTCATCTCACACCATGAGGTTGTGTATGTTTGTCGTGGTCTGCCTCCACGCCATGGCGCGGGGACAGAATATCACCGATGTAGCTCAGGCAGAAGCATTTCTTGAGGATTACAACATCAAAGTGTCAGAATCTCTGAATGCTAGGGTCAAAGCGTCTTGGACATATAATACCAACTTGACAGACGAAAACGCGGACAAAATGGTAAGAATTGCTTTGTTCGAATGACACAGCTAATATAAAGTAGGGCATCTCGGAGATATGACGACCGAGGTTGCAATATATAAGTGAATTCTTGTCATAAGACGTCATTTTAAAAAAAAGTGGGTATTGTATTATTCTCCAGATATATATAACTTCATTGGAGTGAAAAAAACGTCCTTGAATAGTTATATTTGATTTTTTTAATAAATATTTCCTTGAAAGACTTATATATTATGTGCTTCTAGGTTCATAACTTTTATTTCTATTTCACACCATTTAAAAAAAATGATGTTACAGATATAACGAAAGCTGTCCGTCCATGTACATTGTAAATGCGCGTCATGTGCATCTAAATATGAAATAGTGGTACAATTATGCCTGCTACATTATGAACGTGGAGATTGTGATCATATCCGTGTCCACAGAGAAGATTTCAACCCTAGGAATTCACCGGTGGCCCATACAGTGTATATCCAGTAATTTATACAGTAATAAATGTGCGTGTCAAAAACTTGTAAGGTATCCATTTATATCAAGATTAGCGCTACCTGACACAAACGACGACGCATTATAAGGGAGCCCAGATCCTCCCTCGAACCGTGATGCGTGTAATTATTACTGACGTCATCAACATGTTGTGTCTGCTTGTTTGATTGACGGGAACCTCTGACAAACACGTGGTTTCTTGAACACACTGCGGAGAACCTGGTGGTAGGAGCATATATTTAATTGCAATCTTGGTGGCAGTACCAAATATTCAGTTATGCTTGAGGCTGGTACGCGGGATTCGAGGGGATATTAAAGGGAATTCAGGACTCAGCAGTGTGCTACACAGGACGCAATTAAAATCGTATTTGGTAAGCAGAATCAACATTTAAAAAATAATGGGGTACGTAAAAACACCTTTAATATATTTTAGCTTTTTTAATTAACTTACTTCAAATCGCACACTTTTATGCGGTCATGAGATTTGTGTTAAGTAGTATTTGGGAGTCAGGGGTGGGGGTGACTCCGAGTAAAAAAACAGATGGTATTCAGGGGAGGGGGATTGACACCCCATGATCAGCTAATAGTAGATGAACTGATGAATGAAGAAAATGTTGTTGGTGGATTTATTATTAAGAATTGACTTTCACTTGTGTGTTTATCAAAGTTTGTACCTTTATAGAGTGAGGGCCAAACTGTATCACCTTATATCACTATTTTATAACTAATATATATAAGATGTACACACAATTCAGTACGTATGACTTCATTTCTACGCTGAAAACCATACATATTCATAGATTGATGTAGACTGTCACTGTCAGTCTTGGTACGGATCGAGTCGACAGTTTGGGAGTTCACTTCTTCGCTTTCTTCACTAGGACGGGTCGTAGCGAGGACGTTTGTAAACGGCCATTCCATTACACAATCTGACTTTTCTCAGCGTATGCTAAAATGCAGAGTTCAAGGTTCTCAATAAGCATAAACAACGCCTCTGCATTTATTGCTGCTGGGGACATCGGAGGGGGGTAGTAGGGAAGTAGTCAGTCAGTGTTTACCTCATTTCAAGAAAACAGTCTCGTGAAAGGACTATGAAAGTCAAATTGTGTCGTTAAGATTGGTTGGTTGGTTTGTTGTTTAACGCCGCACTCAGCAATATTCCAGCTATATGACGGCGGTCTGTAAATAATCGAGTCTGGACCAGACAATCCAGTGATTGATATCCCGATCATCGATCCACGCAATTGAGATGTATCAACCAAGTCAGCGAGCCTGACCACCCGATCCCGTTAGTCGCCTCTTACGAGAAGCCTAGTCGCCTTTTACGGCAAGCATGGGTTCCTGAAGACTTCTTCTACCCCGGATCTTCACGGGTCGTGTCGTAATGAACGCCAGTTTCGCGGTCTTGTGTCCGGCTCCCTCGACCAATGGAAAAGCCGCATATCGTGTAAACGTCACATAAAACAAGATATTTAGATGTTTAAATAGTAGATGTAACGATAGCTCCACAAAATAGTTGATGATAGGTTTGTTATCATAATATTATAGCCAAAGAAATCACATTTGACAGACTTATTACTATGAGTGATGCAGTGAATGAAATAATGACCGAAGCCACAATTGTTTATGAATTTAACGAGTGTTGTGAGAAACGAAATGGCAGCCACAGTTTGTTGTTTGTTTGTTGTTTAACGTCGCACTTAGCAATATTCCAGCTATATGACGGCGGTCTGTAAATAATCGAGTCTGGACCAGACAATCCAGTGATTAATATCATGAGCATCGATCCACGATTGTGATCGATGACACAGAACTAAAGACACACAAAGAGGATGTGAATGAACATACACGTTTTGTCCACATGGGACTGAATATGACACAATAAAGAACTGATTGACTGACTAACTCGTTTATTTGCAAAACTGATAATTAGATCGTGTTCAGATAGAGGAAAATCTCCGACATGCAGCGTTCGCGAAGGAAGCTGCAAAGAACGCCTCGCTATATGCCTGGCAGGATTTCGAAGACCCGATGAGAAGGGAATTCTTCAAGATCACAGACATTGGCACAGCGGCAATGGCGGACCAAACCAAACTTGAGAGGGTAGGTACAGCTATGAGACAAGTAACCGAAACGCCCATGTGATGCAAACACTGGTTTCTAGTTTACCGCCGCACTCAGACAAATTTCAACTATATATGATGGCTGTCTGTAGGTTGGTTGGTTGCTTTGTTGTTTAATGCCGCACTCAGCAATATTCCAGTTATATGACGGCGGTCTGTAAATAATCGAGTCTGGACCAGACAATCCAGTGATTAATATCATGAGCATCGATCGACGAAATTGGGATCGATGACATGCATCAACCAAGTCAGCGAGCCTGACCACCCGATCCCGTTAGTCGCCTTTTTCGACAAGCAGAGTCACCTTTTACGGCAAGCATGGGTTGCTGAAGACCTATTCTCCCCCGGAATCTTCACGGCGGTCTGTAAATAATCGAGTCTGCACCAGACAATCCAGTGATGGACATTATGGGCATTGAGTTACGCATTTGGGATGCGATGACATACACCAGCACAGTCCCGTACTGATCTACTCAAGTAACACTTTTCATCGTGAATTTTTATACAGGAACAAATATGTGGGCATTAGTTTAGAGTGAGTGGGTATAGTTGTACGCCGCTTTTAGCAATATTCCAGTAATATCACGGCGGAGGACACCAGAAATGGGCTTCACACATTGTACCAGGTGGGAATCGAACCCGGATCTTCGGCATTAGTTTAGCGCTGAGCGATGGATTATCGTGAAATGTAAGACATTTACTCGCAGAATAGCTGGCAATGCTTGTGTCACCGGTACCTCAGATGGACTTGGTGCCAAAGTTTGCATTATGGCCATTAACAATATATATTTATTGATAAACAACGATAACTCTCGATAAACAGCCCGCATGCACCAAACATGTATATAATGGGAAGGTGTTAATGATAACACGACTCTCATTGGTTCGACTGATCTGAAGCATACAACGGTATTAAAATGGGACAGTCTTTAAACCGGGGCCGGTCGGGCAGCCTAGTGGTTAAAGCATTCGCTCATCACGCCGAAGACCCGCGTTCGATTCCCGACATGGGTACAATGTGTGAAGCCCATTTCGGGTGTCCACCGCCGTGATATTGCTGGAATATTGCTAAAAGCGGCGTAAAACCATACTCACCCACTTACTCACTTTTAAACCGGGTTTGAACGCACAAGTACATAACGAAATAAAACCTTTCAGCTATGACCTGGACAAAGCACACACAATACTTACCTTGCAATATCACGACTTTGTTATTTTCGGGGTTATAAATTATGTGTTGTGTGTTTTTCCCATCAGCTGAACACCGTGTTATCGGAGCTGCAGAAGTTGTACAGCACGGGGAAGGGCTGTGTGACCTCGGACAGATGTCTGCCGCTCGATCCAGGTAGCGTTCGTCATTATCCCCCGGACCAGTGAAGATCCGGTTTGGAATAGGTCTTCAGCAACCTATGCTTGCCATAAAAGGCGACTATGCCTGTCGTAAGAGGGTGGTCTGGTTCGCTGACTTGGTTGCTGCATGTCATATTATCCCAATTGCGTGGATCGATGCTCATGATGTCAATCACTGCATTGTCTGGTCCAGACTCGATTATTTGCAGACCGCCGTCATATAGCTTGAATGTTGCTGAGTGTGGCGTTACACAACAAACAAACAAATAACAAACAAACATTATCTCCCGCGCTATTATTATAAATTGTTACACCTCTATTCAGAATCTTGCAATTCCATTGGTTAATCTGTATCACGTGACGAAACAATACATTACGATGTCGACCCCGAAATCATGTGACTGACTCAAATTTTGACTCGTCACGTGATCAGTATTGACCGGTCACTTGATGAATATTGACTCGTCTGCTAGAAAACAAGATGGCGTCTGGTGCGAACATTTCACGGTTCGCAACTAAGTTACTGTGAGGAAACAGAGGACGGTTTAAAGACTTCATAAACTTTAAAGTGAATTTCGGTATACTGACCTCGCCAAGAGTTATTATTTGTATAACGCTATACAGGATTGACATGGAAGAGATCAGGTCAGTGAGCCTATATCCAATATATCAGGTTATATAATTAAAACAAGTCAACCTAACATCATTAATCTTATACCATTATTATGTTGGTCCATGCCGAAGACCTGGGTTCGATTACCGACATGGGTACAATGTGTGAAGCCCAATTCTGGTGACCCCCGCCGTGATATTGCTGGAGTATTTCTAAAAGCGGCGTAAAACCATACTCACTCACTATAATCTTGGGCGGTCGGGCAGTCAAGTTATGTAGGCGTCCCCAGTCACGGCGAAGATCAGAGGTCGATTTCGTATATGGATACATAATGCTGTGCCAACTATTGGTCGCCCCGCCATGCTGTTGCTGCACATAGGTACTAGATAAATACACAGTAACGTCCTTATCTACGCCTGCTACAAGGTAGCCACACATGAGAGACATTACAGTATGGAAGGGATGTTTATTGTGACCGTCTCTTTGATTCCAGACCTGACTAACATCCTCGCCAATTCCCGCGATATAAAGGAGCTAGAGGGGGCGTGGAAGGGTTGGAGGGATGCCACTGGCAAGAAAATGAGGACGCTCTTCACTGAGTATGTCAACCTGCACAACGAAGCTATACAAGAAAGTGGTAAGTAATTGGGTAGATCGACGCTCAGGCTATCAATCACTGGATTGTCTAGTCCAGACGCGATTTTTCTACAGACCGTTATCAATTAGCTAAAATATTGCGGTGTGCGGCGTTAAACAACAAACAAATAACTATAATATATAAAATATGAAATATATTTATTATTAAGAACTTGTACTACGAAGCACCTTTTCTCTCTTAAGGTTACAGCGACACGGGAGAGTACTGGCGCTCTATGTATGAGTCGCAGGATTTCCGTACTGATGTTGCGGCGCTGTTTGAGCAGTTGCAGCCGCTGTACCAACAGATGCACGCGTACACACGCACTAAACTCATCGAGAAGTACGGCAAGGACAACTTCCCATCCACCGGCCACATCCCCGCACATCTTCTCGGTGAGGCTCTAACTCGTTTTCTTTAACAGACATGACTTCACCAGCAAATGATATATTCACCATTAGAAATTATAATAGCTAAATATGTCAAACTCGTAAGCCTGTTTCTGTGGCCGATACATCTTACACCAGCATCTTGTCTCCATGGTCATCCATATCATAAAACCCAAAGGTCCAGTGTCTCAACCCAGCCGCTGTCTGATAAACACCACGTGGCCAGATGTACTGATCCAGTAATTGTATAATTCGCACTCTTCTACGCGGGCAGGTGTATCCAGTCACTGTATTATCCGCACTTTTCTATGTGGGCAGGTGTACTGATCCAGTCGTTGTATAATCTATGCTCTTCTACGTGGGCAGGTGTACTGATCCAGTCGTTGTATAATCTACACTCTTCTACGTGGCCAGATGTACTAATCCAGTAATTGTATAATTCGCACTCTTCTATGTGGCCAGGTTTACTGATCCAGTCGTTGTATAATCTATGCTCTTCTACGCGGGCAGGTGTATCCAGTATTGTATAATCTACACTCTTCTACGTGGGCATGTGTATTCAGTCACTGTATAATCTACACTCTTCTACGCGGGCAGGTGAATCCAGTATTGTATAATCTACACTCTTATACGTGGGCAGGTGTATCCAGTATTTTATAATCTACACTCTTATACGTGGGCAGGTGTATCCAGTATTTTATAATCTACACTCTTCTACATGGGCAGGTGTACTGATCCAGTGATTGTATAATCTACACTCTTCTACGTGGGCATGTGTATTCAGTCACTGTATAATCTACACTCTTCTACGCGGGCAGGTGAATCCAGTATTGTATAATCTACACTCTTATACGTGGGCAGGTGTATCCAGTATTTTATAATCTACACTCTTATACGTGGGCAGGTGTATCCAGTATTTTATAATCTACACTCTTCTACATGGGCAGGTGTACTGATCCAGTGATTGTATTATCCACACTCTTCTACGTGGTCATGTGTCCTCCTGAAGTTACTGAACAATTATGAAAGTATTTCCTTCCCAGGTAATATGTGGGCTCAGCAATGGAACAACTTGTACTCCGATTTGGTGCCAATAAAAGGCAAACCAAGTGTTGACATCACCGAGGAACTGAAAAGACAGGTAAGACCGCTACGATATTAAAGAGAAGGAACTGGCATGGACTATGTATTGAAATAGAAACGTATTAACGGTTGTTTAGAGTTCTATAGCGAGATGGTAACAAGAAGTTATGACGCCTTAACTAACAGTAATTACACCATATTTTGCCATATTTCTTGAAATAGAACCATAGAGAAAGGTTGTTATTTAACTCAGTGAGATGATAACGCGAGGTTATTACGCCTGTTCTAACAGTAACTACACCAAACTGAACATCTGCTAAGGTGTAGTCAATCGTTGTATAAGCTATATGCCGCACTCAGCATACAGCTAAATACTGCGTTCTGTAAATAATCCAGTCTGGACCAGACAATCATGTGATTGAAATCATGCGCTCCGATCTATGCAATTCGGATACGATGACTACATCAAGCAAGTCAACAAGCGTGACCACCCCATCATGTCTTGCCTCTGTAGGCAAAATGACTGTAAGCAAAGTGCACTGTAGGCGATAGTAGACTCCACCCTTACAAACATGGCTTGCTGAAAAAAATTATATAATTGCCCGGATCTACACGGGGCTATTCACATTTAAGCCTCTAGCCTTAAGTTTTCCAAAATCTTACACATGTATGAGCTGACGATTTGTGGCTTATACGTAGTTTCCATGTTTTCTTAGGTGAACAGTTGACTTGCCTTTGCATGTGTTTGTGACGGGTGCCCCCGGTGGGGCAGGATACGCTCACCTTTTCGCGAACACCTGGTATCATTATTATTTGATAGTGATTCATAAACACATGCTTGTGATATAGTCGGAATTGCACAATCGACTCTGCTTTATGCAGAGATTTCTATTGGATATGGAAAGGCTTTTGTCACCTTTTTCAGATATAATGAAGTTTTACTCATATTTAGTTCTCATTCTGACACTGTCAGGCTTAAGTTTATATCTAAGGTACCATTTCTTTTCAAACATTATTTTTTCAGAACTTCACGGCTGTGAAAATGTTCGAAGTCTCCGATGCATTCTTCACCTCAATGGGAATGAAAGAGATGCCACAGTCGTTCTGGGAGAACTCCATGCTTGAGAAACCCACTGACGGGAGGGACGTGGTCTGCCACGCCTCGGCCTGGGACTTCTACGACACAGAAGACTTCAGGTACGTTTAAGTAGCGTACCTGTTTCACGAACATCTGAGGTCTTCAATGTAAATTGACTTGGCATTGATTCGTGACCTGTACTTGTCCGGACTAAGCTAGCCGAGACTGACATGAGTGCCATGTCACAGTTTAACATGGATACCTCAAGCACCACCTTGTTGTGACGATGCCAAGGAATCGAACCATCCACCTTCCGCCCTCCTGGCAGCCGCTCGTCCTCTACATCACGGAGGAAGTTCATACAGATTTGAATCTAGGACGTTTTTTAATTAATTTGTGCAATTTAAGAAACATTTTTTATGAAAATTGCGAAAAACCTCTTCATCACCGATTTTCAGCGGTCAATTAAATCATTTTTACCGCTATTTTGCCTTTTATGCCGAATAGAATCTGAGATGGGTTATACATCACGAGATGGGTTATACATCACGAGATGGGTTATACAACACGAGATGGGTTATACATCACGAGATGGGTTATACATCACGAGATGGGTTATACATCACGAGATGGGTTATACATCACGAGATGGGTTATGCATCAAGAGATGGGTTATGCATCACGAGATGGGTTATGCATCACGAGATGGGTTATGCATCACGAGATGGGTTCTACATCACGAGATGGGTTCTACATCACGAGATGGGTTATACATCACGAGATGGGTTATACATCACGAGATGGGTTATACATCACGAGATGGGTTATACATCATGCAATTCCTGCTCAAAGGTTGTTTGATCAAAGTTACAACATTCAAGGGACCCGTGAAGATCCGGGGTAGAATAAGTCTTCAGCAACCCATGCTTGCCGTAAAAGGCGACTATGCTTGTCGTAAGAGGCGACTAACGGGATCGGGTGGTCAGGCTCGCCAACTTGGTTGATACATGTCATCGATCCCAATTGCGTGGATCGATGCTCATGATATCAATCACTGGATTGTCTGGTTCAGACTCGATTATTTACAGACCGCCGTCATAAAGCTGGAATATTGCCGAGTGCGGCGTTAAAAAACAAACGCAACATTCAAGGCCTCACTTAAGCTTTCGGGGGTACGGGTGGCCCAGTCGTCTGAGGCGCCGCGATTCCCTGTGCTGAGTTGCGTCCCGTGGACACGCCAGAAACCTTTGATTTTGGGTTCGAATCCCGGTTCGCCCCGATTATGTTTCTAGGTTTGTCAGCACCATACCCTTGCTCGTTGGTTTCACCGAAGTGATAAACGTCTGAGACCTGCATCACTTCGGCCTTTCCTCCCACATTAAGCTGACAAGCCGCGATATAACCGGAATACTGTTAAAAGCGGCGTTAAACACAACTCACTCACTCACTCACTAAAGCTTTCAAACGTTTTATGGTAGACATGTGGAGGACATTCCAATTTTGGCGCATCAGTGTCAAAGATTATGTCCGATGCAATTCCCTACTTGTGCCATATGTTCCTGTGGTTTTTAAGTGAAAAATTGACTTGCCTTTGCATGTGTTTGTGACGGGTGCCACCAGTGGGGCATCCTGCGTCACCTTTTCTCGAACACCTGGTATCATCACTATGTGATAATGATTCATAAACACATGCTTTTGATAAAGTCGGAATCGTACAATGGACTCTGTTCTTGGCAGAGATTTCTTATTAATATGGAAATGGTTTTGTCACTCTTTTTTACGTCGAGTACAATCTCCAGTACAAGCACCTGTCTGTCCGCTAAAGAATGGGAGCTATGAATCACTAGTGAAGTCAAACATCATGTTACCACAGCTCCTTTCATCACTTTCAGAATAAAACAATGTACGGAGCCCACTCATAGCCAGATGGTTACTGTGCATCATGAGATGGGTCACGTGGAGTACTATCTCCAGTACAAGCACCAGCCTGTCCTCTTCAGAAGGGGCGCTAACCCCGGTAAGTCATCTATCCAATATCACAACTCCTTTCATCACTTTAAGAATCAAGCAGTGCACGGAACCGACTCATAACCAGATGGTCACCGTGCATCATGCGATGGGCCATGTGGAGTACTTCCTGCAATACAGTGATCAGCCAGTGCTTTTCCGCGGTGGAGCTAACCCGGGTATGTGACCTTGAAACAACGGCAGGATAGGAATAGAAAATAGTTTAACTAAAATAAAAATAGAATAGTGAGACCGCCTCATCTGTTTCATATTTAGATCTATGCATAAAGATTCAGAGTGACAAAACACTCTCCATAAGACTGTATAACAAGAGGGATGACATCAACTTTCCAATAGTCAACTTTCCCTTCATGTCGAGCAGTATTCCAGCAGCTCCAGCCTTTGGTGTTTACACTTCACAACTTTTGAGATACAATCGAGCATGCTCTTTCTACCAAGATGTCAAAGAGCGTCATACGACTCTTACTCAGAGGTTGTTTGATCAACTTTACAACATTCAAGGCTTTACAATTCAGCATTAAAGATTTCAAAAAGATTTATGGTAGACACGTGGAGGGCATTTCCAAGTTTGACGCATCAGTGACAAAAAGTGATGTCCGATGCAATTCCGTATTTCAGCTTGTACCGTATGTTACCGTGCTTTTCCAGATGAACAATTGACTTGCCTTTGCATGTGTTTGTGACGGGAGACATCGGTGGGGCAGGCTACACACACCTTTTCGCGAACACCTGCTATAATTAATATTTGATAGTATTTCATAAACACATGTTCATGATAAAGTCGGAACCGTACAATCGAGATTTATATTGGTTTTGTCAATTTAATTATCTAGGAAAGGGTGTGTGACCTGTCGTCATGTGTGTGTAGTGTAAGAGAAAGCCCCAGTTTTATGCTTACCAACATTCTACACACAGTGGGTGGAGACTTCCAACATGTGATTTGATTTAACACCAAAATATTTTTGCAATTGTTTCAAGTTAAATTTATTATGATTGGAACAGGTTTCCATGAAGGAATAGCCGATGTGGCATCTCTGTCCTTCCAGACACCTAAACACCTCCACGCCATTGGCTTTCTCCCCACCTTGGAAGAGGATGATGGTAAGGAAGATGGAAGTGTATTGATTATTGTGTTTGTTTGTTGTTTAACGCCGCACTCAGCAATCGAGTCTGGACCATACATTCCACTGATTGACATCATGTGCATCGATCCACGCATTTGGGATACGATACCATGCATCAACCAAGCCAGCAAACCTGACCACCCGATCTTGTTAGTCGCCTCTTAAGACAAGCTTAGTCGACATTAACGGCAAGCATGGGTTGCGGAAGACTTATTCTACCCCGGATCTCCACGGGTCTGTATTGATTAACGCCGCACTCAGCATCCCATAGTAAAGCTTTTAAAAAGTTTCATTTGACGCATCAGTGACAATAATGTCTGATTGAATTCCTTTATCGACTTGTGTCATATGTTCCTGGGTGCCGTTGTACGTAACGGCTCAGCGCTACGACTATCGTAAGTCTCTGTTTAGATATGGGAGTTACGATCACCTTAGCACTAAAATCGCTTTGTACAACGGCACCCAGGAACATATGTCCCTTTTCATGAGGTGAACAACGGACCTGCCTTTGCATGCGTTTGTGATGGGCGCTACCGGTGGGTCAGGATACGCTCTCCTTATCGCGATAGTGATTCATATACACATGCTTAGGCTATAGTTGGAAAACATAAACTCGAAGTATGGAATGGATTTTGTCGCTTTTAATTAAATAATATTGAATACATTAATACGGTCACATTATCAATCTAACAGTAACATAGCCTTTAGGTTAAAGAGTTCTCTCGTCACGCCGAAAGTGCATGTACAGATCGTGAAACTCATTTCTTATTGTTATGCGTCAAATGCGGCATACCCACCCACCCACTATGAAGCTATCAGCCGCTATGTGGTCCTGTTCGCAGAAACTGACATCAACTTCCTGTTCAACATGGCGCTGCAGAAGATCGCCTTCCTTCCGTTCGGCTACCTGATTGACCAGTGGAGATGGGATGTCTTCAGTGGCGCCACGAAACCAGAAGAATACAACGCCAAATGGTGGGATTTAAGGTGTGTTTCTATGAGCGCCGTAGAAAGGAAGTAACCCTTGTTTGTTTACCTGGGACAACACCGCATAGGATCCCGTTTTACACTTTGAAGCACTGCATGAAAACGTTGGTAAATGCTTTAACTGTTTGTTTGTTTGTTGTTTAATGTCGCACTCAGCAATATTCCAGCTATATGACGGCGGTCTGTAAATAATCGAGTCTTGACCAGACAATCCTGTCTTTGATATCATGCGCATCGATCCTCGCAGTTGGGATTTGATGACATGCATCAACCAAGTCAGCGACCCTGACAACCCGATCCCATTAGTCGCCTCTTACGAACGGGATTGGGTGTTGATGCTCATGATGTCAATCACTGGATTGTCTGACCCAGACTGACTTGACCTAACACCTGAAGACATGTCCATTTTTCTTTTGTATGGGATTCCAAAGTTGGATTGAAATCCATACAAAGAGATATTAATGCTGTGTACAGCAAATGTATCGTCTAGTCCTTGTCTAAAAGATTAACCATCATCCTTAATAAAATCAAGGAAGGACTTTATTTATTTTCACAAGCTCTTTCTACGAACATTTCAAAAAGCGTCTGTCGCTGTCCTAAGAATATAGGTTTGTCGGGTAGCATAGTGGTTAACGCGTTCGCTCGTCACGTCGAAAGCCCGGGTTTTATTCCCCACATTATGTGTGAAGCTTTCTTGTGTCCTATAATAGTGCAGGAATATTGTTAAAGGCGCCGTAAAACCGAACCCACTAACGAAACATAGTAGTTTTACTTACTTTTGTTTAACGCCGCTCTCAGCAATAGTCAAGTTATAACAGGCTGTAAATAGACAGACAATCACGTAATTGAAAACAGTAACAACGGCCGAGGTAGAAAATCCGACCCCTTCCAGTTTACTGTTTACTGTTGACACTAATCGTACATTTGGTGTACTTTAAGATCCTTGGCCTAACAAGGGTATTAACAACGATAATCTTTAATATGACTGCAATAGCAACCCTGCGTCATCTGATCATCATGAAGAATGAGTGAGTTAAGATTTTACATCGCATCGGCAGTATTGCAGCCATATCGCGTTGAGAACGATTAACAATTATTAAACACATGTCGGCAAAGGACAGTAAAACGGTAGGGACAATATCCCATTGTGAGTATAAAACACAAATCAGATCACATATGAAACCTTATTATTCATTATACACACTTATATCAATTTTATTTTTGTCTGTTGTTTTACGCCGCTCTCAGCAATATTCCAGCTATATGACGGCGGTCTGTAAATTAATCGAGTCTTGACCAGACAATCCAGTGATTGACATCATGAGCATCGATCCACGCAATTGGGATCGATGACATGTATCAACCAATTCAGCGAGCCTGACCACCCGATCCCGTTAGTCGCCTTTTACGACAAGCATAGTCGCCTTTTACGGCAAGTATGGGTTGCTGAAGACCTATTCTACCCCGGAATCTTCACGGGTCGCTTGCGTGAGTGAGTGAGTTGGATATAACTAATTAGGAACAGGGTAAAGACCACCTTATAGGGGATAATAGGGCCCTACAGTACCTCTGCTTCCTACATGATTCCCCAGAAGGATTTATGCCATCACTTCTGGTAACATTAGTAGCATGGATCACAAGCCATGAATGGAAATCAATGCATTAAAGCAGTAGTCTATATTATATACGTTGATCAAGAATAGACTGCGGCATGAGAACGCTGATTTTACACTGCTTCAGCCACCACCAACTCTCCGCCCAGTAGTACCACAATATGATAAATATCTCACGTATTTGGAAACACATCAATTATGCAAAATATATCCATGAATACTATTTCTCTCATAAAGCCAAGACGTAAAATATCACTGACCTCATTAAAAAGGTTCTTTGTTTTTTTTACGATTATAACTATCCCAGAATCGGAGGAACCGCATCTTTCAATAAATACCAAGTACGGCATCGTTGTAAACTGACCAATTCAAATCAAGTATGACAACCCAAGTAGGTGTAACCTATATAGCTGGCTTAATTGCATGTAATATATTTATACCTCCTTGCGTGTCCCACTTCTTGTTCATAAGATCTCGGATATCTATTTAATCCCAAGGCTAGTCACTGTGGTCAGCTGTGCACTCCAAACGCAGCAGACCAGACCGTGTTTGTGACGGGTGCCACCGGTTGGACTGGATACGCAAACCTCTGGTATCATCCCTACTTATTGGTGATTCATAAATATACAGTCTTAATCTTATCTCGAATTATTTGTTGTCTCATCTACGTAGATGCAGTCTGCAGGGAGTTTCACCACCCGTGAAGAGAACTGAAGAAGACTTTGACCCAGGAGCAAAGTACCACATACCAGGCAACGTGGCATATATTCGGTATAATTCAGTTAATCACAATGTGCACTGCCAGTGGTTGGTTGGTTTGCTGTTTAACGCCGCACTCAGCAATCTTCCAGCTATATGAAGCGGTCTGTAAATAGTCGTGTCCAGTGATTGATATGAGTATCAATCCAGCATTTGGGATCGATGACAAGCATCAACCAAGTCAGCGAGCCTGACCACCCGATCCCGTTAGTCGCCTCTTACGACAAGCATAGTCGCCTTTTACGGCAAGCATGGGTTGCCGAAGACCTATTCTACCTACTGCTAGTGATGAACACGTATCTTTGTACTGCCAGTGATGGACACGTATCTTTGTACTGCCAGTGATGGACACGTATCTTTGTACTGCCAGTGATGGACACGTATCTGTGTACTGCCAGTGATGGACACGTATCTTTGTACTGCCAGTGATGGACACGTATCTTTGTACTGCCAGTGATGGACACGTATCTCAGTGATGGACACGTATCTTTGTACTGCCAGTGATGGACACGTATCTTTGTACTGCCATTGATGGACACGTATCTTTGTACTGCCAGTGATGGACACGTATCTTTGTACTGCCAGTGATGGACACGTATCTTTGTACTGCCAGTGACTGACACGTATCTCAGTGATGGACACGTATCTTTGTACTGTCAGTGATGGACACATATCTTTGTACTGCCAGTGATGGACACGTATCTTTGTACTGCCATTGATGGACACGTATCTTTGTACTGCAAGTGATGGACACGTATCTTTGTACTGCCAGTGATGGACACGTATCTTTGTACTGCCAGTGATGGACACGTATCTTTGAACTGCCAGTGATGGACACGTATCTTTGTACTGCCAGTGATGGACACGTATCTTTGTACTGCCAGTGATGGACACGTATCTCAGTGATGGACACGTATCTTTGTACTGCCAGTGATGGACACGTATCTTTGTACTGCCAGTGATGGACACGTATCTCAGTGATGGACACATATCTTTGTACTGCCAGTGATGGACACGTATCTTTGTACTGCCAGTGATGGACATGTATCTTTGTACTGCCAGTGATGGACACGTATCTTTGTACTGCCAGTGATGGACACGTATCTTTGTACTGCCAGTGATGGACACGTATCTCAGTGATGGACACGTATCTTTGTACTGCCAGTGATGGACACGTATCTTTGTACTGCCAGTGATGGACACGTATCTCAGTGATGGACACGTATCTTTGTACTGCCAGTGATGGACATGTATCTTTGTACTGCCAGTGATGGACACGTATCTCAGTGATGGACACGTATCTTTGTACTGCCAGTGATGGACACGTATCTTTGTACTGCCAGTGATGGACAGGTATCTTTGTACTGCCAGTGATGGACACGTATCTCAGTGATGGACACGTATCTTTGTACTGCCAGTGATGGACACGTATCTTTGTACTGCCAGTGATGGACACGTATCTTTGTACTGCCAGTGATGGACACGTATCTTTGTACTGCCAGTGATGGACACGTATATTTGTACTGCCAGTGATCGACAAGTATCTTTGTACTGCCAGTGATCAACACGTATCTTTGTACTGCCAGTGATCAACACGTATCTTTGTGCTGCCAGTGATGGACACGTATCTTTGTACTGCCAGTGATCAACACGTATCTTTGTACTGCCAGTGATGGACACGTATCTTTGTACTGCCAGTGATGGACACGTATCTTTGTACTGCCAGTGATGGACACGTATCTTCGTACTGCCAGTGATGGACACGTATCTTTGTACTGCCAGTGATCGACAAGTATCTTTGTACTGCCAGTGATCAACACGTATCTTTGTACTGCCAGTGATGGACACGTATCTTTGTACAGCCAGTGATGGACACGTATCTTCGTACTGCCAGTGATGGACACGTATCTTTGTACTGCCAGTGATCGACAAGTATCTTTGTACTGCCAGTGATCAATACGTATCTTTGTACTGCCAGTGATGGACACATATCTTTGTACTGCCAGTGATGGACACGTATCTTTGTACTGCCAGTGATGGACACGTATCTTCGTACTGCCAGTGATGGACACGTATCTTTGTACTGCCAGTGATGGACACGTATCTTTGTACTGCCAGTGATGGACACGTATCTTTGTACTGCCAGTGATGGACACGTATCTTTGTACTGCCAGTGATGGACACGTATCTTTGTACTGCCAGTGATCGACACGTATCTTTGTACTGCCAGTGATCAACACGTATCTTTGTACTGCCAGTGATGGACACGTATCTTTGTACAGCCAGTGATGGACACGTATCTTCGTACTGCCAGTGATGGACACGTATCTTTGTACTGCCAGTGATGGACACGTATCTTTGTACTGCCAGTGATGGACACGTATCTTTGTACTGCCAGTGATGGACACGTATCTTTGTACTGCCAGTGATGGACACGTATCTTTGTACTGCCAGTGATGGACACGTATCTTTGTACTGCCAGTGATCAACACGTATCTTAAAGGAGAACTAGACTCAGGAGAACTGGAAATCCTAACAAGATTAAATCGAGGTCCTCGCATTACGTATCTGTTATGAAGTAGATCAAGCAAGTAGGTATTACCCTATTATTACACAAATACAATGTCCACGTGTCCCACATGGCCGCAACTACAACGTCTAGACCTAGATTCAAAATAGAGAGAACCCGCAGAGCACAACTCATGTCAAATGCTAAAAACCTTGATTTGAATGCCAATGTTTTTCTAATTTCACATCGTATTTTGTAAACATCCAATTATGTTAATAATGTTTTCTCTTTGTTATTCTTCATACAATTGTTTTCAGCGTAGTTTTACTTGTTACAGATACTTTGTGAGTTTCGTCATCCAGTTCCAGTTTCACAAGGTCTTGTGTGAGGAAGCCGGGCATACGGGGCCTCTACACAAGTGTGACATCTACAACTCTACAGAAGCCGGAGACTTATTCAGGTGGGAGACTGTACCTTTTGTTTGTTTGTTGTTTAACGCCGTACTCGGCAATATTCCCGTTTAGCATCATCGATACACGGGGAACACGTTATTGAACCAGATGATGAACCAGACCAGGTAGCTATTATGGAGATGGGGGGAACATTCGCAAAGGTAACGTTCCACGCATCTATATAATGAGTTACAACAAATAATATTATAAATTATTTTATGAGTGGTACAAAATCGTCAACAAAACCTCCTGAGTTGGATGCTGGTTGTTCAACGCTGCACTTGCACTGCTACCTTTCCGCTATATGACGGCGGGCTCTGTGTAACAAACCAAACCTTGATCAGACAAACCAGTGATTGATATTATGATAACGATCCACGTCGTCAATTAGCTTGAATGAGTCAGTTAAAATTTAACGTCGCATCGGCATTATTTCAACCATATAGCGACGAGACCAATGAGTGCGACGTTTAACAATAAACAAACGTATTGTCTTCACAGTGGCATGTTGGGGCTGGGATCCTCCAAGCCATGGCCAGAGGCTATGCAGAACATCACAGGCCAGAACAAGATGGACGCCCAGCCTCTGATTGATTACTTCCAGCCTCTCCTTGATTGGCTCAAAATCCAGAATGCCGGAGTCAACGTGGAATGGAGTGTCACTTGTCCGGAGTTTGTTGACGCTAAGGCATCTGCCACTTCAATTCATTTATCTGGATTCGTGTGCTTGTTTCTCTTGGTTGTAGCTGGGTGGCTGAACCGTCGAGGTGAATGGTTTTGAGTATGATGCAGTTGTGGACGTCCACATAATCCCTTTCTGTACCTTTGTTTGTAAATCTTGAGAGGAAACAGATACTGTCTCAGTACAACTGTATGACGGATTTACTAATAAACATATAAACTCTCTGTATGCCAAACATAAAGCGATGACATGATTGTGCAGAACATTACATCAAAGTATTCGATCAAACGGCAGCTGCAAATCAATCAATAAAATAACTTTCCAACTAGATTTTGTTTTTTCTCTCTTAAAGGCGACTAGAATGACTTTTTGCTTGTTGAGAAAACCTGAAACACGGAAATGAGAAAATATATACTTTCCTTTTTGCACACTAGCAAACATAACATTATAACAAATTGTTTGTTGTTTAACGACGCACTCCAGCTGTCGACTCAATAGCTTTTACATCATCTGCTCTTTGATGACTTTTGGAGAACACTAGCGCCTATATTTCAGATGTTTAACGCCGCGCGCATTGCTTGCTTGCTTGCTTGCTTGCTTGCTTGGTTTGTTGTTTAACGCCGCACTCAGCAATATTCCAACTATATGACGGCGGTCTTTAAATAATCGAGTCTGGACCAGACAATCCAGTGATTTATATCATGAGCATCAATCCGCGCAATTGGGATTGAGGCCATGCATCAACCAAGTCAGCGAGCCTGACCACCCGATCCCGTTAGTCTCCTTTTACGACAAGCATAGTCACCTTTTACGGCAAGCATTGGTTGCTGAAGATATGCATCAACCAAGTCAGCGAGCCTGACCACCCGATCCCGTTAGTCGCCTTTTACGACAAGCATAGTCACCTTTTACGGCAGGCATGGGTTGCTGAAGACCTATTCTATAGCTAGAATATTCCTGAGTGCGGCGACAACAAACAAACAACCATCCAGGCTTGCCGTAAGAGGCGACTAACGGGATCGGGCGGTCCGCCTCGGTGACTTGGTTGGTGCATGTCATCGTATCCCAATTGCGTAGATCGATGATCATGATGACGATCACAAGGAAAAATGTTTTCTATAACACTGAGCGCCAGCGCAGCATACCCAGGAAACCAGGCTGCTGTTTGACCTGCTCAGAAGATAACATGATGCCATCGCTATCATTAGATTTCGTTGATAAGAAGTATCACAACATGCATGTAGATCTCGGGGCATTTTTCTATCTGGCTTCTTAAAGCATTGGCTTTCTACATGGAGTCATCAATTCTTCGCTGTTGGTATTTGAAGCGTCCCCTAAATCTAAAGTTTTCCGCACAGATCTCGTTTGTTAAGTAAACAGTTTGATTGATTGTTTAACACCGTCACCAATATTCCAGCTGTATGATGGCGGTCTGTAAATAATCGCGTCTGAACCAGACAATCCAGTGTTTGATATCATGAGCATCGATCTACGCAATTGGAATACCCGATGTCGTTAGTCGCCTCTCACGACAAGCTGTAATATTGCTGAGTGCGGCGTCAAAGAACAACCTCACGTCAAGCATAGTTGTATACAGAATTATATATGTTCAAATTGTCTCTCTGAGTTATCTTATTAAATTCATGAGGGTTATGGTACCATTTTGGTTTCCAGTCCTTCACCCTTAAAGGAGCATTCAGAATAAAATGTTGACTTTGAACATGCCTTGTTTGTGTTTGTTTGTTTGTTGTTTAACGCCGCACTCAGCAATAACCCGATCCCGTTAGTCGCGTCTTACGACAAGCATAGTCGTCATTCATATGTACATAAGATACAATGCCCAAAGAGTCAGATTGTCACAGTAGCTTCGACATTTGTTGTTTGTTTGTTTGTTTGTTGTTTAATGCCGCACTCAGCAATATGTACTCGTTGTAATGTCTACTGAATCGCAAAGGAAACGTCACGTCATGAAAATAATTCAAGAAATTTGCTTTCCATGAAAATCAAACTTCATTTGCGTTTGCTTGTGCTATTTCTGATAAACGACACCCTAAAACGTGGATCAAACATTCTTGTATCGATATCAGCGCCATGCAAGACTTTCGAAGAATCAGAGAAACCACTCTTTGGGATGACTGTATGCCGTTGGTGACCCGGTGTCGTTGCTGTAATCTGTAGATGGTTCACACGGGGACATTAAAAGCATTGGCAACCATTCGTGCAGTCTGGCCAGCATGCAGCATGATTCTCTTGCGGTTCAGTGTAAGTGTACATTGTTGATGTATTTTTCATTCTCTAGGATAATCAGGTTTTGTGTTAGTTGAGGAATAAATGGAGGCCCTGATGTAATAAATGTTAAAAGCAGCCTAACCAGGAGATTCGAACAATACCAGGTCAATAAAAACATAGTTGACTTATAGATGTCAACTTCTTATATTTTTCCAAAGCAATGTTTCGGTACGCGCCGTATTGAAAAGATTTTGCTCGAAAATTGCCTAGAAAGAATAAAAAAGTTTGTTTCTTTTCGATCAAGCTTAGATGGTTTGTAGAACGTTAACAATGATCTCTAGATGATCATATATCTTTAAGTTCTATGTCATGTCCAGTTTTAAGAGGCTTTACGACTGAGGCCAGAATTGTCATTTTTGCATACTTTTCAAGCCTCCTCAATGAACAGAGGTCGCCATCTGTAGTGTTTGTTCTCGACCCACAGGGCTATAGCAGCAGCAAGGACAGGGGCTCTCACTGGGTCAAGTGCACTTTCAAGTCGTAACAATTCGCGAGAAATGTGAATACTTGTACTGCAATGGCGTTGCCAGTTCTATTTGCTTAAATGTTCATGTATGAAGGAATTTTTTAATTAATAATCTGTAAACGTAATGTATGCATTGTCAGATTCACAGGAGAAGCCCGTTTGGGAATCAGGGACCTGTCATGTTGCTATTCAGGGAGGGAGGGTCAGTGGTTCTCAATAGAATTTGCCGTCCCAATTAGTTGTGTACATACTCAGGTGTGACTTATTCATGCATTACAGTTCTATGGGGAGATATAGAGTATTTAGAATATGTAGTTTCTCACACTGAATAACTGCGCAGTTACGCCCACACGTCCACTAGTTTGTCACGTGGGCATGGCGGAATGACAACGGGAGGGATCAACGAGTTCTAATGATACGAATAGCGTGTGTGTGTGTGTGTGTGTGCGTGTGACGTGTTGTAAGGCGTAACTAATAACAGGATCGGGAGATACGAGACTCAGTGACTTGGTTGATGCATGTTCTCGTATCCAAATTGAGTAGATTGGTGTTCATGATGTCATTCACTTTACCGCCGTCATATAGCTAGAATATTCCTGAGTGCGGCGTTAAACAACAAGCAAACAAGCAAACAGGTGACAACTGTGACTATTCTAAGGTAGTTTCAGATATTGGAGTGACTTCCATTAAGATTAAAGCAGTCTTCCAAGGCGTTTACATAGCAAAGTAAGAAAGTGAGCCCTTGATATCACTTATACGAGTCAGTGGATTTAAATAACTGTTTTAAAGTTTGATGACATATGTTGAGTTCCTCAAATGTTGGGAATCAACTTCGGGTTTGTTGCGTAATGTGATTGAAAGATTGTTACGAGTCGCGTAAAAACCATACTCATTGACCAACTCTTTGGAATAGCGCAAAAATGTCTCCCCCAAACCATTGTACGATTCCGACTATATCATGAACGTGTGTTTATGAATCACTATCAAATGGCGATAATACAAGGTGTTCGCAACCCCTGAAGATCCGGGGTAGTATAGGTCTTCAGCAATCCATGCTTGCTGTAAAAGGCGAATATGCTCGTGGTCAGACTCGCTGGCTAGGTTGATGCATGTCATCTTATCCCAATTGCATGTATCAATGCCCAACGTCCATTATTTACAGACCGCCGTCGTATACCTGGAATATTGCTGAGTGCGGCGTTAAACAACAAACAAACAAAAACAAAAAAAATGTCATAGCACGGCGTGAGGCGTTGTTGCCATCAACCAGAGATCTCCCACAGCCAGAAACGATCATCTGCAGGACACGTAAAATCAAACTGACTCACTGGCTCTAATGAAATCAGAAGAGACCTTATGTCAGGTATATATTCAAACATATGCTTGGTTTGGTTGGTTGGTTTATTGTTTAAAGCCGGACACAGCAATATTCCAGATATATGACAGTGGTCTGTTAATAATCGAGTCTGGACCAGACAATCCAGTTATTGATATCATGAGCATCGATCCACGCTATTGGGATCGATGACATGCGTCAACCAAGTCAGCCAGCCTGACCACCCGATCCCGTTAGTCGCCTCTTACTGCAAGCATAGTCGCCTTTTACAGCAAGCATGGGTTGCTGTAGACCTATTCTACCCAGGATCTCACGGGCCGAAACATATGCTCTTCAGAGACCTTCAAGCGACACACAATACTAGGACCAAACATGATTGATAGAAGCAGCTAGGTGTGTGCGCACTGGCGTCACCTGCACGTGAACTACTTTCTGACCTCTGAAGAGCTTATGTTTGGAGGTCAGAAAGTAGTTCGTGTGCAGGTGACGCCAGTGCGCGCACACCCAGCTGCTTCTATCAATACCCGCTCAGTCTACCTGCGACCGTACACTCGGAGACATGCGTACACACCTCTGTCTTGCGCTATTTAGCGCCGTCACGGTGTTGTTGACCAGTGGTCAACTGATCACTGACCTGGATCAGGCAAGGCAGTTCTTGGACGAGCAGGATGCCGAGAGTGCCCGCGTGTATTACAAGTCATCGGTCACGGCATGGGACTATTACACGAACATCACAGACGAGAACTTAGATGCATTGGTAAGACCCGAATATATCTTGTGATCACATATATGTGAACTCAATTACATGTATCTATGATTATGATGTTGAAAAATATGACTTTTCGAAAAAATATTCTATAATTCAAAATTTCCAATTAAAATTATTTCATGATTTTGTTGCTTAAAAGTTTTGTCTTCTTATTTGAAGTCCCGATTGGATGAATAAAGAAATTCATAAGTGGAGCTTGAATGAGAGAGCGATTGTTTTACGACGCTTTCAGCAATTCGACCAGAATTACCACAAAGAACAACGGGAATGACCGTCATACATTGTGGCTATGTGGGGAATCGAGCCTTCACTCTTTCGTCTTACCCCAATGTTCTCAAGACGGCAAGTGACAAGCAGTCTTTTGTATGCACAAATCGAAGATCGATCAGTATTTAATTCGTTAAGCTACATATCATCCTAATTATTGTCAAATTTCAGTTTTCAAGGATATGGTACAAAACTTTTACTTTGGACTCTTGTTCGGGCACAGATTTGTTTTGAAATATCACTTTTATTTAGGAGATAACTTTTTATTTATCACCCCAAACTTGCTTCCACAGACGATATCGTTTGGGTGAGATCAAGCGATAGCACCGCCATGATGTTGTTGGAATATGTCTGAAAGAGGCGTAAAGTCATACTCACTCACTCACTCACTCTACTCACTCGCTGGCCGTGTCCCATATTTCAATTCTACCTAAGTCACAAAGAGGCTATGTGGGTACCTCTTATCCGAGTCATCACTGTTACATTTGAAAGAGAAAGGAAATTTGAATACCGGTCTTTACACGAGACTTTGTCAGAGGATATATTGATATTTACATGATGCTGACAGTGTCGGATACCGTGAATAGATCTGAACATGACGGTATTCATGTCGCACCGTCTGAGAGGATCTTTTCGTAAATACAGGGAACTTTGTGCCATTGAATGTATTGTTAATAGACTGTATGCGTGCGTGGGGTCATACTGGTCTCCACGGCCTTTTACTGCGAGGATTTGTCAACATTGTAGACTGCTCTAAAGCATACCTTACACGCCCGTTGTTAAGTGGACCATAACACATATTGCTGCTGCATAGGTCTCATGACTCGGATTTTTACCGTCCTTTACTTTTGAGAAACACTATTAGGGATACAAACGTCAAAACGAAAGCAATACCATGAACGTATTAACTATTCTATTAAATGTCTTATTCATGTTTGTTGTTTAACGCCGTACTCAGCAATATCCCAGCTATATGACGGCGGTATGTAAATAATCGAGTCTGGACCAGACAATACAGTGATTGACATGAGCATCGATCCACGCAATGGTTGGTTGGTTGGTTTGTTGTTTAACGCCGCACTCAGCAATATTCCAGCTATATGACGGCGGTATGTAAATAATCGAGTCTGGACCAGACAATACAGTGATTGACATGAGCATTCGATCCACGCAATGGTTGGTTGGTTGTTTTTTTGTTTAACGCCGTACTCAGCAATATTCCAGCTATATGACGGCGGTATGTAAATAATCGAGTCTGGACCATACAATACAGTGATTGACATGAGCATCGATCCACGCAATGGTTGGTTGGTTGTTTAACGCCGCACTCAGCAATATTCCAGCTATATGACGGCGGTATGAAAATAATCGAGTCTGGACCAGAAAATACAGTGATTGACATGAGCATCGATCCACGCAATTGTTGGTTGGTTGGTTTGTTGTTTAACGCAGCACTCAGCAATATTACAGCTATATGACGGCGGTCTGTAAATAATCGAGTCTGGATCAGACAATCCAGTTATTAATATCATTAGCATCGATCCACGCTATTGGGAACGATGACATGCATCAACCAAGTCAGCGAGCCTGACCACCCGATCCCGTTAGTCGCCTTTTACGACAAGCATAGTCGCCTCTTACGGCAAGCATGGGTTGCTGAAGACCTATTCTGGCCTGAAATCTTCACGGGTCTCCACGCAATGGGGATCGATGACAGGCATCAACCAAGTTAGCGTGCCTGACCACCCGATCACGTTAGTTGCCTTTTACGACAAGCATAGTCGCCTTTTACGGCAAGCATGGGTTGCTGAAGACCTATTCTACCCCGGACCTTCACGAGTCTGGGCACTGAGTTTGATATCAGATTACAATGGACATATTCGCTATCAATAATACTCACGCATGTCTAATATATTTCAAACGTCTTGAACTCTAGAGACATGTTGTATGGCAGACAAACATTCCCAATATCGTTTCATCACATTGGAATATATATAAATAATCCTGTAATTTGCATCCTTTTTAAACCCTATGGAAACAGTTGAACCATGGCCTTTTTATTTGCCATGAATGTCAAACCTGTGTAAAACGGATCGCATAAAATTCATTCTTTAGGAATACTTGGAAATAATTCAATTTATTAGCATACATTCCTAACATTTGGCATAGGTGATGTCCCCAATGGGCATAGAATCCAACAATTCCAAACCTTATCCCAAACATGAGGGCACACATGGAAATGTACTATTTCGTGCAGTGTCATATCCCAGACGTGTTCAGATTGTCGGAAAGTCTGGGCTCATTGCTTGCCAATGCAAAGGCATTTTGTGGTTCTTGTGCTCCTGGAGGCGAGCGTCGACGAATCGTGCACAGCGAACACGGGCGTTGTCCTAAAAGACAAAACGTCGACTCACACGCCTTGAAAATAAGACAACAAAGGTAAAAGGGTGTCAGTATATTGTCCCGACAGCACTGTCCAGTGACCCTTCCTTTCACAATATGTAATGGGGTTCGGTCAGTCATTGCGATGCCACCCTACACCATAGCCGAACCACCGCCAACTCTGTCATGAGGTCTTAGGTTGACATTGGCTTGACGTTCATTTCGACGTCCCCAGACACGACCACGCCTATCAAGGCAGTACAAAGTGAATCGGAACTATTCTTAAAAGATGGCAAGTGACCAGGGACGATTACACCAAGTTTCGATGTTGTGTACAACACTGAGGCCTGTTGGCAATATGACGACTTCTAGGGCGGCACAACACGTCGACATCGAGCATGGAGATGAGTGAGTGAGTGAGTGTACTAGAGTATCACAGATGTATAGTATGGAACCATAAAAAGATATCACGATAAATAACAATGCATTATAAAAAAGGGGCTAGGGATCGCCAGCAACTAAAGGTAGGCCACTATACTAGGAACCGTGGGGACTGACAATGGAGATGAGCTGCATTTCTAATTGCGTGACCCGTATCTCGTACTCTAGTAGCCTGATATGAGTTTGCAGCATTTTGATTCGCCGTTTGAGCTCGATTTCGTAGAGCCTGGTTTTGGATCAGTCGATCCTGTACTTGTCGTTGACCTGGGACGACCTGAACGGGCTGATCGTCAACATTTTGGGTTTATTGGTACCTGTTCCATAGTGTGGTAATCACAGACTGTGAAACGTTGAACGTATTGCCCACTGCAGGTCGACTGCTGCAAGATAACAAGACGATCAACGAGGTCGATAAGCCAATGAAGGCACAGTCAGCACCGGGTGTCTTCATGTTCAACCTGTAGTGTATTGTCATTGTGATTAGTGCTTTAGTAAATATTACGTCATGACTGACCGCATGTACTGCCGCCATGATATATGAATAATCCCATGTCTTCGTGGTTAATAGGTACGGGGTCGGTCGGGTAGCCTAGTGGTTAAAGCGTTCGCTCGTCACGCCGAAGACCCGGTTCGATTCGCGACATGGGTACAATGCGTGAAGCCCATTTGTGGTGTCCCCCGCCGTGATATTGCTGGAATATTGCTAAAAGTGGCGTAAAACCTCACTCACTCTCTAATAGATACGGAGATAATCCAAATATGACAACTAGGAAGACACCACACAACCAGGAATAATGCACAAATATAGACTATAAAAACTGTCGACAAAGGGGTCATGGATTACAGCCATAGCAATTTCTGATACTTTTTGGTGCGTGCAGTGCCAAAAACAGATGCTATATGGCAATGATATTGGTAACTCGTATAATTGTTTACGTTTCAATGGGAAACGGTAACTATTATTAAAATACAGATCTGTATGTGATTATTTTATGCACATACCGACTTGAAAGCAGAACAGACACAAGGGGTCTATCATATTCACTGAGTCGTAAACACCAACAGAAGTTAATAAACCCTAAAGGGATGAGACTGTTTATTCTAGCGTTCCTCATCCGTGAGCACCTTGTACGAAACGCGCTATTAACACGTTCAAGGGTAAGATACTTTTGAGTGGTAGTGTACTCCCCATGCATCACACACAATACGGAATAACACACACATGCACGCTTGTATAATGTATTGATGTACGTTATGTGTTCTATGCGTACAGGTCGAGTCCGATCTGATGGTGGCAGAGTTCACAAAGGAAAGTGGGAGGAACGCTTCCATGTTTGACTGGAAGAACTTTCAGGATGAAACCATGCGGAGACGATTTTCAATATTGGCCGACATCGGCACAGCTGCTATGCCTGACAAGACGAAGCTGAAACGGGTAAGAATCATCATATATCAGCCAGTGTGGTGTGGTGTGGTGTGGTGTGGGCTATGATGGGTAGGGATGGGGTGGGGTGGGATTGTGGATGGTCGTGTAAAGATATTACAACACTATAACTAAATCATTTTTCAACATTAATAACGTTAGAATACGCACTTGCGTGTTGCTTGTGTATCACACAATAAGCCCTCTTTTTTATAAGGTCTTAAAAGCTCTTAAAAGCTCTTAATACCTACTCCTGGAAATTTCAAGCAAGTACATTGTCAGTTAGGACATTCACAAATGCCAACTTATTGGTAAGTACCAGAGAAAACGTTCTTGAACTTCCATTTCTCTAAAAAGAAACAAATATTCCTCACATTGACGAATGATCAAACAGGCATTCCATGCTTCGAGATTGTTTTCAGCTGAACAACGTGCTGTATGAGATGGAGGAGATCTACAACACGGGCAAGGTGTGCGTGAAGGACGATGAGTGCCTCGACTTTGAACCGGGTATTTTATTCCATATATTCTTGTTATAACGATAGCGATAACAGATGCTCCGTTTGATAGGTAACTGTCATCATTTAACAGATTTATCATACAAATGAACCAAACCAATAAATAAACAAATTTGTTTTGATACTGGATACTCAATACATCGTGTGTACAACGAATAGATTGTCGTCTGGTTTTGTATAATAAACTTTACTTGTTTGCAGTTTTAATATTTGTATTATTCAAATAAACAAAACCGACAAAAACTCACAAACACATGCAAGTCATTTCACCTTAACAGATATGGGGACATATGGAACAAGTCAAAATCTAGAATTGCATCATTTTTGTTGCCCTTTGTTCGCAGGCTTGAGGCGTATTATGTCGTCATCCCGTAACTACGAGGAGTTAACCAAGGTTTGGAAAGGATGGCGAGACCAGACAGGGAAGAAGATGAAGAACCTTTTTGCCGAATTCGTTTCCCTCAGCAACGAGGCCATCAGAGCAAATGGTGAGATCTACCTGGCATACATGTATGGGCATACAGTAAGTGGATTGTTCCTGGGTGGTTTGAAGAAACTGCAATAAATATAATCCGTAAACACCATAACATGTTTTAGGCACAAGTGATGCCATCATTTGCATTTCCCAATGATGTTTTAAAACTCTTGGAATATAGTGAATGAGGTAGTTAGTGTTGAAAGCCGCTTTGAACAATATTTCCTAACTGTCAAAACGTGTAAACTTTTGGGTCCTAACAATCTAGGTCCTGAACCGCCCTTGCTTGATTGCAACGCGGTAAATATATTCCACCTTGAAAGAGGGAATTTCAAAGCAACAGAAGATGTAGAGGGACGTAGCTCTCCGCATCGAGATGTGGCGTCTTTGACAACAGGGTCCCCGTATACCTGTAGTGACCAGTTATGCTTACCACAATCATAACGGAGGACCGTCAGTCAAGCCATATGTCCTCATGATCTATTCAGGCTATGCAGACACTGGTGCCTGGTGGAGATCGTCGTATGAGACCGAGACCTTCAGGCAGGACATGGAACAGTTGTTCCTGCAGCTGGAGCCGCTCTACATACAGCTGCATGCCTACACCAGGAGGAAGCTGATGGAGGTGTATGGAGAGAGCGTCTTTCCCTCGGGGGGACATATTCCAGCGCACTTGCTTGGTAGGTATTTTGGCTCAACAGGTATGCACGTCATTAATGAAGAGGGAAAGTGTACCAATTGTCAGGGAGAGATATTACCGGTAATAACAGACCATGCTGAGAGACTAGCTGCCGCGGATGACTGGGAGTCCAAAAGGAAGGGTTGAGAATTACTTTTAGAATAATGTGATCATTTTCGCTTTGGAGAAGAAAGTATTATGTTGTATTTTTACTTCATTCTCATGGTGTTGATACATCTTCAATCTCAAACAGATTTGATAAACTTTCAGAAAAAGGTTAATGTGGAAAATGATATGTTTATCCCGATGATGCACTGTTTCAGGCAACATGTGGGCGCAGAGTTGGGGCAATCTACTCAACATTCTCCAGCCTTACAAAGACAAGCAGAGCGTGGATGTCACCCCTCAGATGAAGGCACAGGTTGGTTTCAAAAGTGCCGCAAAGTGTTTGATGAAATAGCGATAGGTAGAGCTGGAATATGTGTTGGATGAAATGTAAACGTGTGTGTGGTGTGGTGTGGTGTGGTGTGGTGTGTCGTGTAAAAAGTAATTTCACCAGAGAGTATTTGCTTAAATCCCTTTGCAGGGCTACACTCCACGCAGGATGTTCGAGACATCCGAGGAGTTCTTCACGTCGCTTGGTTTGGAGCCAATGTCACAACTATTCTGGAAGAATTCAATGATAGAGAAACCCAAAGATGGCCGTTCGGTCGACTGCCAAGCATCTGCCTGGGACTTCAGCAATGGCAGTGATTTCCGGTGGGTACGCCTGAACACTGACGGTTGTTCCGGGCTCAAGCGTGTAGTGAGCCCAAGAACGGTGTTGTGGATTATCAGTGTCAGATTACCTGTATGTTACCTGTATCTTACCTGTATGTTACCTGTATGTGAAACTGGTATTCTGTTGTATTGAATCGTAAGTGGTAAGGTAAGGTAAGATAGTTTTTTTATTTCCCGATTTGGAAATTTGGTTTACAGTTAAGAAAGAGACATGAAACTTAAATACAATAAATACAGGTTAACATGAACGAGTATACAACGACGATAACACTACGTATGAACATGGCATAACTGATCAATAAAAAGTTAAAGCTACCATGAATAAAAGTGTATTACGTCTTTGAAGTAAATGCCTGATTTAGCGAAAACAAGATTGCATGCCAGACATCTTTACCTACCATTTGCTCCAGAATACAGCAGTGTACGGACATCACCATGCAGGACCTGATCACCATTCACCATGAGATGGGGCACATCCAGTACTACCAGCAGTACATGCACCAGCCTGTCGTCTTCAGAGAAGGAGCTAACCCCGGTATGTTGGATTTGGTTTTGTTTGTTTGTTGTTTAACGCACTCAGTAATATTCCAGCTATAAGACGGTGGTCTGTATAATCGAGTCTGGACCAGACAATCCAGTGATTGATATCATGAGCATCGATCCACGCAAATGGGATCGATGATATGCATCAACCATGTCAGCGAGCCTGACCACCCGATCCGGCTAGTCGCCTCGTACCACAAACATAGTCGCTTTTTACGGCAATCATGGGTGCTGAAGACCCTTTCTCCCCCGGAATCTTCATTGGTCCGGTATGTTGGAAGGATCCTAAGGGCGACTAGGCTCAGGACAAACTTGCATTCGTTTGAAGCACCCAGAGGGCGACTAGGCTCAGGACAAACTTGCATTCGTTTGAAGCATCCAGAGGGCGACTAGGCTCAGGACAAACTTGCATTCGTTGGAAGCATCCAGAGGGCGACTAGGCTCAGGACAAACTTGCATTCGTTGGAAGCATCCAGAGGGCGACTAGGCTCAGGACAAACTTGCATTCGTTTGAAGCATCCAGAGGGCGACTAGGCTCAGGACAAACTTGCATTCGTTGGAAGCATCCAGAGGGCGACTAGGCTCAGGACAAACTTGCATTCGTTGGAAGCATCCAGAGGGCGACTAGGCTCAGGACAAACTTGCATTCGTTTGAAGCATCCAAAAGGGCGACTAGGCTCAGGACAAACTTGCATTCGTTTGAAGCATCCAGAGGGCGACTAGGCTCAGGACAAACTTGCATTCGTTTGAAGCATCCAGAGGGCGACTAGGCTCAGGACAAACTTGCATTCGTTTGAAGCATCCAGAGGGCGACTAGGCTCAGGACAAACTTGCATTCGTTTGAAGCATCCAGAGGGCGACTAGGCTCAGGACAAACTTGCATTCGTTTGAAGCATCCAGAGGGCGACTAGGCTCAGGACAAACTTGCATTCGTTTGAAGCATCCAAAAGGGCGACTAGGCTCAGGACAAACTTGCATTCGTTTGAAGCATCCAGAGGGCGACTAGGCTCAGGACAAACTTGCATTCGTTTGAAGCACCCAGAGGGCGACTAGGCTCAGGACAAACTTGCATTCGTTTGAAGCACCCAGAGGGCGACTAGGCTCAGGACAAACTTGCATTCGTTTGAAGCATCCAGAGGGCGACTAGGCTCAGGACAAACTTGCATTCGTTTGAAGCACCCAGAGGGCGACTAGGCTCAGGACAAACTTGCATTCGTTTGAAGCATCCAGAGGGCGACTAGGCTCAGGACAAACTTGCATTCGTTTGAAGCATCCAGAGGGCGACTAGGCTCAGGACAAACTTGCATTCGTTTGAAGCATCCAGAGGGCGACTAGGCTCAGGACAAACTTGCATTCGTTTGAAGCATCCAAAAGGGCGACTAGGCTCAGGACAAACTTGCATTCGTTTGAAGCATCCAGAGGGCGACTAGGCTCAGGACAAACTTGCATTCGTTTGAAGCACCCAGAGGGCGACTAGGCTCAGGACATACTTGCATTCGTTTGAAGCATCCAGAGGGCGACTAGGCTCAGGACAAACTTGCATTCGTTTGAAGCATCCAGAGGGCGACTAGGCTCAGGACAAACTTGCATTCGTTTGAAGCACCCAGAGGGCGACTAGGCTCAGGACAAACTTGCATTCGTTTGAAGCATCCAAAAGGGCGACTAGGCTCAGGACAAACTTGCATTCGTTTGAAGCATCCAGAGGGCGACTAGGCTCAGGACAAACTTGCATTCGTTTGAAGCACCCAGAGGGCGACTAGGCTCAGGACATACTTGCATTCGTTTGAAGCATCCAGAGGGCGACTAGGCTCAGGACAAACTTGCATTCGTTTGAAGCATCCAGAGGGCGACTAGGCTCAGGACAAACTTGCATTCGTTTGAAGCACCCAGAGGGCGACTAGGCTCAGGACAAACTTGCATTCGTTTGAAGCATCCAGAGGGCGACTAGGCTCAGGACAAACTTGCATTCGTTTGAAGCATCCAGAGGGCGACTAGGCTCAGGACAACTTGCATTAACAGCATATTCATTGACGTTATTCATACACCACGTTGTTTGTCCACTAAACAGAAACTTCCTGGCTTTAATCAATGTAACGGTTGATGCTTGTTACACAGAAACACTGTTTTATTACACTAAGTACAACATCTAGACCTAGACTGTGGAATTTAGTACCCCTGTAATAATGTACTTTCTTAATTAAGGAATCTTGGCCCTGTTCCACAAAGCGATCGTAGTGCTTGGAAAGTCGTAAGTCTATGTTAAAATAAGGGAGTTACGGTCTCCTTAGCACTCCGATATCTCTATGGAACGGACCCCAGAACAGACGTAGATAAGTGAGTAACTGAGTTGGGTTGGTCTACGCTGTTATATAACGGAACGTCGGTATGTGGGAGGACTGCCCAAGATGATGAGAGTTTTAGATGTCTCCTACTTTAGTGAAACCCACAAACACGGGTATGGTACATATTCGAGTCAAAACTCGAATTCGAACCCACGATCAGCGGATAAGAGAAGAGGCCCTGTCCGAATGATATGGTGAATAGTTGAACTCAAATAGATGGATGAGTTTTCCGTCAGAGCAAGCTCTATACAAGCTGATTTTGGAATATATAATTTTACATGCACAATTACCAGTGACTAAAGCTGAACGGTCGAATTTATATTTTTGTTGACAAGGCATTGGCAATAGTTTGTAGACGTTGGTCCAAAAATGTTTTTAAAAATGTATATGATACTTTTATCCATTTCTGTGTGTACATTTATTAAATTATGGAAAAGGCTGGTGCCAGAACCTTGAAGAAAGACGTACTGTTGTAGGCTTCCACGAGGCTATAGGAGACGTGCTAGCTCTGTCTGTGTCCACGCCCAAACACCTCCAGAAGCTTGGTCTCCTGACAGAAGTAGAGGAAGATGCAGGTACGTACTTCGCACTGAGTGATAAAATGAGTGTAGGTTGATCTGGCTTTAGCAAAACAGCCTGTGAACAAACCAGATAAACATGTGTTCAGAGAATCCATTGTGATTCTATCACCATTAGGCTTTATCGACGAGCAGGTCCTGGAGGTACCAGGAACTTTTTCAGTCCCAGAATCCCAAGGGGAAGGCAGACAACTTGATTTCAATAGGGATATATTTTCTTTTCTTTCGGCAGAAAAGTGTGTATTTTTTGCACCAAGACCCCCAAATACATTTGAACCGACAATACAATATATTGTCTAGAAGGTAATTTAGTGTTGTCATGTTTGTACAATTTAGTCGAACACTTGTCATACAACACTCCCAGTGGATGTCTCATAGATTTCTTGAAATATTTAACTTGTTTAATATGACAGCTACAAGTAGCTCATATATTTACAGAAATTTCACATACGGAGGTAAGTAAAGGAGTAAGTATATTCCCCGAAAGGTTATGTTCCTCACAATGAAGAAGTTGACATCCATAAATTCTCTTCCTTATGTGTATCACTTCTAAATGTCATTCAAAGACTAGAATTGTCACATGATTTCCAACAATTCTGAAATAATACATCTAGATTTTATGTGCAGATATTTCCTAGCCCCATACATAGTTTAAAGTATCAATAATATTTGACTAAATTGTACAAATACTGCAACACTAAATTAATTAACAGACTACTGTTTGCAACTCATTAGCCTAGTCACACATGGTTTATTTCAGCATTTAATTTTTCAACCACCCATGTCTCTAGGTGTAGTCGTGAGTGGTAGAGCGTCTGCCCGAGAGCTGAAGGTCGGGGGTTCGAACCCCGGCTGCGTCATATCAAAAGACGTTAAAAGGTGGTATTTGATCTGACTCGCGGCATTAAGGATCGGGTTGGAGTCAGTGTACTGTGTCTGAGTGGGGTATTCATGTTAAACTGAACCAGCACTAAACAATCGGCATTAGTCCGGACTAGCACACACACACACACACACACACACACACACACACACACACACGACGTGCAAGCCACGTCGCTATATAAGTGCAATAATATTGAACGCGCAACGTTAAACCCCATTTCACCTCACCCAACTACCGTTGCAGAGAGCGACATCAACTACATGTTGAGCATAGCCCTTGAACAGATCGCCTTCCTGCCGTTCGGCTATCTGATGGATCAGTGGCGATGGAGTGTGTTCAGTGGGGAGACGCCACAGCGACTGTACAATACCAAGTGGTGGGCCCTCAGGTAAGTCAGTACAAGAGATGTAGGTGAGAGACGCCACAGTTCTTCTACAAAACTAGTTGTGGTCCCTCGGGAAGACCAGACCTGAGATGCAGACTTTTAAATAACAAGTTAGCCTGATGTTGAATGTTATATGTTCACTGTCTAAGATTTAATTATTATACATTTGATGAAGAAGTCTTGCAGTCAATATACAACAAATCATGTTTATAAATTACCTATTACCTATTTTTCTCGGATAATTAGCTCACCTTACAGGAAGTAAGGGCGATTAAGTCATGGCCTGTGTTCTTCTGGCGCCTGGCGTCCCTTGTAAACATGTTCTCAGAAACCAGTAGACTAATGAAGCTGAAACTTCACATACCTCTTCCCACCCATAATAACACCCCAGTTTGTCCAAGCGGTTCGAATCCGATTTCAATATGGCCGCCAAGGCAGCCATATTGAAGAAAGCTATTTGTTCTAAATTTTATTTGGTATATGTGTGGGTAGTAGGGAAACTCAACACACAAGTTGATATTTTATATTTTGATCTTGATTTGACCATTGTACTTAAATTTAATGCTCTTAAAATCCCTCAAAATGCATTTTCTTTCACTGTAAACGTCTTCTTCTCAGAAACCACTTGACCTTTGAAACAGAAGTTTCGCATGCTTATTCCCACTATTCATGACACCTGAAAGAAAAAGGTTCAAGTCATGTTTTCAATATGGAAACAACGACAGCTGGATTGACATAAGGTTATCTATGGCTCCGCTGTTTAAGTTCAAAATGTTATTTAATGCTATTAAATTCGTTCACATTGCACTTTTCACTCTGCAATCTTCTCGTCTGGAGTTGCCGGACTTGGGAAGCTGATGTTTGACATCATATTTTGTTCAAATGATAAGGAGGTAAGTGTGCTTATTTGAAACTGGTGGAACTACTGTCTGGCATTGGAACGTAATACTCTCCTGAGAAAGTATGTGAACTGGTTTGTATTGCAACAATGTTATGCAACAATGATATATTCTGGCATTGTCAGAAATATTGTGAAGATTTGGTGACTTGTTCCAAACACTTGTCTCACTTATGCAGTGCCTTGGCACTATTTTTCCTTGTTTCTATTTGAGCAAATCTGTGCATGTATTGCACGTCCAGTGTCCTTCTTAATTATATATATTCTACAGACAGCGTGATACACCTTTCAGATGCCGATATCAAGGTATTTCTCCACCAGTAGAAAGGTCCGAGGACGATTTTGACCCTGGTGCCAAGTACCACATCCCCGCTAATGTACCATACATCAGGTACTTACATTCAAGATGTTCTTTCTGCCTGACATATACCATGGAAAACAAGTTAAAGAACATCCACAATTAATAGGGTGTGTTTTGCAATACACACCAGAAAGAAAAAATCGGTTGTTCTTCAACTTCTGTTAAGTACCATATATCAATGTAGCCTCGGATCAAGGCACTCATTCTGCCTGATATACTTAAGTGCCTCCGATACCAACACACATATTCCAGGATCCATCACGAGTTCGACCCGTGAAGATCCGGGGTAGAATAGGTCTTCAGCAACCCATGCTTGCCATAAAAGGCGACTAAGCTTGTCGTGAGAGGCGAGTAGCGGGATCGGGTGGTCAGGCTTGCTGACTTGATTGATGTTTGTCATCTATCCCAATTGCGTGGATCGATGCTCATGTCAATCACTGGATTGTCTGGTCCAGACTCGATTATAAGCAGACCGCCGTCAAATAGCTGGAATATTGCTGAGTGCGCCGTTAAACAAACAAACATCACGAGTTCAAACGGACAAAATGTCTCCTGACCTAGTCTGTCTGGCATGGAACGTCTTTGTCATAGAGGGATATACGTCTTCATACACAATAGTTCCTCATAATGTCGACCCAGGTACAGATGCCAGTCTTCATGCTTCAGATACTTCGTGAGTTTCGTACTCCAGTTCCAGTTCCACCAGGCGCTGTGCCAGGCAGCCAATCAGACCGGGCCGCTGCACAAGTGCGACATCTACCAGTCAAAGGAAGCTGGCAATCTCCTTAGGTATGATCGTTGAGTCGCCTCTTAACAGTCAAGCATAAGTTGCCAAGCCGTGCGGCTACGTTGACACGCCTTCAATCACGCCTTCCTAAAACATCAATGTAGACTTACATATTCTGTAGTTCCTGTGATGTCGTACACCCATATTTTGTAGTATTTAACTGTGCAATTATTAGGGCTGGGACGATTCACCGATACATCGATGTATCACAATACATTACAGTTCGATACGACTATCGATTCGTGGGTCTATGTATCGATACAAAACGATACACAGCTGATATACTACGAGTAACAAAACGTATTTGCCGCTGTTTACATCGTCCGTTTTGTTCCAACGCAGTCAGTAAAGAAAATCAAGCGATGATACAAGGACAAATATGATTGGTTGATTTTCGTAGTACGACCAATCAAATGACAGCCTTCAAACATGGCGACTGGCTTTCCGGCCAAGAAGCATCGAGTCCCCAGACACCGTAGGCCGGTTTACCGGCGAAGTCGTAGTCACGTCAAAATAGTATATATTTTTATGGACCTACCTGTAATATCATTCATTTATTAAATCTATCACATTTCATAATGTCTGAAATACATATTCCAATTCAATTTATCATTTTTTATCGATAAATTAAAAAAATATTCACTAATATTCCCGCGATGTTTTTGAAATACGGGTCCACATCGAACATGTCAAAGAGCAAAATAAAGACGTTTTAAACAAATCTTTAAATATATTATACAAAGTAATAAATGATATCAACAAAAATATATTACATCTAAGTTATTATTTCCATCTTTTCGTGCTATCGCGTGTAATGTAAGTCAAATGACATCTCGGCTTTCGTCGCCTTGAATTCTCGGCTCGGACACAATGTTTGATGATAAAATATATGCATGAAAAATCTTTGTCACAGCTCGTAACCTAGCACGATACGTTCACGAAGTTCCATATTTTTCATATATATCGTGATTTCCTGCTTAAAACGTTCAGAATAGCACGATTTAACAAAACATCTTTCGCGAACTTCTGAAATCAAACACGAGCTTGGTATCACAGCTGTAATTTGATTGGCTGCCTTAAGGTCACGTGCTCAAAATTGTCAAATCACGAAACTTGTAGCAGATTTCGGCAAGAAAGCGTCATTAGAAACCAATTTTAATCCAACGAAATCGCTTGTTATAACTACGGAAAAAAAACAGTCGATGTTACGAGAATGTAGATGAAGGAATAAGCTTTCCAGCGATGTGTCATATGCCATTCTTCGAAGAACGTTTTATTCATACGAAGCCTCGAAAAGGGGGGTATTTCTTCATGTTACTGAGCGGACAGCCGCTGTTATCGGGAAATGGGTGATGACAGAAACTATTCATAATTCTTTTTTTTAAATGATTTTCCAATAACGTAAACAATAAAAAAAACAGAAATAGGTAAGTGGATTTTATGAATTCTTATATTTGCCGAAAATCGTCAAGTTTTCCATTCCTTGTTCCTTAATCTGGATGTTAACAACGTGTTAGCTTACATTTTTTATTTACAACCAACTTAATTAAGTTGTAAATGCATTATTTTAAATAATGTGAAAAACATAACTTTCATATTTATAAACCATAGGATAAGACCTTTCAAATGGTGTATAACATGTAGTGGCAAATATATTTTACAAGCAGATATTTTCTTTTATAAATGTTGGCTTCATCTAACACACAAGAGTCTCTGGGAACTCCGTGTCCCAGCAGTAAACACTTCTGGTTGACTGTTGTTGAAAGAGTTAATGTTCAGACATCAGTTAAACATGTCTGACTTTGTGATTTACTAATTAGTGTGATGTTGATTATTCAAGTTCAGAGTTTCAGGCAATTTACCTTTCATTGATCATTGTGAGAAAATCACAAACCAGTGGTTGTTTTTACCAAATAGTTCTGCTGTTCAGATGACGTTTAGAGTGCATTTTTATTGCAGGAAATCCAGGTATTTAGTCAGGCTCCTAAACTCAGGTGTTTTGAGTCTTGCTATTGAGTGACATGTGCTGTGTTTGACACATGTTCTGAAGGAAAATTTGAGTTATTTGATGAGAACTATTTTACATTAAACTTTCATCATCTTCCACCAGCTTGTGACATTATTTTTTGTATCGTATCGTACGTATCGTATCGTGACCTCACTATCGTCCCAGCCCTAGTAATTATGCAGTCGTCAGACTGCAATAGTGACACATTTGTTTAAGGCGCCGCAGCGTCTGACATGCTTTGCAAAATCTGCGTACCTTAGGCGTGCCAGACCCCTATGCTCGTTGGTTCGAAACCCAGATTCGCTCTTGGTTTCTCGGCATCATTCGCGTGTTTGTGGTTATCACTCAAGTGGTGAATGTCCTGATTCACTTCGGGCTTTCCTCGAAGGGTGTTAAAAACACGTCACAGAGACGGCCTGTTGAGGTGTTTGCCCTTGTCATCCATCGGTAGGTGTCGGATTGCATGCGGGGCGGTCGGGTAGCCTAGTGGTTAAAGCGTTTGCTCGTCACGCCGAAGACCCCGGTTCGATTCCCGACATGGGTACAATGTGTGAAGCCCAATAGCCTTCCTCGCGTGTGTGTGCGTGTGTGTGGCGGTGTGTCGGTGTGTGTGTGTGTCGGTGTGTGTGTGTGTGTGTGTGTGTGTGTGTGTGTGTGTGTGTGTGTGTGTGTGTGTGTGTTCCCGAGGAGTCTGGATAACAAAATCCATAAATTCATATAATAAGCAACTATCCACGTCGTCAGGCTGCCTTAACACGTCATCAGCCAAGTCACCTCGCCTGATCACCCGATCCGTTAAGTAGCCTCCTACGTCCAGACAGGTTACCCCGCCGTCGGACAGACATAGGAGTGCTTGACGCCGCACGCAGGAATATACAAAAATATTAATAAGATTTATCACCTTTATTTTTAGTCGAGTTTTAGAGCTTGGTCAATCGCGACCGTGGCCGGAAGCCATGGAGATACTTACTGGACAAAGGAAGATGGACGCCAGACCGCTCATAGAGTACTTCCAGCCGCTCATTGATTGGCTGAAGGATCAGAATAAAGGTTACAAGACAGGTTGGGACCACAAGTGCCCGGATTCCATCCCGAAAACTGCCTCTGCAACCACAACCAGAGTCACATACGGTCTTCTGTTAGTTACCATAGTGACTGCTGTCCTGAGTTACATGTGAAACTTATAAGCATGTCCCGTTTATTCTTTCGAGTTTCTTTGAGATCAACCTGCCGTAGTTTTATTGCTGACTCAACAAAAAGAATATATTCTCTGAATCTAAGTCGACCCCCACTTTATTTCGAAAACAATCTATTGAGAGAACCACTGGGTAATCTAGTATAACTGAAGAAAAAATTGAAAGTGATGTAAAACTCAAACAATGTTCCCTGTGAGTTATATTTGATATTATAGAAGCGCACGCATTTGTATAATATAGCAATTTTGTAAAGTGAAACAATTGTGTTATTATTCTTGACGTTGAACAAAGGCTATGATATATTCCTACACAACCCTATACACACACAGCTAATGTGTCTACCCATACGCAGTTGTATATCTACAAGGTAAAACAAATAATCACATTCACAGTTATTTCAATATTTGGCAAATATAAAGACACACAACACAGGGCCCCATAACCTGAAAATAAAATTTCTATTTTGTAAGTTGGTTGGTTTGTTGTTCTACGCCGCACTCAGCAACATTCCAGCTATATGACGGTGGTCTGTAAATAATCGAGTCTGGACCGTACAATCCAGTGATTGATATCATGAACATCGGGACGCAATTGGGATCGATGACATGCTTCAACCAAGTCATCGAACCTGGCCACCCGATCCCGTTTGACGCGTCTTACGACAAGCATAGTCGCCTTTTACGGCAAGTATGGGTTGCTGAATACCCATTCTACGTCACGGGTATTAGGGCCTAATGCTATGCCTATCATGTTAATGATTGCACAGTTAATGAAGTAGTTTAAATGCTCACTGGTTCGTCCTGTTGTAGCGGCCCGGTCCTGAACTTCTGATAAATCTTGACTGTCTGAAGTATATCCCTCTTGAGGTTAATGGTTTATTTTGCATTGATCAGTTTCAGGGCAATGTTATTATTGCCTAAAACTATAATGATACTTATATATATCAGACAGCCTAAAAATCTCAAACAAATCCTTTGTCCAACAAAATACAAATACCGTCAGTGTAACAAAATGTCGCACACCTCGATGTGGAACTTGCCCAATAATACTTGAAGACTGCAAATTTAAATTTAGCTTAGATAAACTATTTACTGTTAAAAACAACATCGACATCAACATCTTTTAACATATGCAGAATGTGGTGAGCATTAAATTGGAGAAACCGTTACGCAACTCAGAGACCGCATGACTATACACAGACAGAAAATTCGAGATCCAAAGCAAGCACATTGATGAAAGCGGGGATGGCCATTTTGCTGTCTTTCAGTTTAATAAATTGTTTAACAATAATAAACATTTACAAATGGAAAAAGAACAGATGTTCATTAGGCTTTTGAAACCTAAACTTAATTCAAACGAATTATTGTCATTATCCCAGTGTAGTTCTACGTTTATTTGTGCTCTCAATTACACCACAATGTATACTCTGCACACACAAAAAGAAACGCAAAAGTATTAAAATCGTATATATTTGACAAAGTGTTGCCGACATTAATGCAAAAATAATACAAAAAAATGAATTGATCATTTCTGCATGGAGTCGGATTGATTAGGTTGGAAAAAATGAGTGAGTGAGTATGGTTTTACGCCGCCTTTAGCAATATTCCAGCCATATCACGGCGGGGGACACAACAAATGGGCTTCACACAATGTACCCATGTCGGGAATCGAACCCCGGTCTTGGGTGTGACGAGCGAACGCTTTAACCACTTGGCTACCGAAGTTGGTGAGAAGTGGAAAAAAAACCCCGCAAAAACACAGCCACGTGAGTGCCGAAACACATATGCAGTGCAACGTCACTTGTTGGGCGATCACAATCTCACAGCAAGTGAACAGCGAAAACATATCACGACTGACAGAAGCCCAACGCAACAACGCCATCGGGCGACTGCAAGTAGGAGAATCATCTTCAGCTGTAGCCAGGTCTTTCCACGTATCACCAAGCACCATAACAGGACCGTGGAACCGTTATCAGGCGCGTGACCTTCCAGATCCGGTCGACCACGTACCACTACTATAGCACAGGACAGATTCATACGGCTACGTCAGATTCTTCGGCCACAATATCCTTCCCACTATGCAACAAGCGAACGTCATTTTCCAACAAGACAACGCCCGACCTCACACGGCAAGACTGACAACAGCCTTTTTCGGGAATCACAACATCCAGGTCAATAGTGTAGGATGGTACCGGTGCCCCTAAGCCAGCAGGAGTTATCTGCCACTACCGGAAGTGAGTTCAGCCAAGATGGCGGCCGTCCCTCTCATCAATCCCTCTCATCCAAAACATTCTTAAAAACAACATAGGCCCAAGAAACCAAGCACTGGCCCGCAAAAACCCACTACTAACCCCCATATTTACAATTTAACAATGTACCTAAATGATTTGTTGGTTGGTCCGTTGGTTGGTTGTTTAACGCCGCACTCAGCAATATTCCAGCGATATGACGGCGGTCTGTAAATAATCGAGTTTGGACCAGACAATCCAGTGATTAATATCAGGAGCATATCTACCTAAATGAACACAAACTAAATAATTTAAGACAAAACACCAAACCTTCCAACATTTACACACCAAAACTCCAAACCCCTGAAATAGACACCACACTTGCCTCCACGCTAAACAAACAAACGGATCCAAACATCGCTAAAAACAATTCATTAGCATACATCTACGAGAAATGGCCAGATTGGTGCCCGATTTACACAGACGTATCCTCTGATCCGCCCTCAAAGCACACCGGCTTTGTCGTCCATATCTTTCAACCTCTAAAACAAACAAAATCTTACCGACTCCCCAATAATCAATCAATCTTTACGGCCGAACTCATGGGCATGGCCACAGCCCTTCAAAACCCACAAATAAATACCGACCAAGACATCCTCATCCTCACAGACTCACTCAGTGGACTCCAGGTCCTAAAAACCAAAAACACAGCCCCAAACTAATTAATCAAATACTAAAAAGCTCTAATGAACTAACTGCAGCAGGCAAACAGATAGAATTCGTTTGGATACTCGCACATGTAGGAATTTATGGTAATGAACATGCCGACCAAGCAGCTAAACTTTCACTAAAACTCCCAGAAATAAGCATAAATCAGACAATATCCAAATCAGAAATTAAAAGCGTAACAAAACAAAAAATCTCCAAAAAATGGCAAACAAAATACAAAAAATTAAACTGTCAGCTCAAAAAAATACTCACAAAACCCCTAACTAATGCCCCAAAAAATCGACAGGGCCATAACTAAATTACAAACAGGTCACACCAAACTAAACAGCAACCTTCAAACACTAAAAATACACGCAACAGGCACATGTCCACACTGCACTCAAAAAGAAACCGCAGAACATGCACTCATCCACTACCCACACAAGACACACAGAACAACACTCAAAAACACACTAAACTTAAACTCCGAGTTAACTCTAGAAAAAATCTTAAACCCACTAAATAACACATCCAACTTTAAAGCCCTAGGCAAATACCTAATTAAAACAGATCTTATCAACCGAATATAACCCCCAAATAATCAAAACTCACCCAACACTCACACCTCCCTCTCTCCTTTTAAATATCCAAATTAAAAACTCCTATATAAGCAACCTCCAAACCCCCCTCCTGGGTTGCACAAATCCCTTCCTTCATATTTTTTGACAAATACATTAAATGGCTTGGCGGGCCCGCGTGCGACATACGCTTGCAGTCGGAAAGCGCACGTAAAATCCCCAACCTCAGTCAGTCAGTCGGAATTGTTCAGTTTCACCTGTGAAATATTATCGAATCGATAATGGCAGAGACGAATAGCTGTACAGATTCTTGTGAGGGGGCCAGAATTCTGGTGACTGATAGTATTGACTCTTGTCTGCCCAGATCTGAAAGTACGGATTCTTGTGATTGTAGGCCACCGCACAGTAAGCCACTTAGCAGCTAAAATGTCCATTAAACTCCTAGAAATAAGTCTAAATCTGCCAATCTCAAAATCAGAAGTTAAAAGTATAACCAACGAAAACTTCACCAAAAATGGCAAATTAAATACCAAAACTCAAACTGCCAGCTCAAAAAAATACTTTAAAAAAACCTAACTAAACCTTAGAGCCCCCACCCCACCAAAAAAACACAGTGTCATAACTAAATTACAAACAGGATACACCAAACTAAACAGTCACCTTAAAATACTAAAACTATACGCTACAGGCATTCAACAAGAAACCCCGGTCCTTTTCAGGGCCACCCAACTCTCCCGAAAGAACACTTTGGTCATTGCCACACACAAACAAATCTACCCCAAAAGAACCCCACACCCACACCCACCCTACCCCGACGCCATCTTGGATGCGCACGCCCTCCCGGAACCGAAAGTACCGCCATCTTAGAGACACACGCCTTCCCGGAACCGGAAGTGCCACCTTCTTGGAGGCACACGCCTCCCCGGAACCGGAACTCACTTCCGGTAGAGGAAGATAACACCTGCTGGCTTAGGGGCACCGGTACCGTCCTGCACTACTCAGGTCATCCCGGTCTCCAGATTTAATCGTACATTTATGGGATGCACTGGATCAACGACTGCGAGCACGTCAGCAACAACCACGACCTCCAACAGTTGGCACAGGCACTGCAGGCAGAGTGGGTGAACATTCCACAGGCAACAATTTTAGATCAAGACCCTTCGGCTTTGTTTACCTTTCGGCTGAGTTGTTTAAACCTCTGGTGCTTTATTTCTTGATCTGCATACACCAGTCATCAACACTTTATTGGTGAAATGGCGAAAATTGAAGTGTTAATTCCAATATGCCAACATATATTCTTGGGCACCCTGAGCAGTTATTACAGAAGAGGTTCCTTGGTGAGCTGGAAAAATATATACCATATTTCTGGATGCGGCTCACTGCATTGAAGGGTGGGGTGAGAGTTTCCGCACTGATTATCAGCATCGGCACTTGGTAAGGGATATTCTTCCGAAAGCAAAAATTGTTGCTTAGACAGCAACGGCTACAAAAACAACACTAATACACATTGAAAAACATCTCAGGTTTTGTGCTAACTGTATCATGTGATCACTCAAACATGTTGACAAGCATAGTCGCCTTTTACGGCAAGCATGGATTGCTGAAGACCTACTTAATTAAACACAAGGAGCCAGTTGGCGACTGACATGAAAATACCAGTCGCAAAATACAAAACTAGATCGCCATGGCGACCGATTTAGTCGCAAATTTGAGGCCTGCGGTTCTTCCTTTAGGATCACACAAGGCTCCTATCCACTCTGCAGCATAATTCTAAGGTAAGGTATATCGGACGTTTACGTCAGACAGAAAGTAAGGACGTGTTTTCCAGGCCCTGTCAATAAATGTGAAACCCGTGAAGATCCGGTGTAGAATAGGTAGACGGCGGTCTGTAAATAATCGAGTCAGGACCAGAAAATCCAGTGATTGACATCATGAGCATCGCTCCGTGCATTT